CCTTTTCTGGCATTTTCTAGTAGTTGTAGCAAAACCTTGAATTTAAGTGTCTCCCTTCTAAAAGCTGAGTATACAGCTCTTTTTCCCATTTTGGTGGTAATGTTGGTCACTGTTGAAAAAATGCTACTGAAAAAATACAACAAACCTCTTCTTCAGTTTCATTGAATGACGCTTGAGAATTAATTTCATTTCCATGAACATCTCTGCTTTTTAAATTCCCAAGCCAAAATGCAGAGTGGCATTGATTAACAGCAAGCATTGTCTAGAGATGAATTCAAATTTTAAATAGGTCAGCATAGACGTTTTAGTGCAGTTACATGTATATGTATGATAAAAGTTTCTGAGAAAGGCTTATACTCAAAAGAAAAAAAAGAGGCAACTGTTTTTGCACAGGTGGCTTAAAAAACACCCGTCGCTCAGTTCTTCAAGTAGTTTGGCTCGGCAGAGTCATTCTTGTGGGGGCACTATGAACCGGATTTTGATTTTGACAAAGTGCACCAATTAAAAATTGGACAGATCCCTTGTGGAAATAATATCCTCCTGTCAGCCTACAACTACAAAGATTAATAGATAGTTATATGGCTCTTAGTGATAGGGAGGAGGCTGGGAGTGCCACAACAAACCATAGAAATAGGAAGTTGGTCGAGGCTATGAAAGGATGGTGGGATAAAGCTTGATTTTAGGCTTAAAAGTAGAAATCTGGGAGGAAGAGAGTGTCAAGCATTCTAAAGTTTACCAGCTTTGTGGTGGAAAGATGAATGGTAGGGCAGAGTTCCTGAATATAACATGGAGACTTGGAAAGGGATGGCGAGGGGGGAGTTTCTGGTGTATTTTACAGGTCTTGGTGGACCAGGGATAATATCTCTGATCTCCTTGCAGCAATGAAAACAAGAACAAAATATTGATAGGTTAGCTATACAAGTTAACAGTTGTAGACGAGGATAATGGCTTTTTGCCTAATTTTGTCAAGAAAACATTAAGTAGCACCATCCAAAATATGCGAGCAGAACGCATAAGAAGGACGAATTTGGGATTTGTAAATAGCTTAAAGATGTGAGGTGAGAAGAAACCACATTTAGCAATAAAAGAAGTGTGATATTTTAGATTACGTTTCGATGATACAGAGAAGTCCAGCTTTGAATAGGGAGTATAAACATCCTTTTTCAGTGCCATTCATGTTAGCTAGGAAAAAGTCTGGGCTACTCTGTGGCAGTGGCAATGAACATTTTGGAGGCAATTGACCTTTTAGAGAGAAAACTGTTGATCTGCACGATAAAAGTCCGGTGGTGAAAATACCTAGGGAGATGTTAAAAAGGGAGACAGTTTTTTGCGGTACAGAACTTGGAAACGGTTTTGTAAAAAGCAAAAATTCTATATCATAAAGGCTAAAAGCTTTTTCATCTGACACTCCTCAGGGCATGAAAGGGCAGAAAAAGGGTTCCAAAAACACGATGAAAAATATATACTCAGTTGTGGATCAAAATGAGCCAATCAGAAAAACCCAAGCACAAAACCCGTATGGTTTTCCAATCAGTGCCGCCTGTTAAAAAAAAGTACCAATAAAGTCGAAGCGAGAAAACGAGCTCCTTCTGTCCTCTCAATGGCGGCTTTTTAGTTTTTATATAGGCCGATTTCAAAACTGCTAGATGGAAAGACAACCAGGCTCTGACAATTATCTGAAGATGTTGTCATTACAGAGTTTTGCACAATCTGGGTTCTAAGGACCATGTTATTTTATCCTATCCCCCAATCTTTGGATCGTTTGTCCTACGTAGCCAGAGTCACATTGGCACGTAAATTCATTAACAACGAAACTTTTATGGTTGGTAGGAACGCTATCCTTTTGAATGAATGAAAGGGCCCTCCTAGTGCTGTAAACCATACGGGGATTGACAGCAAAGAAACATTTTGTGATGACTTGCTTAATCTGACTCTCAAATCCCATAGAAGTGTTACCAATCAACGGTAGCTTCAGATAAGCTGGACACTTTTGCGGACCAAACTTTTGTACAGCTGAAAAACTTGTGATCTTCTCCTCAGTATAAGACAAAATGATATCTTCTGGAGAGCCGTTTCTGGAGAGTCTGGAAAGATCGTTTTAAGCTTTTCCAGTTCAGCGTGAAGTTTAGATTTCAAGCAGATCATGAGTGCCCTATGTACTAAAGTTTTGACTGATCGGAACAGTAAAAGTGGTTTTGAAGAACAGGGTACAAAACTTCAGAAAGCCAGTTGTGCTCAACCAAACATCAACAAGATGGATCTAATTGGAACGTTCTGCTTGTGTACTTTAGGGAGGCCATACATTTTTGGTCGTTGAGAGCCCGTGGGTCATATCCTATCATAAATTTCTGTCGTCAACACTTTTGAGTTGACCAGTTTCAACAAACGTTTTTGGAGTTTCCGCTCTAGTTTGGCCGTTTGGTCCTGTGTTTTGACATTACCCAATTTGGCAAATTTTTCTTTGTCCTCCTAGTTTTTTTCAAAACTCTTGATAGGCCATCAGTAGTTCTAAACCAACAGCAGCCATCTAAAAAAGTAGATACTGCGAAGCTGGTAAAACGGAGCTAAATTGAATAGTTGGGTGTACATTTTATCTGACTTCAGTGGCTTAGATAGGAAAATTCGTAGGAGGAGCGAAAAAAATAGATTTTCCGGCAGAAGTCTAAAAAGCATTTTAATCTTTTCATGAATCTGAACACACAACAACTAGATTAGAAATGAAATGACTGAGTAGATAAAGTCTAATCGTTTATTCCAAGTCAAGTGTCAAAGTGGTCTTTTTCTTTAAAACAGCTTTTTAAGAAGAGTACTTTATTGAAAAAGATTGCCAATCTGATTCAGAAAAACAGAATAAAATTGTTATATTCAGCTTTGAAACAACTCCTTTCAAAAAAGTTACACTTGGATAGTATAAAAAAACAACAAAGTGCAATTCCAACAAGATCAGAAAATTTCTGACAAAATAGCAGACTACCTTTTACACAGGGTTTCACCCACTCGAACCCCAATCTTTCCACACCACTGTCTGACTTAAACCAAGTGGTGTGTGTGCCTTTAAGCAGAGCGACTTTAACCTGATATGACTGTTATGACGAAGCTAATGGGCCTACTTAAACATATTCGAGGAAAAAACGTGTGTAATGGCGGTTAGTGTTGTTGCATAAAAAACTATTTTAGCAATAGCAGCCTGGGGGCAATAAAGAAAAATCAGCCAAGTCATCAAAATTCTTTTCAGAGTTTTCATGCAGAGAGTAAGAAACATAATATTGCCAAAAATCGGGGATAAACAATTCGCCTACAAAGAGGGAAAGGGCAACGCAAATGCCACCGAAAGAGCAATAGAAACAAAACATGACTTATAGCTTTGCTTCATCGATCATACAAAGGCGTTTGATACCCTTCAGACATAATGAAAATCCTCAAAAACTAGATGTGGAAGGTATGGACCTACAAATCATTATTGGGAACAGATGGCGTCCATCAAACATGATGGTGAAATAGAGCAATTTAAAAAGAAGAAGTGGGAAGTGCGTCAGGGAGGTGTGTTTTCTCCAGACCTGTTCTCAATCTATAGCGAATGCATCATGAGAGAAATAGATGAACTTCAAGGAATTAAGATTGACGGTAACAACATAAATAATCTTCGACTTGCAAATGACACAGTATTAATTGCGACATCAGAAGAAGATCTAAAAATACTAGAAAACAAGTAAAAGAAAAAAGTGAAGAAAAAGGACTGAGTCTCAATGCAGATAAAACGAAGACAATGGTGGTATCTAAGAGTAAGACAACGTTATAACAAGTAAACACTTTCAAATACCTAAATAGAGCTAAATAGAGCCCATTCTAACTTACAGATGTGAAGCACGTATGATCAGAAAAGCAATGGTACGAGCTCCGGCACAGGTTTGAAAGTAGGGGGGCAAGGGAAATTAAGAACACCCATAACAAAAGATTTCAAAAAGCTCTAGAAAGGAAGCGAGAGGTAGTAACATATGAAAGAAAGACTACATAGAAGATGTAGTATTTATGAAAAGGCACTGTCACATTACAAGATAAGTAAGAGATCTACACTGCCAGGACAAAAGTATTGCAACCCCTGCCAAGGCAATCATGCAATACATTTCAATGTTGTCTGATTAAGCTATTCTTTAATCGGCCAATGGCGTGCAAATAGGACAATGAATTCAATTGTTGTGAAAGATAAGATACGTAGCAGCATTATAAACAGAATCAATGCTTTCAAAAGCTGGAAGGACAGATGAGGGAAAAAATTATTAAAGGGCTGCAATTCTGATATGATTCTAACTAAGGTATCATAAACATTAGTATGTTTGGTTGGCATTATTACCTTTACACGGAAAACAAATGTTTCCAGAAACTTCTTGGTGAGAGGTACATGGCCAGTCAAGGTCATATCTTGAACAACCTATAAAAATGAGAGATCAATCACTGAAGAGATGTGTTGAAGTCACTTTACAAATCATTGACATCAATTGCGTACTATTTCTGTGCCAGGTATATTGAGTACTATTGGCTGAAACTAAATTTCACTAAAGGTTTCTAAGATCATATTCAAGTGAATTTTCTGTAAAATTACTTCCAATCTTTATGTACAAAGAATCAGTAAATTCATTGATAATTATATAAACCTACATTTAGGTGGTCAAGTGAGAAAAATAGTTTCTCATAATCTGTCAGCATGGTTAGGGGATCCTTTTCCGAAAGTTTGGGCTTATTAAGTACTCGATGCTAAAGAGAGGGGCTTAATCACGAGGAGGGGGCTTTTCGAGAGGTTGGAGGGTAACAGAATTATAAGGACATTCGTTATTCAATAAAACAAAGCAACATTGATTTGAAAAACTTAAAGCTTACTTTCGCAAAATGTCGAATATTTTAGGGTCTGGCTTGTCATTCTATGAGAAAGTGACCTAAGGCAACTGATGGTCTGACAAAAAACATTCAAAGGAAATAGGGAAATGCAACTGAAGCACAATACCTTTGAGTGCCCACAGAAGTGATGCAAAGACCGAGTGCTTTGCTGCAGGTTCTTTAAAACCCCGTGAACTTCTTCCTGAAATGTAAGACTTTTATGTGTATTGGTGTAACGGAAACTACAATGTTCAGAATACCATAGGACAACATTTGCCAAAAAATAGTTTAATAATAGTTCAAATAATCATCGAAAATAGTTCGTTTCTTACGTTGACTCCCAGAACTATTCCTGGCTAGCTTCCAAAATTGGCAGAGCCCGGTCGTCTTCTTATCTAGGAGTTTTGGCATCGATCTTCATACAAACGACAAAGCCGATATTGTGTAGACAGAAGGAGTTCGTTTTCTCTCTTGGACTCTAGTGGTAATTTTTCTTTAGGCATGCAGCACGGATTGGACAATAATGCCGGTCTTGTGCTTGCATTTTCTGATTGGCTTATTACGGTCCACAACTGGGTATATAATTTTCATTGTGCTTCTTCGGACCCTTATTCTGACATTCTATGCTCTGAGGAGTGTCAGACGAAAAAGCTTTTAGCCAATATGTTATAAAATGTTTGCCATTTTCAGATAACAAAATATAACACCTGTATTTAATTTCACCAAAAACATGAACAGCCCCTGACAATGATGAGGCTGCTTAGGAAGATCTAAGTCTTCAGCAATACGTAGGGGGCGCCCAGTGCCTCTTTGAAGCATGATAAGTAATATAGTAAAGTAGAATAAGTCAATTAACCATATGATTAAATCGCGCCTCGAGAAAACAATGCTTTGCACATATAGATAGAAATCTACATCAAACAAACAAGTTTGTGATTAACAAGATGGAACCAAAAGGTCAAGACAAATTCTGGACTATAACAAGTTTGAAATCTAGTGGCAACATAATAGCATGAGATTTAATAAATACCTTATTTTTCTTGAGAGTCAAGTCGAGAATAGGCATGCAATATTTAAGAAATGCCTCCAGGAACCGGCAACCATTCTGCATCAAAAGAGGTACATAGCACAGCAACATAATAAAAGAAAACCTAATATTTAATTTACTTTAACAAAAAAATTCATAAGTGAAAGCGTTGAAAAGAAGTAGGCCTGTTGAGGACCAGAATAAGGAAATTGTCAGAAAGGATGCTGTCTTTCATGGTCGAGTAAATAAGAAATGAACCTAGAACAGATTGCAACATAATTTTTTTGGAGCCTTATGTTACTGAATAGCTGTTTTATAACATAGTAAAAGAACGTATAATAAAGTCTAACGTGGGAAAAGCTTTGAAATCACAGGTTATTTCTAGAGGTTAAAATCCACCATTCTTGGTTCTTATTGAGTTGGTTATTACATGGTCGACTTACGAAAGGAAGTAACTTTGGTCAGGAGAATATAATGGTAAGTTATTTATAATTTTAAACCTGAATTGAGTTTTGTCGTCTTTATAAATCGACAGCTTTGGATGTGGTCTAATTTGGGCGTTGGCTGCAAATTCAGACTTCTTTAGGTGTTGCAGTAGATCTATCTTAGTTTGCATTAACTTTTCGTCTGTAAGCATCTAGCCCAGTCCTTTGGATGGAGTTTCTCGTGCTTTTTCTCTCCACAGTTGTACTTTGTGGACTTTAATGTTGGTGGTAGGCTCTGGGCTTCAACAAATGAACTTTATTGGCAACTTTCTTGCAAAATCTTTGAACCGAAGGCTATCAAGGGACATGTGATCGGTTCAGTTGTACAAGCAAACTAAAGTCTTCTCCCTCGCCTTTTTAATGTCTTCTCCTTGACTGCGAGTTTTAAAAATCTTAGCCTGCTGATGAAATTCTTTAATATGTCTCACAATTTTCAAAGTAATTGCTTTTTCCAAGATCCATAGATGAGAGATATACAGAATATGTTGAGAGACTGTTTCTTTCAAAGCTGCTTCGTCCTTAAGATATCCCAAGACATTCACCACTTTGAATTCTGGGTCTTTGTCTGCTGCACGATTTAAGAGTAGGATTAGAAAATCTGTATTATCCCCAACAAATATGGTTTGATTTTCTTTGCTTTCCTAATTGTTCTCTTGACAAGCAAAACTTCTGCATCACTCTTAGCATGAATATTATGTGAGCCAATTACCTTCAATGGAAATTCAGTCATCTTTCACAAGTGCATTGACAGTATCATTTTGCATTCATAGTATTCAACTAAACCTGTTGCAATGCTTCTCAGGGATGTATCGTTTGCAAAGGGATTTTAGCGCCAAAGAACAGGCAAACCATTTTATGTCTTCATGATATCTTCTTTGTGAATTCGTGTCCTTGGCTAGTGCAAATCCTTATGTTGCTCACTGATTTGGTATTCTACCCCATAGTCATAAGAAAGGGATAGTCTGGAAACGAACAACTGTCTTTTGAATTCAGCTATTGTTTGCTTTCCAATGTTGATGCTAACTCGTACCCAGTCTTCTACGTGCACATTATCTTTGGGGACGATTTAGATGCTCTTTTGGCAAATCTTGATACAGATTTACAGATAGAAAGTGAAGCTTTTGATGCTGATTTGAATGTTTTAATGGATGAAATAGAATCAACTCCTCCTGTTGAAGGATTTCCATGCGAGACGTGCGACAAAATTTGCAAAACAAAACGAGGACTAACCCGTCACAGAAATGTAGCACATGTTGATGTTCAGCCAAACGCTGAAGGTTTTGCCATGTCAAATGCTAAAACACCAGAGCAAAAACTTCATCCACTTATCTTTTAAGAAGTTTATTGAAACCAGCGTTGCTAAGTTGGCTTCTGACGAATGTTACTCAGATAAGTTGCGCGCCGAGTTCTCTCAGTACCAAGTCAGTTTTGCTGATGCAAAATTTTCCTACCAGCACGTTAGGGGCGTTATTGGCGATTTCAAGGGAAGCGCTGAAAAGTTCTACCCAGATTTTTACAGATGTGTGTCTTCGGATGAAGCAGTTTTTAAGAATCTTTCCCATTGGGGCTCAGTTATCTTGGGGTTTGAAGTTGCAAATCATGTTTTGTCACATCTAGCTGGTGCTATTGTCAAAGAAGGTAATGTTGGTTCCAGTCAACATGTACCCTTTTCAGTAAAAGAAGTCAATCTTATCCAGTACCTGAGTGGCTTTGTTTTTGGTACAGTTTATCGACGTATCAGGCGATCAAATAACACAAAGAATATGCTTGGAAATCAAAGTCTCAGCATTTTACTTGCTGGAAAGTCAGCTTTAGAAAGCAGCTCGTCTGGAAAAAGCTTGTTCACAAATGCCAAAGATAGAGGGGGGCTTTGGAATGTTACATCTGAGGCATTTAATATCTTTACACTTGTTTAAACAAAGTTCAGGCAGTTTGTGAATACGTTGAGCAAAAGAATTGATAGCAAACAGTTGGTATCTGATTTAATGAAAAATCCGATTGTTTTGGCAAATTACAAGATTTTATGCAATCAAGCTTCAGAGAAAGTCAAGAAGGAAGTAGCATTGAATTTGCGGGAACATATGATAATGCTGTATGTTCGTGTCAGAACATTTTCACATATTAATGACCAGGTTGAAGTGCATAAAATCCAATCAAGGAATAAGAAATCAAGATCACTTCGCACAGAATTGAAAAAAACAACAGGGAGTCTTGACCAAAGGGCATTAAGGACCTTATATGTAATGCCCTTTTATGCATGATTATTCACAATTCGTATTCAGTGTTTCATGTGTTAATTGTAGGACCACTCTATATGACATAGGACATCTAGGTATCTTGTTAATTTCAAACAAACTATCTACACAATCTAAAAAACAACAGTTTCATTAATTCAAATCAACTCCTGAAGTATATATAACTTAATACTGCTAGATTATGTGTAATTTTTTCAAAAAAATAGGTTTCTATAGGAAAACATCAACTTTTGAAGGAATCTTAATTGTGTTTGATATACATACACTTAGTGAGTAAAAGTATTGCACGGGTTTGACAATTCAGTAATGGCGACCGCGTTGGCAACAACAAAGCGATCGAAATTCAAACCACTTTTGTGAAGCCATTAGGAGTCTTTTTATGGTTAAAATCTAATCAAACCAAACTTCAAACCGTTGACAACACTTTTAATTTAGAAATTGAAAAAGTTACTTTTTAAAAAATAAAATTTTTTAACTTTTTATTGAACAGTCTCCCAGCTTCGAAACCTTTGAGAGACTTGCCAAAACTTTATCAAAAAGTTTAGTAACAGGTTCTATTAATCGCGACATGATAAGTTCAGAAAAACATTTGCAAGATCACATTAAGGTATTGAAGTACCAAGTTGATCATAAATGGACTTGTATTTGGTGGAAAGTGGCATGTTTTAAGCCATTTTATTACGCCTACTCTTTTACAGCTATTGAGGCACTTGAGTGAGCCTGTTTATCGCGGGAAATTTGGTATTTTCATTTGATGAGAGGACGAAATGTTGTTTTACGCAATTTGCAACATTATTTGTTCCCATTGCAAAATGGAAATCGGTTGGAAAAGATGGACTTTACGATTTGTGACACATTTTATTGATTGAATTTTGCTGCAATATATAACGAAGCGGCCGCTGCGATTAGGCCCATTGTTGCTCCAAAAATTTCCGACCAAAACATTTAGCAGATACTCCAACAAAAGTGAGGAAAATGAGCAGTTCTAGACACCCAAGCATAAAGTAAGTACCCCCGAGTTCATTATAAGAAGATATCGCAAATTGGTGCAAAGATGAACTTTTTATTGCAAATGTTTCACAGGTACTTCAATCATCATGGCTCAATTTTTTTTGTTTTTGCGATATGTTGATTGTTTAGAAATAGGCAAAAATCAAGAATATTCATGCATAAACTATTTCACCAGCAAACCTTGATAAATTATCCAACATATTCCAGTTAAAAAGTCATCTTATAACTTTTATGAAACTTACTATGGCCACTTTAATTTTGGTTTGATAAAAAGTTTTTGCTGCGGAGCGGCCATTTCTGTCTCAGCCTGTGCAATACTTTTGCTTACCAAGTGTATATATATATGTTTATATAATTCATACAAAGATTTTATTGCAAAGAAAACGGAACTCCAGACATGTTGATAAAAAAATGAAGACATGGCAGATCAAAGTTCATAAAAATAAGGCTTGTAACCAAAAGCTTGTTTGTGCGAATTATCTTGTTATACCCCACTGTAATTTAAAATCCACTTTTGAAAAATTATTGAAAAAATTTAAATTAAATACAATGAAAGTGTTGAGAAGATTTATGGGAAACAGAAGTGATCAAAAAGTTAAATATTAGACAAAATATTGTTGCTATAAAGCCATTTCATGCCCCAGGCCTTGGTAAGAGCTGTCTCAGACTTTTATTAGCAGAGCACCATAGTTCATACATACACTCATACACTTTTATATAAAAATATATACTAAATTTGAATTTTCAGGTATAAAGACAGCCTAAGAACATAAGCCCCTTCAACATACTGGGGCATGTATCACTATCACTATAGGGCCTTATAAATATACAAAAGAAACTTTGTAATTTGTCAATCTGGAAATATGTGAATATTGAAGCAAATAAAATTGAAAACATTGATCCTGGAAAAGATAACATTGTTACTATACACAACTAAAAAGTGTATCAACCCATCTAAGTCCTATAAGTATTTGAATATCAGATATCTAAATCCTATAAGTATTGTTTATGTTTTAAAGTGTTACATATGGGAACTGTTGATTCTGTAAGGTTTTTGATTTACCTTAGTAGACTTTATTTCTAATCTCCTTTAATCACCTGATATTGTTAGCTATTTAATGATAATGAGAATCTTTTCTTGTACATGTACATAATTTTTTTCTATTAGCTTTCTTGTTACTTCTTGGGCTGGAGGGTTGGGTAACATCATTCTTTTTACTTCATGGAATCATCATTGTAACAGTTTCCTGTGATCGGCTGAAAAAGTTTGGTTGTGCGGATTGTGTTATCATTGTAGCCTATGTCACGCAGTGATGGGTTGTCTTTCCGATGACCAAGTGATCTCGGACGCCCAAAGTAATTTTCCAAAGGGTCTTGGCAGAATCGTTCGGTCAAAATGTATGGCACACCTTTCCGAAGTAGGTACTGGAGAAGCTCAATACAGGAGTGTACAGTAATCTTTACACCTTCATGTGTTTGCCAAGAGATGAACATTTTTTCTCTATCATGTTGAGAAAAAACACCAGGGCGAGCATCAACTGAATCTTTCCAGTCTGCAAGGTATTTCAGGAAGACATTTGTCAACCATATAAAGCGTTCATCTTGTTTGGACTTGTAGGGCTTCAAAAAGGGCTTTGCTTTTTTACCAAACTCTGTAGTGTTCCTTACATTCATACAATCAAAGAATTTATCAAACATTTGGCAATATGTGGCAGTAGCATGTGCTTCAGTTGGACCAAATGTTTGAACGGCTTGTGATACTGACTCACTCAAAACCTGAGCTGCAAGCCTGACATTCATGACAGAGAAGCTTGACAAATTGATGTGGTCATTTGTTAGTTTTGGCACCAGATGCAAGCCACAATCTACACCATCATAGAAAAGCTTTGATATATGATTCCATGTCAAGAAATCCCCATTATTCCACATGCCTCTGCTGCATGACCCAGCAAAAGAGTTGCGAAGACAATTTCTTGCAGTTTTGAGCAAATGAGGAGGATCTGCAAAAAAGTAGATGTATCTTTCTTCCTGAGCCATAACATTGCGTGTGCGGTAGATAACATCTACACCTGTGTTTACATCTTCAACACGGGTCATATGTAAATGCATCCGATACATACTTCTGTTTGCAGATGCACCATCACTTGTGACACCAACAACTTTCACACCACACTTATCTTCAAGAATCCCAACTGCTTTCCAAAATAATGCAAAGAGTTGGGTTGATTTTGCATTTGTAGTGGCAAAATTGGCAAATGAAAATTTCAAAGGGTTGACAATCCTTCTCAACAGAAAAACCAATACGTGTGATGCTAATTCATTAGATTTCTTTAAAGTTGCAAAATTGAGCTCAGGATCACCCAAATCAACAAAACCGATAATTCTCCAGTATGTTTATCCCAAACTAAATCTTCTTTAATTTTCATCTCATCTAACAGTATGATGCCATATTTCTCAATTTCCTGGAACTGAGATACGATGGTTGATAACTCTTGGATAATGTCTTTATTGAAACCTTGCTTCGGACGAATATAGTTTTTATAGTTTCGGAGTTGTCTGCGACTTGGCAAAACCACAAACCCACTGTTTGTTTTTTCATCAAGGCGAATCTCATCGTAAACAGCTGGAGATTTGGCAGCCAGACCTAAGCAGTACCGAATTATCATGGGGTAATAGCGAACACTAGTTTTGGATGTCGATAGATATTTTTGCTGTTCTTTCCAGAATAGTTTCATAAAAGGAGGAATTCTGCTTTTATCAGCACCAGACATAATGGATATTAAGTCATTACTAATGTTATCATCAACTTTCAGGGAATTTTGTATGATTTCTTCTTTCATGATAATAATTTCCTCTCTCAATTTCTTGTTTTCAAAACGGTAATTTTGCATGGTAAGTTTCACACGCTCTGAGGATGTTGAAGAAATTGGAGCTTTTAATTTAGCAGGAAGTGCTAAATTATCTCTCTTCCTTTTCAAACTCAGTTTCTCTTTTGACTCTACAATCATGCACTCTGCACACTTTACAGAAGATTGAGAAATTAAAACAAGACAAGAAGGTGGGCGATACCATTTACTTTGATGTAAAAGGTTATCTATTGTGCTGTTATACACCTTGGGTACGGAATGCTCAATGCAACCACCAACAAACTGATGTGGTAAGCCTGGGCAAATTTCCAAAGATATTGTAGATTTGATCAAATTAGATATTGTAATATATCTCACAGAACGTTGATTTTCAGCGTACAAAGCATGAGAAGCAGGAAGACTCTACAGGAGCATACGAACTGTGAAGGAAAGATCTTCTTCGACATGAATTTCGTACTTTGGTACCATATGAACATGATCAGCGAAAGTGAATGAAAGACTGCTGCTCAAATCAGTAGAAATATTCCAACCAGCAAGCTTGAGAGCACGGGCACGAGTTGCAAATTCACCGAAAGAATTATAGTATTCAAACTGTTGTTCAACTAGGCCTGATGGCTCCAAAAAACTTGCATGCGATGATTTCTTGTCTAGGATAGCATCTGCTGATTTGCGAGGTTTACTTGCAGAAGACGAGGAAGAAATACTTTTAACGGGAAGATTCAGAGCGGGAATAGCACCAGGAACCAATGTGCATTTATTGTCGTGACGATGGTACTGATCCTCAGCAAAATGACGTTGGCAAATGAACAATTTTTTGTTATTAATTCGGGCTCTCAGCGGTCCGTCAATGACTCTATCTCGAGTAATAACAGCAACGAGCTTCTGTCTCCAATCGGTTTCAAACTTTCCTTCGCCTGATGGAATTTTAAATAACGATATACCTTTATATTTACATCTTCTTGAAACTGGACAGCCATAAATCGAACAGTTATCACCTGGCATTTTTACGAAAAACTAAGCATTATCGGCCATAGCGTGACACAAACTGTGAGAAAAGCGGCCTAAAATCGTGTGCATGTAGAGAACTGGGTACTAGTCTTGATTTGTTAACAAAAAGATAGAACAATGATCGATTGTTCGTTTCCAGACTATCTTTTTCTTATGACTATGTCTACCCTAAGAAATTGCTGCATTGCTATATTGCCATCTGCAAAAACAGGCTTGTTCAGAATCCAGTTAAGTCACGAGTTCTGTGATTCAATTTCCACGCGTTTGGCCGCTGTGTCATTTGGTTGATGTGTCATTTGGCCGCCGTGTCGTTTGGCTGTCGTGTCTTTTAGCCGTCGTGTCCTTGGCTACCGTGTCATTTGGCCGGTGTAACTGTGAGCACTTTGTCTATCAACATGAAAGCTATGTTAAAATGTTCCACAAAAATAAGGATTTTCTCTGGTAACTCATTCATTAGTTGCAGGTTTAGATAAGAACTTTTGGCTTAAAGATTAAAGCCTGCTCCTGCAAAGAAGGGTAGCATCAGCTGGAATGATTTTAAATGCAGACCGTTAGGCTTAACAAATAAGAAGTTTTGCAATATCTTGATCATTTCTGCATACTGCAGCGAGGGTGTACACGTGTGTTTTGTATATCATCTGCAAATATATTCCCACCTTCTATTTTTTGTATACCTTCGATATGGCTGTGATTATTGTTAAAAATTGCAGCAGGTTCTCATCAGCAGATATCAATTCCGGGAATCCTTTGCAAATACTTCGACAGCTATTGCGTTATCTGAAACTTCTTGTAACTGAAAACTGGTAGACGACATTAGCTGATGTTTCTAATAAGAATGGCATATGAGAACAGAGTAGCATGCATAAATTTTCTCAGCTATTACTCGCAAGCCCTTGACTCTTGATTCTTCCATTTACAATAATATCACTTCAAGTTCTTAGGACTACAGATCTGGAACTATTTGCCAAATGAAAAAAAATCGTCAGACAACCTAAAAACGTTCAAACGTTTGATAAAACAATGGGATGACCCTGCGGATAACAGCAATGCCTGTTGTTTTATTGTAAATAATGTATAAACCACATAGAAAATTATACGATTTTTAAAACTTGACTTTAACCAACCTATTGTTTCAGTAAACCTATTTTAAATCTACCTTAGCCATCGATGTAGGTTAGTTTAGCTGTAAATTTGTGTTTTGTAGACTATTTGCAACTATTTGTGATCGATGTAAAAAAAATTTACAACAACAACAAGTTTCTTGAAGGCAATTGAACGATCCAGTGGAGCGGCTTGTGTAAAGGTGGCCGTCATCACCATGCCCTTATCGCCATTACCCGAAAGATAGCACGGCCCTCCGGCCCTCTAAAACGTTCAATTATCATGATCAACAATGTCAGTGCAAATTGAACAAAAGTGCAATTGGCAACATACTCGACGCCAATTTTCTGTGAAACAGCAGCATATTGCATGAACGTTTCTACTTCAGTGTATGATAAAGAAAACCAAGCTTAAAAACAATGTCTATCAAGAGTCTTTATGAAAGGTTCCGTTATGATGGAGTTGCTTACCTAAACCAAGCAGTAGATGCACCAGAGGCATCTTTGGTCTTCATTTTTGTATCAAAGCTTGACCAATCTTACAAAATTTAGCATCAATATCTTTACCAAAAGTAAAATTTGTAAAAACAATTCAATAGCTAAGTACGCCGAGTTAAATCCAAAACAAAAGTACGCCGAGTTCTTGTAAAAAAGCTACTTTTCGCTGATGATGGCGTTTTTGTTTCCCACGGTCCGGAAGGTCTGCAAAATTCTTATAGACTGACTGAGCGTGGCCTATGGAGACAGAGCACCAAGAAAATGGTTGCTATGAATTGCTCAACAGCCGACAGCCCAGCAATCCAAGTGGAAAACCAAAAGTTGAACGTTGTCCACCAATTCTGTTATCTGTGCTCCACCATCAGTACTGATCTGTCCCTCGATAGAGAGACAGATGTCCGAATCAGCAAAGCGGCAACCACCTTCAGCCAGCTACGTGCTCGTGCCTGTAACAACAAACAACTTACTGAGAAAACAAAGACACGTTCCTTTCAGACCTGCATGCTGAGTGTACTTCTTTCTGGATCCGAAACCTGGACAACATACACTAAACACGAAAGGAAGTTGAACTCTTTTCATATGTGCAATCTCTGCAGAATCATCGGTGCGTCCTGGAAGGACCATGTCCCCGCGCAAGAAGCCATTCAATGTTCCACATTGGGTGGAGGACAGGCGGCTGCCATAAGACATACTCGATGGTGAGCTAAGCAGCAGGTCAAGACAGAGAGAACAGCCCAAACTGAGGTTCAAAGACTGTGCCAAGAGGGATCTCACGAAAATGAACACACCCCTGGAAGACTGGGAAGCAATGGCATTTGACCGCATGGTGTGGAAAACTGTAGTCAGGGACGGCAGCAAGAAGATTGACTTTGACTATCTAGATAGACGATGTGTCACGAATGTGTGCTAAGGCCCCAATCTGAACTGTGTCAATCAGACTTTATGCTTTTGACTTCCTATCTCTTGCACGATAACATCTCTCGCAGATTGAATGAAATGTGTCTGTATGTATGTAGTGCAAAGAGATGCAACATCTAACCTACAAATCCGTCCGGCTATGATAACCTGGTCTTTAGAATGGTCAAATTCATCTCGTCCTCGTATACCTTCTACTGTAGAGCACCTTGTCTTTATCAAGAAATTCTCTCAGTTTCTTGCATAAGTTATCAATTGTAAGTTGCTTATTGTCATTCTCTAGAAAGTACCATGTCTCTTAATGCAAATCTTCATTCTGAATAGCATTTTTCAGGCCTCCTCTTTTTGCCAGTCTCGTGCTCAGTAGCAAATTGTGATGGAAACTTCTTGCCTGTGCGAAAGTCCTCACTATGGCAGAAAAATCCTTCAGCCAAATATAGGTCCTGAGCATACTCCATTCCACCTGAAACTGCAAATGGCCATTCTTTTAATCTCTCTTGGCAAAGCTGTAGAAATAGTTCTTTGGAAATCACGAGTCGCACAGGAATACATTCAAAGGGCCCCTGCTTGCCTCTAGATTTCCTAGGTTAACCAAAAAATGGCCTTGCGTAGGAAATCCTTTGAAGAACCCTGTGACCGCTTGCAAGGTTTTGAATCAGTGAATTCTCATTAATTTTTCTTTTTTCGCAATCAAATACAAATGGGCTGTTATATTCTTTTCGGAATTTCCAGTGTACTATTTGTCCAGCTGTAGACTGTATGGTACTTTTACGCTCTTCATTTTCTTTTTGTGATATTTGTTCCCTTTTCGCGTAAACCAACAAATGGTTGACCATCTAGCAGATCTTTATTGAATAAGGCACAATTTGCTTTATCTTCCATATCACAAAAATGAAGACACAATGACAGCAGTAGATTGTGAGCAAAAATTTGAAATTGAAATTTCATTACCTCACACGAACAAATAAAAATGAAAACGGAAATAGAAACAGTTTTAGAAATATAAAAAATTTCACTTTTTCAAGTGCTCTAGATTTATCTATAAAGTCGAATAACATTACAACAAATTCTATAACCTTGTATTCGAGAGCTGTTTGGGATTTAGTTGGCCTTTATTCATTTTTTCAATTACTATGAAAATGTCACAATTAAAAATTGTTTTTTCCACCCCTTTCACAGTGTATAGTTCAAAAGATTTAAGCTATAAACCTTGGGTATAAACCAATATCAGGATGTTTGATCTAACAAAAGCTCACGCAAGACCGAGGCCTCACTTCAAAAGTAAGGTTATAATCTGATGATACTCTTGCCACGCATCCCTTTGAAGTAAAAGGAAAGTGCTTTGAAGATCTCAGAAGTTTTGTTTCTTACCCGCGTATACGATGCAACAATTTTCTAAATTTATTCCATTTTCAAAGTCTGCGAACAGCTGTTATCTAATAGAGAAATGGTGTCTGAAGTGAAGGCCATTCTAACTCTAACATATTCTTTTTTGTCATGCTCTTCAAGCCAGTTGAAGGCATTCTTCGACAATTTTTCAGCCAACTCCCTCTGGTTTCTATCTTGAAAAATAGGCCGAGGCAGCATTTAACTTTTTTCAATTGTGTGAATTCCTTGAAATCAAGACCTTAAAAATACAAACATATTGTCTAGAAAAACACTGCTTAAAAGAAACTCGAAAGATTTTAGTTCTTCTAGGAAAGATTCATTAAACATTTTACGTCGCAAAAGGTTAGCATTCCACATATTTTGATGTCTGGATATGGGGGGTTTCAACAACAACCACATGGTCAGCACATGCCTTTGTCCAAGTTTAAATGCTGATGGCCTTTAGTTTAACAATACCACTTAGCACAATTCCACTCTCCCCATTTGGTATTCTTCACATATAACAAATATTATTATGTTCGGCAAGCCCCATTTAAGACTCAATGGTGTGATATTTTGCTTCTGTATGCAGGTTGGTGCTATGGGGGTGGCTCTGGAAGGTATGACAACCTTCAATAGTTCTCGAGATAACAGGCTAAAAAGTGAAAATTCACAAATTTTAATACTTTACATGTTAATCCGATCAGTGATTAGTTGCCAGTAAACATAGTATCCATATGTAAACATCGGCCCCTGGCAACTTTTTCATCCGGTTGCTCACCCCAGTCTCTTTATGCAAATTGAACATGCGGATATTGAAAAGGTGTATTCCATGTGAGTTGCAAAAAGTTTTGCTGCATCTCAGCAGAGCACATTACCTTCCTAGACATATTAACTTTTCCTTCACATTCAAAAACCTTTCTGCCATCAAACTGGTGTATTTAAGCTGTGTTCAGGCGCTCAGAATGGTTAAAGCTTAAAAACAGAGTCATTGTTTACCTCTTATCGCCGCATCCCGTAACTGTTCTGTCAAGTTTGATCGTCATTAACCTTTTTTCTCGAACCAACTTCAAATCCAAAATGAATGTGAAACCGGTCTATTTTGAAATAATTGCACAAACTCGCTTTTTAACGATCAAATTTTCTTATTCCACCAACATAGATGTCCCTAAACTTTCATATGCAATAGAGAATTGGTTAAGGTATAATTTCCGAAGAAAAAATCATTATTACAATTTGTTCTAGGTTTCGATAATTTCTAAGTTATATTGACTGAACCATCAGATCGTGCAATAGAAATGATAACAATGATAGCATGTATGCATAAAAACAAATATAGACTATTCGTCAAGCAAAGTTACCTTTAGGGCACTGCCAAGAACGGATCGTGTTTCTACCACCTGGAAAATGTGAAATATTTACAGATTTCTGGCCATAACATAGACAGAGAGAGGGTTTAAACCAGCACGCAAGTTGCTGCCATATGTAGCAAAAAAGTAAGGTGGCGTAAGTAGCACAGCTCTTGCAAATTCATGAAAATTATGTGCTTTACTTTTATAATGAGAAAGCATCCAAAGTTATATCCGGGTTTGCGTCATTCAAAGGCTCCAGGATACTTAGTAAAGCTTTTATTGGTTCTCGGCAATTGCTTGTTATGCAAAAAATTGCCAGGTGTGGCAGAAACTTCACAACTTTGGCTACAACTATAACAGGGCTACGTATCATTGTCAAGAAACTGTGTAATCATTGAGACACCCCATGACTTTTTGATAACCAGCATCTTTAAGCTTCATTGACATTTCTATACTAGAACAATATATGCTTGTTTATGTTAAATCGAAGTTGAGTTGCGAGCCTAGAGAGCCTGAGTAAAGTCTACACGGTCAAGGATTGATTATCTTATGAAGGAAATTTGCCTTTATTGTGTATAAAGTTATAGTTGTGTTGAATAATCGAAGCTTTGAACCCATACAATCGGATGAATTACTTTTCGAGCTATTCTTTGGAACTTGGTGTGGGGCCTACCCTCGTTCCCAACCCAAAAAAGTTATCTTGCAAAAATATATGACAATCATCAGACAAAATGGGAGAACTGACTAGCACTTTGTTTTGAGACTTAGTTCACAGTTTTGAGAGCTGGCGACAGTAATGCTGTAAAATTTGACACAATGATGATAACATTTAAACTATTATGTTTATAAACACGTAAAATTCTATAGAAATTTAAATTTCTTGTTGTCTTGAAGATACAGCGTGGGTAGCAATAGGGCAGAAGAAAAATCGCTGGAAAATTACAGCGGTAGCATATAGGTTTTTAGCAGTTCAGGGGTTGCTGCCTCAATTATCAAATAAAAGCTGAATAAAATTGAGCTTACGTGTCAAGAGATACATGTCAAGAGATACTTTTTGTCAAGAGATACATGTAAAGAATGTAATAGTCAACAGTAACAGATCAGATAACATATAGAAATATATCACACAAAGAGAGTAAGTGAGCCGTGTGAGCTGATAATGATGCTTCAAATAACACCACAATTATCCCCTCAGTTAGACAGAATGACTTCAAGATAATTTTTTGGAATTTTTCTTCAATTTAACTGTCGATAATTTGACACAGGAAATTCTTTTTACAGAGAGGTTGTGGATGATTGATGATATACGTAAAGGTAAAAGATCTATGATCCAAGAGGCCATACCAATTCAATCACAAAAAAAGATCCTATAAACAAAGATGAAGATTAAGTTGGACTTAGAAAGTTTCCAGATCGGATAGATATACATTTTCACCGCATCAGATCCATTAGAGTAAAGGAGTAGTCTACTTGACCATAGTTGCAGCCTTTACCATCAAACGACTACCTGATATTAGGCATTAGAAAGGATCTCAGTTTCTTCATTGGAAAGTGAAAGATAAGAGTAATCACTGAAAAAGGTACATAAATTTTGAAAGAAACAGCAATAAGATGGAGAAGAAGCTGCGAAAAGAGCAACTGTAATCCAGGTTAAACTTGCTTGTTGTCACAATTTTTGGGTAGGCATGAGACAAAGGATTGATTTAAAATGAAATATTTGTGAATAAGCTTGGCGAGAAAGGAAATTGTTATGCTCTGCTTTTCTGTTATTTTCATGGAGTTCCGTTATTTTTGTCTACACAGTGGAGAGGACTGGGGGGCTGCTAAATATAGCAGCCCCCCAGTCCTCTCCACTTCTTGACTCATGCACCAACTTAATGGCTTGAATGACCACAAAATTGAAGTAACCCCAACATTTCTATAAAATTTGAACTAAACACTCCCTCTATCTATTTAGTTGTGTAACTCATCCTAACCGTGTCCTGCATTAGCCATATATGCTTAAATACCTTTTCGTCAAAACTCCAAATCTTTCTGAATACTGTCCCCAGTTTTGTGCCTAAATACAGTCCGGTCAACCATTCTGCCGGTAACCTACCCACTGCCGAGTAATTATGCTTTTAGTTTTGGGTGGTCGTACAATGTCTCGTTTTTGGTTAGTTTCATAAACCGCGACATAGCACCTTAAAGTATCATTTAAAATTATTTTTCTTCCAAGTGTTCGGGCTCACCTTATAAATAGACTTTACAACTTGTGTCTCAATATTTGACAGGATAATTAAATAACACTGTAAGTCCATACACAGGGGCGTAACTTGGCCAGTAGGTTTGGGGGGGGGGTGAAAAGGGTTTCTGCCCTGCAAAACTGAGTGGTGCCCTGCAGACCTCGTAGCAAAGGTTTGTCTATACTCTTTAGGTTACTAGTGAAAGCTTCAACAATGTACACTGGTCTTTACCAAGCACAAACTTCTAAGCAATAAAAACAAACTTGAAACTTCATTGCCTATGAAATATTTTACGTAAGCGTAAATTAAATGTCAAATTTGATTTTCATTGGTACTAAAGCTTGAATTTCATGACATATGGTGTGTGTGGGTACATGATGGTAGACGTTGCGACGAAATTTAGCCCGGGGGGACTAAGAATCAAGTTTAGTGGTATAGGAGGACCCACCATGGTTGGGTCTGACGTGAAGAAATTTTTTGAAATTATACCTTGTAGTAGGGCTAAAAAGCATCTTTCAGAATAAAATTTAGCAAAATACTATTTTGCTAAAAAAACTGAATATTGTTTATTGGGAAAAATAGGGAGGGGCATGTCATGCTAAAACTCTAGTGATAGACGTTGGGGGAGGAAAGAAACGGTAACCTTTCGTTTCAGATTGCACATAGTTGTGAATGACAGAGGAAGATGTTGTTTTGATTGGGATAATTTTATTTCCTGAACAGAAATGTGTAGTTTCTTGTCTCGAGAAGGCCATGTTTACACATCCAAAATTTAAACATTGCAATGATACAGAAAGTGATTCACTGAATTAATGCAAATAAAAGAAAAATAATAAAAATATACGTGAAAAAGTTAGTAATTAGATCAAACAAAATCAGCATCTTAACAGTTTATTCTCTTTTTATTTCATGCACTATTAAAAAGTAATAGAAAAAATGATAGAAAATTATTATCTTGACCAAAGTGGGGGCCCTCATCCCCTATTCCCCCCAGTGACGCCGTGCCTGTTATGAAAATAATTTACAACTTAAATTAATTTGCATTGACTCAATCTTGCCCTCATAAACATATGCATCAATTATTGCATCCATTGGTTATGACTTTCGGTAAGACATGCTTTCGCTTTGCAAATAACGGAGCTTTTCCTTACATACCTGTTCCATTCTCTAACATGCAATGTCAGGAAGCAGATTCATAACAAATATGATATTTCCATTTCAAAATTCCTAAACAGCTCTTTATGAACTTCAGAGGTGAGATTTCTGCGTGGCAACAAAGCTCTTCTTGACGCCCTGCGAAATCGATTATTTTTTAGATTGGGGGCGGGGGGTGTGACACCTCCCCCCCCATACCCCCCCAGTATTTTCGCCCCTGTCCATACTGTGCGCATTTGATTGTTCACATTGCAAATGGAAAAATAAAATTTGCTTTAATACAAAAATCAGGGTAACATAATCTAAGCAAAAATTAATACAAGAAAATAAAGCCTTTGTACAAGAATGAAATATAAATACGAGGTTTTGAGCATAACTCTTCATCTGCTCGAAACGTCATACTTACATTTCAGTTTTGTAGAAAGTCGTTATTTTATTGTATCAATTTTTGCTCATTACTCGACGTAACATGCTCAACTCCATTGATTGATAATTTGAGCAATACTTACCTTAACAAAACAAGTTAACGAATTGAATATCTTGACACAACATTTTGTAGAATCTAATATTTGCAAACTCTCCTGTAAAAAAAACAACGAAATGGTTCAGAAATAGATAAACCCAGAACTTTCTTCGAATGGTTCAATATTCAGGGCAAAAAAAGCAAAATGTGCGGTAAGCTTGATTTTTTTTTTGAGTAGAGAAAGGACCACATTCCCAATTCTTTGACTTATGTTACAGCGTTCAATATAGAATAGATATCATCTATAAGAAAAACAGCTTGGCTATACTTACTGATTCAAAAACAGTATTGCTCTTGCATGACAAATCTCTTTTCATAACAAGTGGCAGGTGTTCACTCAAAACTTTGTAAAATATATTAAATGTGTTTCTGAAAGAAAAAAATGATATGGAAATGATATGAAAATGACCATGTAGATTTAAACACAAGCTTCAATAAGAATAACTATTTACAGCCCAATATTGCAAATATATGAACGATTGGATAAAGCCATACTTTTCGACTAGTATGTATGTATACCAATTATCATTAGGAATAAAAATAACTTTTAAGCTAACAAGTGGCTTGACACTAGAATAAAAACTGTTCACAATTGTTACCATAATTGCCAGTCAAACAAGAAAACATATACTTTTCACTTACAAATACTTATACTTAATTCAGGAGTAGATTTTATTACTTAAAAACCTTTTATTGAAAAACAGAAAAGATTCCTTTAAATAGTTATAACTGTAGGGGGATAAAAGATAATCTCCGAAATTCCTCCAATTGCTAATCCGAAAATGTGAATCAAGCTACGTTTCACTGGCAGAAAAAATGACGAAAATTTGCTTAAAGGAAACATGGCTCTGAAAAATGGCTTTGAAAAAGCAAACATGTTTAAAAATGACTAAAGTTTTTCGATTAAGTATAAGATGTCAGAATAAAAATTGAAAACGTTAAGGTCAGAAAATATATTTAGCTATTGTAACAAAATATGCAAATCATAATCACGAGCACGTGAAAAGTAATGTTAAGGTTATCCAATCAGCTACACATGTATATAAAAAAATAACTACTAGAGTTAAAGGAACTAACTCTGTCTAAACAATAGTGCTTTTTATCTTTATGTAGATGGATTCCACAGTTGCTAGATGGAACGACGACAAAGATCTGCCAACCATTCCACACATTGCCATTTCAGTTTTTGAAACAATCTGGGTCTTCTATTGAATCATGAAATTGTTTCAACATTTTTTGTAGAAGACAGATAATTCTTACTATCTTCACTATCACTATTCGAATCACAGTTGTTATTACATAGAATAATTCTGAATAAAGCACTAACTTTTCTTTGGTATGTGGAACGAGTAACAGAAGACAAACAGAATCGCTGAAAAATATTTTACAGGAAAAAGCATATTACCATATCCCTATATGTGAAGAATATAAATTTCTAAAATTTCTCACTTATTTAAACACGGCAGCATCGACTGGCAAGCTCCCTGATCCAAAAAGTCTCCCAAAAAACTTGTATATTGCTCCAAAACGTCTAGTGTCTTAGTAGAGGTATCTAAATGCAACCTAAACAAATATTTGCAACCAAATTAGTAAAATGCTGTTCTAAATGAAGACAAACATGAAAGCAAACAATAGTCCTGTTCTAATTAGGTACACAATGATAAATCTGTGAAAAAAAAGAAATGTGAAATAGAAAATTGAGGAAACATTTTACAACACTTTTACTACTGTCTAATCAAACCAACAAAGGATGATGTAAATGTAGAATTGAGATGGCAGGAGTGGAATAATATGATGTTACTTCTAGTGTTACAAGGTTGTCGTAAAACTTTTTCCACTTGAGCTCTGAAGTTTCAACAGCAAAGAAATTTCAACGAGCCTTCCCTTGCAACATATACTTGATAAAAATGACTTTCAACCACCGTCCCGTGGCACATTAGTGCCATTAATGATTGTCAGCTACACTGTAGAACAGGGGTCGGCAACCCGCGGCCCGCAAGGTACTTTTGTGTGGCCCGGAAGGCCCCTGTTAACCTGTAAATAATGTGGCCCAATGCACGAGTGTCAGCTCGATATTGATTCAGTGATCTTAGATTCTTGTCTAGATTAGCATTCCTCGTTAACATTACTAGTCACTCGAACAAGCTGAACAAGAAGCTTCAAGGCCATTGTCAATTTGTGAATGTCATGTATGAACATGTCATGTTCCTGCTAATGCTACATCTTTGGAAAACTCAGCTGAATCTATGGAACTTGGTTCACTTTCCATCTTCAAATGGAGTTGATAGAGCTGCAGGGTACCAGTGAATTGAAACAGAAATACAAGGAAACTCAGATAATCCCGTTTTAAATGGAGTATCTCCATGGTGGATGATGGTTCATATCAAGATCTGGTGCAGCATGCCAAGAAGATGTGTTGCATGTTTGGAAGTATTTCTCTCCTTCGCGAAAGTCTCTTCTCAAAGATGAAGCATGCGAAGAGTTGACTGCGATCTCGAATGACTGATCAGCACCTTGAAGGCAACTTGCGGCTGCCAACATCAACAATTCTGCCAAATTATGAGAAGTTGGCCAAGGAAGTGCAGCACCAAGTTGCCCATTAGCTTCTTGTAATATACTGATCAGTGAACACCTACTTTACCTCTATGTTTTTATTTACGAACTGCTTCCAAGTTACAGTACATTTACCGATAGTTACAATTTTATTGATTAGATTTTGTAGTCAGGTAGAATTGGTAAATATTAAAATTATACTGTATTTTGAGTTGCGGCCCTCGTATGCATTTCAAAAATCAAATTTGGCCCCCTGTTTTATAAAGGTTGCCGACCCCTGCTGTAGAAAATTGTCTCATTCGTTATATTTGTCTAAAAAAACTTTTATTCTTGCAATTAATTTTTCAATTGTCAAATCATAACAACAGCTAATCAAGGTAGCTAATCACGCTTAAGACTATGCTTCAATTTATAGACTACAAAGCGTTATTTTTTTCTCTCTTTTCGTAGGTGGTTTTTTATAGGATTATTTAATGTAAAAATCCCGTTGGGACTTAGAAAAGGTTTCAAAACACTGAACTCTAGTGGCAGAAGGATATATAGATTTAGCAACGTACTTCATGATGTTTGAAAGAGCCTCATTGTACAACAGTCTATTCCAGTTTTGTTCATTCACCCATTCCTTTCTTAAGCTTTCATCAGCAATGGTGACTATATGGAGGGATTAATAAACCAAACATGTCATATAGTGAATTCATTCCAAAGGAGTAGCACTGAAGTAAAACATTTACGCTTGTGAAGAATGGTGCTTTCAATAAACTCCCTGATTTTACAGATATCAATATTTCAACTAATTTTAGTGAGCATTAAATCGTTTTTACACACTGTCACAGCCCTAATCATGAAAGTGGTATTGACCTCACACCTTGTTCAAATCTTAGAGTTACACTGGTACAAAGTCAAATTCTAAAAAGAGCTGGAAAATTGGTTAAATGGTGCTATCAGTAAATAACCCTTTATTCAAAGACATTTCGTTAAGATTCGTTGAGTTTCCTTCAATACCAAATTCCAATAACACAACTTGGACTCACAAATTGTTGTTTTAGTATATTCACTTTCATCGAACCCCTGTAATGCATCCAATATTTTCAAAACTAAGCAAGTTGTCACTAGGGTACTTGCATTTGAACACAATTCAGCAAAGTAGTGCACCACCACCCTAAAATGATAGAAAATATAGAGCATCACAGGACAGGAAAGAACAGTTTGTTAAGAATACTGACAAATAAAACTGATACATCTTTTTTTAAGGTATACAAACCTGAAAAATGACAACAACCATCACAAACTGTCATAGATAATCACAAACCACCAACTTCATGCCCCACCAACCAATCCCCACCAATGAAACCATCTCCACTACAAAAAACGATTATCGCAACACTGAACACTACAACAACATTTCAAAAACTCAAAAATCATCAATTGAGCACTAACAAGCCGCCAGACACTACAGAAAACTACCATCATCACAAGAATACATCATCATCAGAATCAACAACAACGCGAATCCATCACAAAGAGAAAACAAAATGAACACAAAAACCTCCCAACACCAACAAAATACACTACAATCGCAATAATGAACACCTACCAGAATCCACTAACATCACCAGAATTCACTACCATCACCAGAATCCACTAGCATCAACAGAATCCACTAACATCACCAGAATCCACTACCACCACCAGAATCCACTACATCATCAGAATCCACTAACATCACCAGAATCCACTAACATCACCAGAATTCACTAGCATCAACAGAATCCACTACCATCACCAGAAACCACTACCATCATCAGAATCCACTACCATCATCACAATCCACTACCACTACCAGAATCCACTAACATCACCAGAATTCACTACCATCACCAGAATCCACTAGCATCAACAGAATCCACTACCATCACCAGAATCCACTACCATCATCACAATCCACTACCAATACCAGAATCCACTACCACCACCAGAATCCGCTACCATCACCAGAATCCCCTACCATTACCACAACCCATTACCACCACCATAATCCACTACCATTATCACAATCCACTACCATCATCACAATCCACTACCACTACCAGAATCCACTAACATCACCAGAATCCACTAACATCAACAGAATTTACTACCACCACCAAAATCCCCTACCATCACCAGAACCCACAACAATCAAAAGAATCCACTACCATCACCAGAATCCCCTACCATCACTAGAACCCACTACCACCACCAGAATCTACTACCATTACCAGAATCCCCTACCATCACCAGAACCCAACTACAATCAACAGAATCCACTACCACCACCAGAATCCCCTACCATCACCAGAATCCACTACCATCACCAGAAACTACAATCACCATAATCCACTACCACCAGAACCAGAATCTATTACCAGAATCCCCTACCATCACCAGAATCCACTACCACCACCAGAATCCACTACAATCAACAGAATCCACTACCACACCAGAATCCACTAACATCACCAGAATCCAGAATCCCTACATCACCAGAATCCACTACCACCACCAGAATCCACTACCATACCAGAATCCACTACCATCATCACAATCCACTACCACTACCAGAATCCACTAACATCACCAGAATCCACTAACATCAACAGAATTTACTACCACCACCAAAATCCCCTACCATCACCAGAACCCACTCAATCAAAGAATCCACTACCATCACCAGAATCCAGAACACCCACCAGAATCTACTACCATTACCAGAATCCCCTACCATCACCAGAACCCACTACCAACAGAATCCACTACATCACCAGAATCTACCATACCAGAATCCACTACCAGCACCAGAATCCACTACCACCACCAGAATCCACTAACATCACCAGAATCCCTAACCATCACCAGAACCCAATACAATCAACAGAATCCACTACCAGCACCAGAATCCACTACCACCACCAGAATCCCCTACCATCACCAGAATCCACTACCATCACCAAAATCCACTACAATCACCATAATCCACTACCATCACAAGAACCCACTACTATCACCGGAATCCACTTCCATCACCAAAATCCCCTACCATCACCAGAACCCACTACTATCACCGGAATCCAATAACATCACCAGAATCCCCTATCACCACCAGAATCCACTACCACCACCAGAATCCACTACCACCACCAGAACCCACTAACATCACCAGAATCCACTACCACCACCAGAATCCACTACCATCACCAGAATCCCCTACCACCACCAGAACCCAATACAATCAACAGAATCCACTACCAGCACCAGAATCCACTACCACCACCAGAATCCACTAACATCACCAGAATCCCTAACCATCACCAGAACCCAATACAATCAACAGAATCCACTACCAGCACCAGAATCCACTACCACCACCAGAATCCACTAACATCACCAGAATCCACTAACATCACCAGAATCCACTACCATGCTACACATTGTGTAGTTATGTTCATGTTTTCCTCGGGAGTAATCGTGAAGGGTACTGTGCGACAGAGAGATGTTTAATCTTCAAACGTTATCAACCGAAAACAGAGTTGTTTGAAGAAGAAGGTGGAACAGCGAAAATTAAGTCATTGGAGAATTGAGTCATTTGAAAACGAATCGTTTGAATGAGAGAATCATTGAATGAATGAGAGTCATTTAAAAACGAATTCATTAATCTTCAGTTTCATGATGAGCTCGAACAAAAGATATGGAAAAGGACAAAACAAAGTGATGGGAAAACGTTCGTTATCGTTTTGGCCAAAATGGTGTGGGCTGGGCCATTTATTACTATTAATATTATTAACATTTTATTTACAATTGTTGGCATGAAAAAGGTAGAGATTAGCCAAGCAAAGCTAACAAAAGCCAACTATTTATAAAAGCCAGCAATGGGAAAGGCTCAAGAATAATTGAAACTGAATGATCGGAAAGCGGAGACATACGAAAACGGAGTAGTGGAAACAAGGATTCGATGTCAAACTTCTATTTCAAAAAGAGTTTCTTAAGTGTAAGCCTTGCAATGGATATAAATAATCAATCAAGTTCGCAAACAATCTTTAAAAGAAGATTACATAGTTCAAGCTTTAAATGAGCAATACAGGCTGTCATCAAAAAATAAAATGCATACCTCAACATCGTTGGTATAGTGGCTTCATCTTTATCAAAACTTTGAATTCGACAGGCTATATGCATTAAAAAAGTCTTCAGATGGGAAGTGCAAGCAGTATCTTTGAGACTATCCCTGTAAAATTAGTGAAAGTTTGCAAAAAGTTCCTGTTCATACTTCTAGAATAAAGAAATACAAGTTTCTAAAAGTTAGAAGAAAAAAACACCGTTATAAGGCCGCTATCAATATACAACGACCCCATGGTTGCCTAACAAAAAATTCCACAAAACCGAGGCTCTGTATTCAACCACAACCTTCCTTCGTTTCTTTCGTGAGAGAAGTTCCAGCTGTTAAAGATATAATGGAGAGCATTATGTCCGTTTCTTCTCATTGATCTTCAGGCTTTTTATTGCTTAGTGCTTTTGATAGCAAATTGAAACTCCTCTTACCACAGACCAGAAATGCTAGTCATATATTGCCAGAAGTTTCAGAGAGTGTTTTCAATTAACCCTCTTCTTGGCAAATATTACAATTTCGTTAGTCCACCGTTGTACAAAAAACAGCTCAACTGAAAAAGCAAGTTTTGGCTCAACTTATTGTTACTAGCAGGATGGCATAATTACCATATATGCTTTTTATACACCTAAACACAAACAATATGGTCCTTGATTTCCGCAAGACCTTCCAGCTATTGACCCAAAACATTGATAATTCATGCTTACACGGTAACAATCTTACCAAGACAGTATTCTCTGAAAGCAAGATAATATCGACTGGAAGCTGGATAGCATGGCATCACTTGGATCTTTTTCATCATTATTGGAGGTAACAATATGACCGTCAGATTTATCTTGCATGCACTGAAAAAGCGAGGTTGAGTCAAATAATAGCTTAAGGTGATAACAAAAGGTATTCTAAAAAAAAGTGTTAGACGGTTGAGCCTGAATCTATTGATAAGAACTTTAGGTCAAAGTTAAGAGATAAAACAGACGACAGTAATTTATAGGTGAATATGCAGTTTAAAACATTCCAAGAAAAATTCAAACAATTATACAAATAATAGCTTCCATTTCCAAATTATTAGTTACTCAGTCCCAATCTTACTTCAGTTTGTTCTCCTAATTGTATTCTAGCTATGTCAAGTGCTATCCAAATGTAAATTCAACGTAAACTTAACTTACGCCTAGTTCTGGAAAAAGTGTTTCAATCAATATGTAGTTAATGCAGTCATGCTGTATGCAATGGACATGGGGTAGTCATTATCACTTGCTCCCCGAGGTATCTTCCTTGAATTGTAGCAAAGTAGTTAAAATAATATCTCTGGTATCATGTCAGTGTATTATTTTAATTGAGTATATAAAAATAATAACTGTAAGATTCTAAGATAACTGTATGTCTAGCTTCTAAATCACAATTGTTCTTCATTTAGTTGTCAAACCTGCTATGAGAAACTGCTAGAGCTGCCTGGATAATGCCTTGCCTTGCGCACGTGAAACATGATTCACCGTGGCGGAAACAAAAAATTTGCTATATAAAAACGCAAGTTAGGAGAAATTTTGAGTAATTCACAGGCATCAGTGGCCCATATAAGATAAGAGATGCATGCTGTTTGTGATGCTTTTCCGCATTTCCTCATAACCAAAGGTAAAAAGTAAAAAAATTGATTGATTACGGTTCATCAAGCAATGAAACAAATCAGGCAGTGAGACGGGTTTATTGTTTAAAAGTCAAAACTGGTGCCAGGAGCTATGTAAAACCGAATAAACGATTAAATTTTCTAAAATTTTTCAAGTATCGCCATGGTAATCATGGCGACCACAAAACGGTTTTAACAAAGATAAATATTTTAAACTGTAGGCGGGCCCAGCGCAAAACAAGGAGAAACTTCCCAATGTTGCAAGAAAATTTCAAAACGAGAATGTTCAAATAAAGTAAACCTTCATCTTGTCCAGCATACGAGCTTTGTGGAGTGAATGTGAATATTTAATATCTCCATTTGAGGAAATATTTCCTTCTAAGTCTTGCAGCAAATCGTGAATTATAGATATTGACACCATTTTCAAGAGAAAAAAATTTACAAAAAATGTTCAATTCTATACTCGCATTTAGAAAGGGCTGGCTTACCTGGAAATGGGCATTTATTTCTTCTAAATTACTGCACAAAGATGGAACTAAGTCGATAAACATTTCAGCTGCTTGTGTACTTGAAAGTTGGCACAACCGGGAAAACCCAATGTCTTTATTGGCATTTCGCTAGAATAGATTTCAAGCACAGTCACCAACTTTGATTTTCTTTATAGGATTGATCACTCACTACATAGGGTTGCTAAAACATCTCTTAGTAATAATGATACTAAATAATTATAATAATAAAAGGATTTATATTGCGCCATCTATCCACGTGGCTCAAAGGCGCATCACACAATGTTCATAATACTAATAGAGTGATATAACATCCAGTATTACAAAGAATGCTAAAAAATGTTCGTAAAATTTTCTTAAAATAGATAAAATCTAGTTAAAGTATTCTTGAAAAAGATGCGTTTTCAGTCTACTCTTAAAAGCGTCAAAAGAATCCACTGCTCGAAACGCGTATGGCAGTCTGTTCCAAAGATGAGGAGAGGCACCTGTAAATGCACGATCTCCAGCAGTCACTAGCTTTGTCCTTGGTGTTTCAAGAGTCAAGTCATCATCAGCAGATCTTGTCTGTCGCGCTGCTGTTCATAACGTGACCAACTCAGTAAGATACACTGGTGCAAGGTTATTGATGCATTTGTAAGTCAACGTTAAGATCTTATATTTTATCCTGCATGATATTGGCAACCAATGAAGCTGTGTTTTTACACAGGTGTTATGTGACTGTCTCTTCTCGCACCGGTCAAAGTCCTGGCGGCAGTACTTTGAATTTTTTGAAACTTTTTTAACTTGCACATTGGCAAACCATATAAAAGAGAACTGTTGCAATCTAGCCAAGACGTGACAAGAGCATGGATGGCTTTTCAGCAGCTTCTTTAGTGAGACTTCCAAGCTAAGCGGATATTGAGCAAGTAATACCTAGCTGAGCTGCACAAAGAGTTTACATGTGACTTAAGTGACAAATTAGCATCAAAGACTACACCAAAATTTTGTGCTTTTTCACTTGGTTTAATTGTTCTTTTTCCAATATTGAAACACAGGTTTGAAGGTTTTGCACATTGCTTTCTTGCTCTGGTCACCAATAGTTCAGTCTTATCTCTGTTTAGCCTGTTTGTTAGCATCGACGACTGAATTCCTGGAATACACTCTTCGATTTGCTGTATTGAGAGAGCTGCACATTCTGGAGTTGATGAAATGACATATAGAGTTCTGTGTCATCAGCATAGAGGTGGAACTTCATGCCTCTTTTCCGAACAATGTCTCCTAAGGGTAGCGTGTATATGAGAAAAAGTAATGGGCCTAGCACTGATCCTTGTGAAACACCACAAGATAGAAGCACCTCATTTGATTATTCATCTTTAACTCTAACCATTTGAAAACGGTGTTCTAGATATAAAACAAACCATTTCAAAGCTGCCCCTTGAATTCCGCACCTGTTGGAAAGCCTTTAAGTAATACGGAGTGGTTTACTGTATCAAACCCCGCTCAAATATCTAACAAAACAAGAATAGAGACTTTTTGTTTATTCATTGCCATCACTAAGTAATGCTGTTTCTGTACTATGTCCCTCTTTATATGCCGATTGCTATGGCTCAAAAAGATCATTTTCTACTATATCTTTAACAAACTGATTTGCAACTGCCCTCTCAATAAGCTTTGGGGCATGAGGCAAATTGGAAAATGGTCTGAAGTTGGCAATTTTAACTTCCTGACCTGGCCTTTTCAAATATGGGTTTAAAATAGCTAACTGAAAACGTTCTGGCATAACTGAAGTCTGAAATGGCATGTTAATTATCAAGGTCATGATTTTTATAAAAGGTTCCCCACAACGCCTCCAAATCAATGTTTGCACTGGGTCTAGATCACATGTTGTTATTGCTGACTTTTTTATAAGTTTCTAAACATTATTTTCAGTTTGGTGACAAAATGTAGTCATTTGGGTCTTATAATTGGGTTCTTTTGGTACAACATTACTATTTCTATTCATGACCAGATCAAAATGATTTTGAATCTTCTCAATTTTCCCCACAAAGAAATTTACAATTTCATTTCCAAGCTGCAGAGTAGAGTCATGTTTAGGAAGGGGAGATTCAGCATAATGTTCAGAATAATCCTTTTGTACTATGTCAATTTCCAATCACTAAACTAGAATGAAACGCCGTGTCCGAATCTTCTAACAGGTTTCTTAGCCTAAACTTTTGCTCAACAAATCTGTCTCTATCAACAGCTGACTTTGTTTTTCTCCACCATCTTCAAGTCGTCTGCTTTTCTTTATTTCTTCCCGCAGATCATCAGTGAAGCCCCGGCACTTATTTCGTATGGTAATGATTTTTTCCTGCTCAGGTGCATGTTTATCAAGGATCTTACATTAAGTGCTACCATACGCCATAATGCTTGTGAAGTCCTCATAGAAAACTGAGACTGGGACAAACTGACCATTATTTTGATTTGTAGCAGGACGATAAATTACAATCAACTCACATGAAGTGTTTTCAAATAACACACAAGCATCAATGTACTCCATTGACTGAGTAATTCCTCGACTTTTTATGTCAACACTAACAGTACTTTTGTATAAAATGGACACACCACCCCCTCTTCTGTTTTCACGGGCCTAATGCTTGATCATATAGCCATCAGGGACTAGCCTATTTATCCATTATCTTTTGAAAAAAGCCATGACTCAATAATAATTAAAATGTCAGCATCATTATCAACTATGCAGTGTCTGATCTCAGCAGATCTTGCCTTCAGCATATAGCATGAAAAGGGGGAAGGCGGTTACGAACTTTGTCAAATATGATTTTTGAAAAGTTGTGAGTGTTTCTTGATTTAAATGTTCTTGAATCGTTTGCAAAGGTAAACCGTCTTGAAATGACTCTAACTGAGATGTTTTTCAGTACACTTCTATTCGGAATTTGACCTGTAATGGAATTTGACCCCAGCCTACTTGGCCTATGGCCTAAGTTCCTCAATTGATCTGACCCAGGGTTGCAATGAAAATCACCACAAAGTAAGATAATCTGCATGCATGCATCATTACGCAACTGAAGGGTAGTACAGCAATTTCTGTTACTGTATCCACTGATTCTGGCCTTGAGAAACCTCTTGTTCTTTGAGTATGAGAATTTAAGATGGATGTCATACGAAACAGGAGGACACGCCATGAGTTGAAATCGGTAAAATTCACCACCATTAGGCCTTTGCAACACGCTTTTCATATCCAGAAGTCGACAGAATTTTTTTAATCCTCCCTGGACCTGTACTTACATGATAACACGAAGTAGTAACAAGTATCAGGTAAAATATTGCCGTGAAGATTTTCGACAGCATGTTGCCACCGTGAAGAAATATCAGTATCAAGATATAACACATACCTTCAAAAGAGATTTTCTAACAGCTTTCGAAGAAGGTATTGCATATAAAGCTTTGCATTCCAGATCCTTTAACAGCATCTGAAGACTTGCTGGACTTAAGGAAATGATCTCAGTTTCCTAAGAAGAAAGTTATTTTCATGATACTTGTCCAAACAAATTTATGCGACAAACAATTTGCAATTGCATCGAAAGTTTCTCTTTTTTATTATAGACTGGTTATGATTTTGAAACAGGGTTAACGTGTTAGAATAATACAATATGCAAATGTTTACAATATGAAATTGAGTGGTGCACGAAGTTAGGGCCTGGCCCCAAAGTTTCCCAAACTGTTGAAAAAATACAACAGTCAATGGCCAGACTTGATTTTCCGGAAAAAAATAGTTCAGAACAAAGCAACAAATACCGTTCTGCATATTTAAGACGGTTAAGTTGGTACAATTAACCTTTAGGATTGGTACAAATTTTCCTGCCGTTAAGACTGGTTATTTGTCAGTAGGTCAAGTTTTATCAAAATTACCATTCAGACCTTTTGACCTCTGACTCTTAAAAGCCTTGGACGTCAGTCAGAGGCAAGCCTATGAAAAATTTGAAGTTTGCTAACGGATTACAGTTATTCTGGCCTGGTTCATAAAGTTATGAACCAAGACCAAATTACAGAGGTTTGATGGGACAAGAGCCTTTGCACAAGTGACTATATCTCAGCCTATTCGTAATGTCTTTAACTGATTTTTCATATTTAAAGGTATTTCATGATGCTCTTTCAGGTTCTGGGATCAAAATTCAGAAATTCTTAAAAATATATTTTCATGGCGTCATCACTTTGGTACTCTATAGCAAGATTACAAAAATATTTTTTTTGCCTTTGAGCAAAGATTTTAGGCCACATCTGTCTGCCAAGTTCAAGGTATTCCTTCGTTGAAATAAGAGCATTATTTTCGTCTTGTTTGGAATTTGTCTTTACAAAATGAATCCGTGCAAAGTATTCATCTAGGTTGTGAAGGCCTTGCATTAGCAATCTGCTAGGCCGTTTGTTTAACGAAATTAAAGACTTTTTCAATAGTAGAAATAGAAGCTGAGACTTTTCCGTTCGTCTTTGATGAAAAACAAACTAAAACTGTGAATCCTATATGAGTGTAGTCAAAATTACATAACTGATAAACCAAAAAATCATGAACTGTTTTCTTGTCAAATGACATGGTTATCTCTATATCAATTGATTCTGCTGATCAAAAAAAGGTCAAATGGGTGTGCTTGCAAGCAAACAAGCAAAAATATGCAGGAACACAGATCAAGTCGCAAAAAATAAATATCTTGACTTACAACATCAGTTACTTGACAATAATAAGGCTTTAGGCCCTTTAAGCCGAATAATATTGAGCAAGACCTTAAGAACTGGCTTTAGTTCTTTATCTTTTCTTGGGGATGTTTTCTCGGTTCAGAATTCAAAAACTTCACGCAATCGTGATATAAAGTAAGACGAAGATCAATTGACTTCCAAACAGTAACAAAAACCTGTTTACCTTGGTATTCATTTCTGAGTCCAAGACATTTTTTGATACAGAGCCGTACTGCAAGACCTTAAAAACCTTCATGTCGAATTCTCTGTAGAAGAAAGAGCGAGGTTTTATAAAATAGTGCGAAGGTTTATATGGCAATAAACATAGGTACTAGATAACAATAGCTGTTTCGATTTCACTTTTTCGATAAAACTCTTGGCCAGCAAAAAAATATCATTCATTAAGAACCCACGAAATGATAATGTGAGAAGTCTTCCAATTACCAAATACATATTAATCTAAGGAAATATAAGCCATTCTCTCATCATATCAATAATTATATGCTACAGGCACGACAAGCACGATCCCCTCAAGAAGAATGGCTTGGGCCAAATCCTTCTATTGCTTGGCAAAAATCCTTCTATTGTCTGGAAAATATCATTCTATTGCCTAGAAAATATACTTCTACTGTCTGGCAAATATCCTGGCATTCATTGCGGAATATCCAAAACAAACACTGATAAACTGAACTGCACATTCGCTTCCGGTTTGCATCCAGATTTACACTCGTGTAGCAAAATCTCGCTTTTTACGAAAATTGTTAATTTTTTCTGTTTTGTCAAGCTGTAGTAAAAGAAACAAAAGATGAAACAGAAACTTATGGCTCACTGACCTTAAAAAGCATCGATAGTTCCACCATTGGAAAACTGGGCCTAGGTCAATTGGATCCTCAGTTTTTTCCTCTGAAACGCTGTCTCTTTCGTTTTCTGTACACTGAGTAAATAAAAATGAAAATAAATTGTACATTAGGGAAGAAAACTTTTAAATAAAAACGAAGTAAGAGAACATGCTATTTAATTATAATGTGTTGTTCGTCATACACTTTGATTTGATCAGATTTAGCTGTGTAGTGATGCGCCCACAAACGTGCAGAGACTTTATTACTATGATGACTAATAGATTTTGAGCGAGATTGTTATAACAAAAATGTTTGTTTTTTCGACTTCATTCTTATTATCCTTTGTTTAACTTCTAACATCTAGCTTCATCGTTGTAGATCCTTTGGTTTTGGATTTAGAGAACAAAGTTTAAACACCAAACTCCAGCCCTTGTCTTTAATGTTTAATTTTCTGTTTTGGCGCTGAGTGTGGTGTTTTTATTATAACACTTTAGTCAAAACTTGCGACAACTGAACTTGGGACCATTTTTCTGCAAATTACAAAGTTTTGCAGTATAAAGACTTACTGAGCTATCATTATCATGATACATTTATATATTCATTTTCAAAGCAGATAGAAAAGTTCAACAAATAAAGGAGCTTTTGATAAATGCCAAACCTTCTCTTTCAATGAAGCATTTGACAAGTCTTTGTAGGTAGTTTCTTTTCTGGAAAAATCACAATTTTATTTTAAGATAAAGCTTCCTGCTCACTTTCAGGTCTACAACCCATTTAGTCAGCAAAACCTAGATGCCGTACTCATATATTTCTGTGAATTGTAGAATGTTTATCTAAAGATGGAAATTTGGAAGTGTATATCTATACGAATGGATGATGGCCGTGTTACCTGCAACCATTTCAGGTCCCTATGCATCCAAAACCTTCTTGAATTCCAGCTTTCCGAATAAATGTTTATAACAGTGTGGTAGAAATAGCAGTTTGGGGCTTTAATAGGCTACGAGGACCTATGACATATATTTGCGTATAGTAGAGATTTTCCGACGTTAATCTAACACAATTATGGAAAGCTGTCTAATGGGCTAGTTGGTTAAATTACATGATCAGTCTTTAAAACGTTATTTACATCTTTAAAAAACAGTAGTCGTAGATGCAAACCTTTGTGCTTTCCTTTTCCGTTTTCCTTTGCACGTGTTAGATATCTGAAGCGGTTTGAAAGGGGTATCTTCAGCATCAAAAACTGCACGTGGTGGTATGAAATTCGGAAGATCTGAAATGAAAAGCATTCACATTAAAAATACACCATATTGTTTAAATCGATAAATGCAAAAAATTTAGAGAATCATTATTTCTTCATGCACACGTGAGTGTGTACTCCTTCTTATTAAAAACATAGAATATTATAATTTGTGGTAAGCAAACGTGTCGTCAACTCTTAAGGTTCATACTTTGCTCAAATTCAGGATATAAGGTATTTTATTGCGGGTGCCCCTCTTGTTCTGGGTACATTCTAATACAAAAAGTACATACCAAACACAAGCATAAAATAAATCACGTGATCAAAGATGAATTTAAATTCCATGTAGTAGTCCGCTGTGTTATATTTATCAACAATTTGTTATGGGCAGCCTGCTCATTTGCGAATTGCTTTTTTTATGAATACTCATATAATGTGATTGCTAGCTTGTTTTTGACTACGATCTCTCTCTATCAGAAGTTCATCCATGCATAATTTTTCGTAATTTGCATAACCATGGAAAAAACATCCCAAACCCCAGAAGACAGCCTGTCTTCAACAGATTTTGAGAATTATCAGATAGAAAAGGTTGATTCATAAGACAATTGTTAATGGAAGTTCAAGTACGACATTGCCTTTTCGGAAAAGTCCTTGTCAAAAGTGTTGCTCGCTTCCGATTCCGCCAATTCATTTTTGTCCATCCACAAAATATCTGACAAGTTCATTCCTCCTTTATCAAATTAAGATATTAGACGTTTCAAAAAACGAGCATAAGAAAAACGTGCCTGGAAGAATCTTATTTAATATTTCCCCAAGTGATGCAATAGTCTTGATCCGGCAAATAACTTTGCCTCTTATTGAAGGATCATCTTGATCAGCAAATGCATTAACAACCTAGAACGCAAAAGGACATGTACCAACTAACCGAAGGCCACAGACAATCAGTACCTAAGCTACATACAGTACTTAAACGACACCACAGAAAAAAAAACCCGTCTTGTGTAAATGTCTACCCTGCTGCCATTTACATAGGAATCAAACAATCGAAAATGTGAAAAAAATTGCAGTAAGTTCACTACTTTTTTAGGCTGGATGGTGAATAGCAGATGATGGCTGAGATATCTAGATCGCAAGAAAACTACAAAACAAATCTATTGAGCTTTTGGAGAATGTTGCTGCTGCTGTTATCTAGGTGACTCACTATCTACAATGCCAACCAAAGTATTGGAATATTAACGTCAGTTTTTGAGGACACATAAATCCATTCCCCTCTTCCCCGTGAAATGGTGTTTTTTACGATAAAATAAAAAGGAATACTAGGGAGTATGTTTTCTCCTGTGAATGGAATCATATTTTTATAAACTACTAATATTGTTCTGAGAGGGGGAGGGGACGGAAATAGAAATATTCGGGAAAAGAAATGAAAAAAATAGATAAACACAACGCAAATTGATGGGTGTTCCACGTACTTTTTGCTGGCATAAGAGCTATGAACATCCCGAACATACAATCAACATACCTCTCTTAACCAGTTGATTGTGTAAAACAGGCCTTTGCATATAAGCTCCTTGTCCGCTGTGCTAACAGAATTTAATTTGTCTAGGTTTTCTCTGCCAAACAGAATCAAGGAACAACCTGAAAGGTAAATAGTTTTAATTAATGTAATTTATTTTAAACTGAGCAAATAAAAGTTTTTGCTCAAAGATCCATGGAAAAAATGCAAAAAATGCTCAGTTAATGCAAAAACATAGAAGATCCCATTGCTACCCAATCGATTCAAATAATAACAATTTGGAAACTGCAATTTTATGATGTTTTTACTCCTGGCAGACAGCATTCCACAAAAGGGTCGTATAACCCTTACGAAAATAGCTTACGACCTTGGTAAAAACGAAAACGAATCGATGAGGAGGCAAAAATACTACAGTTGCATCGATTTTCCGATATGCTGACTATCCTGTTTATTTTGTGCCAGAAAAACATCGAAAAATTCGAAAAATTTTGCGCGAAGATTCGTAACCAGCTTCTAAAATCTCGCCATTTTCTTTTCCCTCTTTCCTGCAAAAGGGTTCAAGATCCTGTTTACACGGGAAAATGGGACCGATTCAAATGAGGATCGATCCCAGATCGGACCGTGCGGCTTTCTAGGCCCTTTTGCAAGGAATGCTCGTGTGTATTGCTTGTGCTATCAAAAACACAAAGAAAATACCGCCAAATTTATATAAAGGCTTCGAATTTGAAAGGTAGCAAGAAAATGTTTATTTGGAGCGATGAATAAAAAGAGCCCTACTCCTGAATATCGTACTGATTCATGAGTAAAAACATTATAGGTTGGAGTCTGTTCGCTGAATTTATCAATAAACTCGTGAAAACTTCCCCCATCCTGGTTTGTATTTTCCATCTTGTAGGCGAAGAGTGCGCACAAGATGTGACCAAAAGTTGAAGCACCGTGCTTCAAGCACCGTGCTTCAAGCTCCTTAAACTGGAGAATTCATTAGCCTCGTTTCCTACCCGTGCCAATTTGGGATCGATCCCACTAATTTCGGGCGTTTACACGAGACAGGATCGACCCCGAACTGGATCGATCCCAAACTGGAACGCTCTCCAAAGAGAACCCAAACTAGTACAGGTAGCGGATCAACCCTGAGCGTTGTAAGTAGGATGTATCGATTTATATGAAAAAGATTGCATCCCTTATTTCTCTTGCATTGGTTTTACTTACCAAACAGGTTGTTGACATTATTTTGACATATTTCGCTGTATTAACTCGCATGTCGCTAGTTCCTAATTTAATCATGAATATGGGCATAACTGTATGCAAAAAATTTAATTTCTATTTAGAAAAAATAACTTCATAAGTCATCATAATAAGGTATCGCAACCTTTAATTTGAATAAATTTGCAACACGAATGTCATACGTCTTTGGTTAAACCTTATAACTCACCTAGCAAAGAGAATTGCTGCCTTCTAGAAAGGCATATTTAATTAGTTCAATACTAAATATTACTCACCTAATAATGCTTCTATCTCTTCCAAATTTCCGTCATTACTTACACTTTCACAAATTGCGAGAAGACGAAACAGAGGGCTCATGTAGGTGATAGCAGACGCTTTTGCTACAGAAGAGCTGAAATGAAGGCAACAGAGCAATGACATTTTCCTTTTTAACTGCATTTTATACTAAAATAATTAGTTTCAGCAATGCTCTTACGAAAATCGAAGGATCAATCAATCAAATTATCCACAAAAAAGAAGTTCAATAAAAATTGTTAACTGCATACAACTTCTTTACTGATCTTGAGATAGAAACAAACCACACATGTTTCACAGTCTAGTTTTCAAAAAAGTTAAAATATTGCTAAATTCTCGCGCAACTTTTCACCAGAAAAAGTTTATTGTCATAAAACACAATAATTGTGGCAGATGAAATGATACTATTTCAACCAAGAAAACATTTTTTAACTTTTATCTGGTGTTGAATTCCACCTACTTTGATAGAAAATTCCTCGTTTCATCTTAGAAATAAAAAGCCCTCAGCTAAGATCATGAAGGAAAATACCTCGAGGAGCACAGCTGCTGTCCTTCTTGTAGGTCATTAAGGAGCAATGGGAATAGGTTGATGGCAATAGAACTTTCTTCCTCGATATTGAATAATAACTCAAGATTGTCGCTGTTGAAAAAAAGTTTATTTGTTGAGAAAAAAGTTTAACAGTAGAAAATCAAAAAGAGCTAGTGAAATATCTGTAATTCTGTCATCAGATGTTCGCTGATATCAAAATTCTAACTTTAAATCTAGAAACGAAGTAAAACATGTTTGCAAACAATTTTGTGGTGGTACAAACATTTTGAAACAAAAGCTGAAGTTTTTCGTCTGACACTCGCCAGAGTACAAAACGTCAAAACGTAGATTGAAACCCTAAGGCAGTCTACTTTACTCACGTGGTTTTAAAATTGTCAGTTGCTATCACGAACGCATCTTGAAAACTTTCGGAAACCGTTTGAGTTATCCACTGCTATAAAAAATAAATCAGGAAGGGATTCAAATGAGGCTTTCTTCAACAAATATAATGCCAGCCTTTTTCCTTTCCAATAGGTTGGCAAGATCAGGCAAAATCTACGCTGACTACGCGAAAGCATTCTAAGGTCAATATAAAAAAATACGGTGACTGCTTTCATGAAAACATATCACATGCACATCAGGGGTGTCCAAACTACAGCCCACGGGCCAACTGCAGCCGCAGTCCAGTTTTTGTTGGCCCGCAAAAAGTTCCGAGAATACTATTAATATGACCCATACATAAGGTTAATCACCATCGATTCATTTTATTGTCACTGAAACATCTCAACACCCTTAACAAAAGCCTAAAAACCAAAGAGTAGCTGGTGCCATACCTATTCCTTACATTTGAAAGCCTTTTGTGTAAAGCTCCGCAATTACAAATCTTATAGCTACACACTTCCACCTCCCTGTTTGAAATCAACTCTATTTTTTCAAAGGTTGACCGTTCAACTAAGAAGGAGAAATATGTGTCTGTTGTCAATGCATTTCTTATTACAAATTTATCTAGCGTTTTGAAGATTTTGCTGTCATTAAGAAAGAGATTAAACTGTTATAGAAGAAATAGTTGTAGAAGGACAAATTTTTTCAAACTTTTGAAATAAATTTATTTCTTATTTTTTAAACAATAACTTTCTAGTTTAGAAATACACATTGTATTCCCGTTTCAATAAGGTGCCTGAATTGTGTGGCCCGGTCGTTTGATAATTTTTTTGCATTTGGCCCTAACAAAGAAAACTTTGAAACCCCTGTGGTACATGGTCTGCTATCACAGCATTTACTTCATTTGTCTGCAAACGATTCAAAGGTGTTTGTTTCGTTTACTCTTCCTTGTTAGATCGTATGAGCTGCTCAAATATTCGGTCATTTTGATCGCAAATTCTTCAATTTAGTCACATTTTAAGCTCTCTGGGAGATGCAACATCTTGCTCTTTATACTTTTCCTCTCTTTCCCTCTTTCTCGCACACACTCTGTCTATCTCAATCCCTTGCTGATAAATGTTTCATTGATCAGGCTAAGAAACTACTATCCCGGACAAAAAATGGTTGAGACTTTTCAAGAAGATTTTATGTTTTCTCTTTCCTTTGAAAAATAGCTTCCCTCCCTTCCCCAATTCAATGTTGAAGGCATGATTTTGAAGCAAAAATGATATAACTACAAATCCAACATTGCTTCGGGGAAAAGGGGGGACTCGAATTTACAGAGGCAAGGTAAAGTAGAAAATTACAAAAATTAAAGTTTGTCTATCCGGGATTGTAGTTAAGTATTAACAGCAAGAGATGCGTACCAGAATCTGTGGATGTACTTGCTTTCCTGCGACAACGGCTGACAATTCCTCGTAGAATAGAGCTGCTGCTTCAGGATCTTTACTTGCGCAACTTCTCGTCATTTCCAGAAGATTAATCAACTTGGGAAGAATAACGTTTAATTATTTAGAAGAATGAATAATCAAGTGAGATATCCTTCTGTACTTGTTTAATGAAGTCTTCGACGAGATGATACTAAGTTTTATTCAATGACATCACTCGTTCAGAAATCACGAGTAAATTTGAGCAAAAAAGACATTCATGATATCTTGTTAGCAACACAGTTGGATAGGTAGCGGAGCAACATAATATGTAAGAAACAACTAAGATAACTTTACTTTTAAATGCTGCTTTTCCTTGGTTTCCATGCATACATTTCCTAATGGTTGACAACGTTCGTTTTTTAAATCAATTAGGTGGAGTTGATGAAGTTAAAGAAGATGATTATTGTGAGCGATAAAAAAGCAGCAGTCGATCACGATTGCAACAAAAGGGGGGCAAATTATAAAACTCTGTAATACTTGAAAAATAACATTGTCCTGCTTGACAATGAATGCAAACATTAATACCGCTTAGAAATGAGGCAACCTTATTACGAGAGGCTTTATCGTTCTCCATAAAATTTACTTGTGTTCCTAAAACCTAAAAACATTGACAATTTAGTGAAACACTGCTTTATAACAAACCTCTTTTAGAGCACTTGTCTCCAAATCACGTGATGTCTCTGGACAGTTTGAGAAATTAAGATTCTCGTCACCTTTGGCAACAGATCTGTAACGAATAGCAATATACAGAGCTGATTTGTGTTAACAGCAATGGCAATGGTAGGAATACTATCAAACAGACGTTAAATGTCAGTTCAAGGTCAAAAATGAGTAATAACCCTCTGCTGTATTGCATTCGAAAATCAGATGATTAGCTAAAACTTTCAAAATAAATTTAGTAACAGCTCTAATTATTCTAAGGACTGAATTACACTTCCTATTAACACAGATTGAATCTCTTAACTCAAAGGAAATTATATGTGTAGGCATGAAAATTAAACGTCACCGATTAATTCAATCCTTCGAAAAACCTGGACCTGTCAAACTTTGCTCAAACTTCAGTTGTGCCAGAGAAATCCGCTTTGTTATCAATGATGCGATATGCCAATCTGGGGAAATGTTTGCTTTGACTTTATCGAGTCACGATGAAAATAGAGAGAAGCAAGAAAACATGGATGTTCAGATCACACTTGATCAGTTGATAGATCAAAGGAGGTTCACGGCGTATTTCGGGAATTACCTGAATTTCGAATAACTTTTTATAAAAGCCTTTCTTAAAAGAATTTTAGAATCTACCTTTTCTTTGACATACTAGCTGCAATCATGACGGAACCAATGATGCCGATTCTCTTGTTCCTGGAAAAGCAATCGAAAGATGTATGCTTATAAAAGTCCAACCCAGATAAAATTTTGATAATGTCCCTAACAGCAACGTTAAACAACTAGAATCAAAGTTACTGCACGCACTTAATACTTGTATCTTAGTTTTGAATGAGCAGTTCATAGCAACATGAACAAATAACGTGACCTGAAAATGATTGCAAAATACAACATAAGATGATCGAAACACAAGTGGATATTTTGGTCAGAACATGATCCCGCACTACGAGCGCAACGTGATCAGAACATGCTTGCAAAAAACGAGGGCGACGTGATCAAACCAAAATCAACACGTAACTAGAACATTTCTGAAACTGATTTCGGTAAAATGAGGTTCCGAGTGGATTTTCTGTAGTTAGTTATAATGCCAACGTCAATAGGCCATTAATAACATTTTGTTTCAGCCAGGACCGTGGTTACCTCAATATCATTTAGTTTAATCCAAATGATAAGAATTAGGACGCTAAAGAGACATTGAACGATGGCATCATAAATAAGAAAGAATTAGAAACGGTGGATGTGAGGCTAATGACATACAAGTATGAAATGGGTGGATCTCAAACTAACACCTTGATATTGAAAAGAAAACATGAAAGAAAAATCAAGTGAAATACGAGAATGATTAAAAAAGCTTGAGTAAAAGACACAATTAGCTATCTAACATGCAAAATGAAAGGACTATCGTGAAGATTTGAAAACATGCTACAAACACAAGCTTAAGATTTCTGGTAAAAATAACTTACTTTAACGATGGATTTGACATTCTCTTCCGAATAAGAATATGCATATCGTCCTAAAAGCAAATATACCTTGAGAGCTGAAATGAAGCAAACCGAATGGGCATATCGTTATAAGCAAGGTTTTCGACTTCAAAAACTAGCTACAACTGACGACTGGAACTGGTATCTTATATTTTACAAATAAAAGAATATCATAGAGAAAAACATTGGCGAAGAAATAGCACTTCCTTTTCCCTAAAACTAATGAAAAGTATTTTAGGATGGCAGTCCATTTCTCCCCTTTGCTCAAGCAAGTTCGACTTCACAAAATGGCAAGGGTAACTCCACAAATTAAAAGCAAAGTAATTAAATCTCTGAAATTTTCAGAGTTCTAATGAAAACAATTTTAGAAGATCTGGTCGCTAGCGTACACAATTCAAAGCATTCAAGCGAAGTCGGTTTAAAAATCACCTACGTATTCTTGATATAAAAAGCACCTTACTTGTATACTTCAGTTACATCCCACCTGACTCAGTATTCGAAATCACGAGCATGCATGTAAGGGAACCCCCAATATTTGATGCATCTTCAGCATACTGTTTGGGGTAGCTCCCACTTGGACCTGAAGTAGCTCCCTACTGGAAACGGTCGTATAGACTGCTAGACCTCAATGCAAAGCACTAACCGTTTGACGTGTAGGAATTGCTCTAATATTACAAGTAAGTCTGTTTAAACCGTTTTTCACAGCACTTACCTCAAACACGGTTCCTGATTTCGTATGCTGAATAACAATGGAACTTATCATTGAAAATAGGCGGCGCATTTGAGAGATTGTGAGGTTGTTCAAATGATCCAGTATACCCTAGAAGCAATCAGTTACGCATGAAAACTTAGTACTTGGGAACAATTACTGTAAAAAACTGATTACCAAGATCCTCTAGCACTTCTCTGAAATGAAAAACATTTACATATAGAGGCATGTGAAAAAGCAAATCAAAACAAAAGTATATCTTACTATGCGTACATCTATATATTAATACTGAAAATGTTGACAAATAACATCAATAAAATTCAATATACGGTTAACTCAATAATCAATAAGCTTTATAAAAATCTGTTCAATTGAATATCAAAAATAAAAGCCAATGCTAACCTTTAAAAAAATTGCAAACGGTGCCATTTTATTTGGATGTGCTTCAACCAATTGGCTAAGAACATCAAACGCTGACTCAATGTCATTTTCAAGTCCACTTCCTATGTGTGTTACTAACGCTGCGATAACCTCCTGAAAGATAGTGAAAGATTTCACTTAATCCCCATGAAACAAAACATTCTAATTAGGATCTACTTGTACTGGTACGAATTGGGGCGGCTTATGTATCTTGCAAATTTCTTGTTTTCACCGGTTTTGATGCTCAGTTTTAAAAGGGAGGGACGGTGATGGCTAATACAGGTTTTTCCAGTATTAATGCATTCTTCGAGAAGATTTGTAACTAATCCTGCCTCAGTGTCTGTCTTCAATGAAACGTTTCTTATACCAACCTCATTCATCTAAAATTCCTTTCATGCATACATCCTAAAAGTGAAGTGACTTCGAAATGGAAAGAATTGTTAAATTGAAGTTTCTCTTGACCTCATTATTACGATAAATCTTTACGGAGTATATAATTTATTGCAGTACCGTTCTCCTGGAAGACAAAGTATTGACAATTTAAGAAAAAAATGTGTCACATTGTTACTGAAAACAAAATTTGCCTTCTATTGTCTTCTTGACCATTTTTGTTAAAAAAAATGGGGATAAATTCTGCAGGTATTAAAATAACAAACACGAATCCATTGAAGAGCTTAAGAGAAACACACACCTGTTGACAGTAAGAATCGAAATTTACAAAGGCTTGTTCGTAGATTTTGGACCCGAAGTTTGAGATGACGATTTCTGGAGACCTAAATAACGTCTCAGCAATTAATAATACATCCTTGAATAGGTCTATAAATGCCTAAAAAGCAAAACGCAAATAATTAATGGAAAATTGTTATGAAATGGATACATTTCAACTAAACAGACGTTTAAAGAAAGCTGGGATTAACTTAGGAAATGACGCCAATACACCTTAAATAAGTTTTTTGACCAAGTCCTTAAACAGGGGTGGAAAAGTATCGGGCCAAGGAGTCATGGAGCCATGGGGCAATTGGTCTTAGAAAATGTTTTCATCGTTAGAAAGAAAAAATTAAAAAAGGAATTCCTCTATTGATACTGAAACTCTTGAAAGTCTACCGTTTATATAGTCTGTATAGCTACCATGGTTAAAAAGCAATCATTTGTAGCATAAAAGACGGATTGGGTTGGAAAGGATTTGCTAACAATAAGATCAAAGATAGAGAACTTTAGTGTTATATATGTAAGCATGGGGCAGCATTACCTAAAATCGCTGCATTTCGCGTTAAAAGCATATTGGCTGAATAGATATTTGTCTGATCACCTGATATGCCAGAACCAGTTGCGTGGTGGCAGAGGGGCCAGGGGGCAATGCCCCCTCCTGAATATGGGCGCAAATGGAGATAAGGAGGCGCCAAAATTGTTTGCCTGTAATATTTGGCTAGGAACATCAAAACTGATCGTACACGGTAAATCAATCTTATAAAACATGCGATTCTACACTCGAAGCACGTTGCGTTGCCATGAACCAATCAACATTTGTGTCAGATGTTTTCATGGTAATTATGTACTTGGCTTCATGTTTCGCACGCCAACTAACGAAGATTTTACGTGTGACAAAAATGTTTCCTATTAGTTTGCACTCGGAACGCCAAAAAATCTGAGTGTATGCCGAAGATCTTCGGGCCTAAGTACATGGAATGCACCCGGGCAAACCAATACAACAGCTTCTTGTTATCAACATCGATGTGCACCTGCACTCTGAACCAAGGGTCACCCTTTCTTACTTTCCCCAACGCATGAATCCTCCCCTCCCAAATTTTTTCTAAAAATTAAAAAAAATCAATGTTTTTGAGCATCGTTAAACTATCTATTCTGAGCGGTATAGTAATTTGTTAAATTTTAGTCTGGGAGATGCATCTCTAGCGATTCCAAAAGATGATTTCAAAAATTTTCTTCCGCGTCGGACCCAATCATGGTGGGTTCTCCTATGTCACTAAACTTGATTCTTAGCCCAACCCCAGATTCAATTTCGTGGCGCCGCCTCTTTCCGATTCAATGGTGCGATTCAATGCTTGAACCATGTGTGCGGAGAGAACTGGCGACTGGAACTTGCATTTGGTGTCTTTGAACAAAATGCTGAACTTATTCGCTGCTACAGCCCATGTTAACTATGCAAAATGTGCAAGATTGCAACTACAAGACATGCTTGATTTGGAAAGCCTTCATCCGTGGGCCTATGATCAGTTTGCAAGAGGTAATCTGCACACTATCAGGCGCAGTGAGCGATTTTGATCAGGCTTATGGATGGATCAGACCAGGCTTACGGTGGTCTGACGCGAGGAAGAGGTATTTCGGAATCTACTCGCCAGTTATGGATCGGAAGTATGCATAGGTGTGCAGACATACAAAATGCAATGATTTAATTGACTGGCGGATATAGGAAGACAAGTGAACAGCATGTTCAGTTAGGCCCAAGCAGAGTGCCTCCAGACAATAAAGATCTTACGTTAATCAAAGAATGGTTTGATCTCCACAACCCTTTTGGTGAAGACGGGCAACATCTTAAAAGTCTTTCAACTGGCTTGATTGCTGATGATCGAGTAAACTGTGATGAAGCAGAGAATGTTGGACGAAATATTCAAAACCAACTTGATAACAGGAACATGGAAGATGCGAGCATCAAGTGAAAAGAAAGAGTTCAAACATTTGAAGATCTCTTACCTAAGACGAAAATTTAGCCGTTTGACTGCCTTGGCTAACTTCCAAAATAACGTTTCCTGAAAACTTCTGCTATGAGCTAACTCCAGAGCCGACGTCTCTCTTTAAACAAGGTATGATGAGAAAATCGACTAAAGCTGTTCTTAGAAATCACTTACTGGGTACAGAGAATGCAATTATCCCGACTACAAATGACGTTTGCGTGGTTGATGGTGATGCATTGCTCCACAAAGTCCACTGGCCAAAATCAACGTATTCTGAAATCAGTGGCGGCGCCAAGGGGTGGTATGGGGGGGGGTAATTACCTCCCCACTTTTCTGAAAATATGGTCTATATATTTCTTCTAAAAATGGATTAAAAAGCGCAGGGTAGGGGTAGCTCAAATTTCCCAAGGAAAGGGACGAATCACTGGAACGAGGCAAAAGGGGCGTGGTCATACTGGCCACGCCCATTACCCTCCCACTCTGTAATAGCTGGCGCCGCCACTGTCTGAATTGCTTGAACAGTACATTGCATTTATAATGCACAGATTTGGGAAGTACATTAGCGTAAACGTTGTTTTTGATGGATATTTAGACAGGATGTCAACAAAAGGTCAGGAGCATCTTCGTCCAATGAGAAATAGCAAGCATTGAAATCACTGAAAGCTCAAAAGTTACTTGTAGCAGGGAAGCATTTCTGGCGGACATAGATAACAAGGATAGGCTGATTAAGTTGCTTTGTACTCGGTTAGAGAGGGAAAGGTTTGTCGCAGTTCAAAGTAATGGAGACGCGGATATCTCAATTGTGAAGACTGCCCTTGAGTACGCAGAAACTGGTAGATGTGTTGTTGTGATGGCAGAAGATATGGATATATTGGTTCTCATGATGAAACATTCACAATATGAAATCAATTCCCAAAAATTGTTTTAACTTCCAGGTATCACAGGAGAAGCATTTACACCTTTGCTGTCTTAACCCGCAAGACTGGGGATGGAAAATGGAAGACGGTATTATGACACCAATCAAAACCGACCTTGATCCTGCTCCAGAATGGCTGCTTCAGGTTGTTCGTTGCAAATGCAAAATGAATACGAGGCATCCATGTGGAACCCTTTCGTGCTCTTGCCGGAAGAACGGCCTGACTTGTGTAACAGCATGCAGAAGCTGCCACCGTGAAGATTGTTAAAATTAAGCAAAACCCATATCCGTTTTGGAAGATCATGACAATGATGGTGCCACAGACATCTTTGAATTTTTATGATATTTTTTATCAGTAGCTACTTATTAGGCTACATTTCCAGCGTTGAAAACCTTGGCTTTACGATTTCTACTTTTCATTAGTACTAGCCCCGATATGTTCGATAGTGGTGACGTCACTGATGACGTCATCAGGTTATTTTTAAACTTATCGGATTAAGCGTGACATATTCCAAAGTATTGGTGCAAAGTTTGAGCCGTCTACAATATGCAGTTCAAGGTATATAATGTCTATCTAACAGAAGGGTTCGCAGCTAAATATCGAAAGTCGCACAAATTGTTGACAAAACCCCCATCCAAACTAGCGGTTATAACTTTTTTTGCCCAAAGACCTCAGCATGAGGCTCTCAGTATGTTATTCTTCATTAAATTTTGATTCGAATGGTGTAAAGTTTGCTAATGTAGCATTTAATTCTAGGTCAAGCCACAACTCGACCAGACTAAGAGCTAAAAATATACTTCTCACATCTAAATACAGTAAAGAAACGGAAGCGAATCTCTTAACGTGATAAAAAAGGTCACGAACATTTCATAACATCATTCATGACATCATAATTAAGAAACTCGTAAGAAACAATGAGTATTGAAATTTCCAGAACATTAAGAAACTGGAGTACTCAACATCGACCTTTGTTTCTTATAAAAAAAATAGGACACTAGGAGTGTAATGACACTAGGTTGATAAAATCGCCCATAAGCAGTTGCGTAATGGACTAAGGTTAAAAACTAAGGAGCCCGAAGCAAAAATTTGCTCTACTTCATTTTACTCTGAAGCTGGTATTCTGGGTATAATCATAGATAGGGCGCAAAAATCTAGTTGGCCACCCCAGGGAAAACATAGCCACCCCGCCACTGGCCAGAACATAAATGATACTAGTTTAGTGTTTTAAAATTCCCACATGTAGCAAAAGCATGCTGCTCTTAAACACCAAACAGACAAACTAAATCTGTACATACGCTCAAACGCATTGGAGGCTGTTCAAAGTACGAAGTACTTAGGGGTTAAAATCGATGATTCCGAAATAAATATACCCAGTTGTGGATCGAAATAGGCCAGTCAGAAACGCGAGCACATGACTGTTGAGGTTGACCAATCAGTGCCGCTTGCCTATTGAGAATGTTACCAATGGAGTCCTAAGGTAAAGGTAGGTATCTTGTCACTGTGTACGAAGAATACAGGTACTGTTTAGATGCTGTTGTAGACAGTTATGATACGTCGAAATAAGAAGATTTCTTCGTACACAAAAATTCGTTTATTTGTTGCTACAAAAAATCAGAGATGCGTATAGTGTTGCTAATAACAGCAGGAAAATTAAAAAATTGGCTAATTTTCGGCATTAGTATGGGGAACTCAGTCCCCGATTCCTCTAGCTCTACACTCCTGGTCTAGAGTCAATAGAAAGAAGGCCTCACATCAAGCTAAACAGCTGTTGCCAGTTATAGATGATCTTTCTCTGCTTGCTTTGTATTTGTCTCAGGCATTGACTATGTCTGAGGGCACTCGGGCAAAACCTCCCAGCCAGGGAAGTTGAAGCCTTGCAAAGCATACATCCCTTGACGTTTCATGTGCTTTAGTCAGCGTTCTTTTGATTAATCAATTTTTTGCTAGTTAATTGTCAGTTGGTGAAGCTATTAGTCTGACTTCCAGATTAGATACGTTGGTTGTGAAACTCTTTGAAATCAAAATCATAAAAGTTGGACAATTTGGCTTTATTTTAGTGCTATTTAGACTTTTACAGTATTGCCTGGGCGCTCTCAAGATTGTGCTTGGACGTTCATCAAGTAGTGTAGTCAGCTTTTACAAGGCCGTGGCAGTGAACATCTGTGGAAGTGAGCTTCTCGTCGATCTTAAAGCCTTTAAAATGCAGATATAAAGTACCTGAGTGCAAAAGAAATTGTACAATTGTAGTTATTTTGAGAGAAAAATGAACTGCATTTTCTCTCAGTCGAATTTAGCGATTTTTTCCGTCAGTAACACAAGCATCAATGCCGACAAGAAAAGATTTTAAAAGTGGCTTGTAAAGGTAAGCTCATATTTGTTAAATAAGTGGATAAAACAACTTTTAAAAATTAAAAATTGTAATTTCTATGTTATCCCTCCCCCTAATTATTATGAGGGTTTGAAAGGGACAGTTTCAAGCCTTCGTAACTGACGATCGCGGAAGGATTTTGACTGAGTACAACGGCAGTTTTTTCATAAGTTTATTAAAGATTCAATTTTTAAAAAAAAATTAGGTTATCTTTCAGCACATTTTACACGTTTATTTTTTGTGGGTAGTGGTGAAACCGTCCAAAACAGGCCTAAATCTAGCTGCGAGACACGTTTGTTGTCATATTCTTGAATTCTGATTGGCTAATAGAGTATGGAGAATTTTGGTCGCTCAGCCAATCAAAGATTTGGAATCTATGCTCTGAAATCCATCAATCACAGAAACTTCGAAACAGAGCAGCTAAAAAATCACTGGCAGCAATTATAACGCCCCTTGTAAACCTCTATATGAAACGCTGGGCTGGAAAACAATCGAAGAGCTAATTCAGATTGAAACACAAACTTTGGTTTTCAAATCTGTAAATGGGCTTGCACCACAATATCTTTTCTACTTATTTGTTTCAAACTCGACTAACTCTTCGTATAATCTAAGGAATACTTCTACTGACCTTAAGTTGCCGACGAAGATGTCCTCAAATGGGCAAAAAAGTTTCTCTTATAGGGAATCGTCAATGTGGAACAGCCTACCATTTGAATCAAAGAGTGCACCCGACCTGGCCACCTTTAAAAGCAGCATTTCTTAATAAAAAAATGAGTTTTACTTTTTTTTATTTTTCTTTATTTTTTCCATTTCATTGTAAATAGGTTTTTAGCTGAAATCGTAATTGTACTTAAGTTCTTATTTTCAGTTTTAGATTTATAAAATTTTCTAATAATAATAATAAAAATAACAATAGCAGCTAAATTCAAAATAACCCTGCATTTCATCATCCATGCAAATTATCTTTATCCTCTATCATTTGTATGATTTTATTCCCTTTCGAAAGTTGTTCTCTTTATTTCTTTGTGCTCCGAACATATTTTTGCTTTTGCCTGTTGAACACTTCTAGTGCACTGATATCCACCTCTCCTCTGCATTGCCTCTTTTCCAATGTTTCACCCGCGAATAAAAGGGACTTCTCACACTCGTGACTTATTTTTTGTCACTCCTTCTATTCGATTCATTTCCAAATCGCAAAACTGTGACTGCTTGTGAGAGGTTCCCATGAGGAGTTACAAACTGTGCTACAGAAAGATGGATTGTAGGGCAGAACGTTGTGAGTAAGGGTCAAGATCCTAGGCATCTTTTGGATTTATTGATAGCAAAATTTCTTGGATCAATCTGAACTTTCTGGACGTCGTTTAATTTTAAGGATACAAATGAGGTGTCTCTGTCACTCTGTCGTCTATGCAGAAAAGCATTGTGCAGTGGCAGAACAGACAAATCCATATTTTAAAGCAGCAATTGGAGAGATACATACATTTCAAAACAACATCGTTTCTTTGCTACAAACAGTGATATAATTCAAGTTAAAAGATTGACCAGAGATACTTTTATAAAATTGTGAGATGAAATAAACTTCCTTAGAGGTTAGTCAGGAATTCAAAGTCTGGATCCTTAACAAGTCCAACTCCTTGATCGAAGTTATCTTCCCTACTACCACGGAGCAAAAAATTTTAAATGAATAGTTTGCTCTCCCACAAACACAGAACCTTTTCCGACTTTGGTCCAAACTCGCGGCAACATGGACAAAATTAAGATGAAGAAATTAGAATGCAAAAGTGAATTTTTGATCAAATCATCAGCAAATTAGTGTGAGAATGATCTTTCGCACGACATGCCTTTAAGTTGACCAAGTTTAGTTATCAACAAGAACTGGAGCAAGCATTTCCGTACAAGATGTAGAGTTCCATACGCACCAAAGACTCCGTTCTCACATTTTTGGTCAAAAATTCAAAAAATATATCAATCTGCACCCACTTAAACTTTATAACAAAAAGCATTTTCCAGCAAAACCGATAAAGATTTAGTTTGAAAATATTGAGATGTAATACTTGAGTACTAGAATCAAAGTGGCGTGCGCAAAAACATTAAGTCAACAAAAAAAGGGATTCAAATTTTCGTATTGGTATTTTCAATAAGGGATATTGATACCTGACTATGAGAGGTGAATGCTTTCGTCACCAGAGCTTTGCTTAATGCATTCGATTTGAGCTTTTGCCTGAGTAAAGATTCAACCGACTTCTTCTTGATGCTGATGCCGTGAATGACAACTAATACATATAAGTCTACAATCTGAAATTAAGAAAAAAAATTGGTAGGAAAATGACTATTGTAACGGCAAATAGCTCGTTGGCAACATCAATGGATCGATAAAATATAACCATTGTTCGATTCGAACACAATTCAATGTATATATAAAATTGTCTTTCAAGACCAATTCATAAACAAAAATATAATGTACTTCTGAAACTAAAAATATCCTGAAGGTTAAGCATCTTCTCGAACTACAAGCACTTCCAAAAGTCCTCGGAACTCGCCGCTACTTGAGTGTTATTTTAAGAAATTTAACTGTTTCCGTTGAAAAATCTGATATCGAGCCCCCTCTCTCCTACAAAAACTGTGTGGTGCAAGGAGGTGCATTATGAAACAAAGAAAAACAAATGTAGTGTACGATGATTTTTGGCAAACATTTTAGGAATCTACAGGACAAAAATCAATGTAAACAGTGCATTGTAGTTTGCAACCATTGCTTACCATTGCTTACCAATTAGTTGTTTGTAAGTAATGTACAGAACGTATAACAATTACACAATTAAAAATTACAACTAAAATATAAAGCAAATAATAACAACGTCTTGGAATGTAGATGATTGAACTTACTTTGCTTTGCGCAGGGTCATTAACACTTTCAATAACCTAAGAACAAATCAAATGATGGAATTAGAAGATAAATGTTTGCAATTACGCATTGAGTTAGTTCTTCGACATGCTAAGAAGGCCCGAAAGAAACGGGTTTTGTATCCTAGATCTCGTATTCAACCTAGCTACTTAAAACGGAAATCAAAATAAACTTGCAAACAAAAGGCAATGACAGCATTACATATTGCGATGAAAAAGTAACAATTCAAACTTGAAAGGAAACAACTGTTTCGCAATGAAGCAAATAAAGAAAATTCAGACCGATATTTGCTTTGCACATTCTGCTTAGTTCTGATGTTTGTCACCAGAAACAACCAAAAGAAAGCTCCCTACCATCCTTCTTAAATTTCTTTCGAGAATTACTAACAAGTTTTCTACAATTTCTCCAATTTTATTTCTTAAGAAGATTTTGAATCCATTTTTGGTTGGCGGACAAAGTATATTTGAGATAACAGATCAATCATTTTTGAGTAGGCATACCAAGCTTATGACAGTTCCAGTGCACAATAATTTGCAAAAAACTTTGGCTATGACTTCTCAAAATTGTAATCACGCGTATCCTTTTTTAGCCTTAGTTTTTTTAAGAGTACATAAAAAACCAAAGGTGAACAAATTATTTACAATTAATTGAATATGGGGTAGCAGTCAGCTAAAAAAGGGGGTGCTGCTGTATGAACAGAGAGTTGGTGAAAGTATCCCAGGCTAGTGGAACAAGCTGAAAGCAGCTTATTACACCATTACAAGCTTATTATAAGCTGGAAGCAGCTTATTGGTTTGTTGCAAATGAACTTATCGCGCAAGAGCTGTGCATTAAATACAAACCTTCAACCATCCACTTGCAACTGACTTTTGAAAACGGATTGCAAGCTTTATGAAGTCAAGAATTAGGGATTCATTATCTCTGCATTCCTGTTGTTTCTCCCTAACAAGAGTAATGAAAAGATTCTAGGCGTAAGAATTGACATATCTGCAGCCAGCTGTTTGAACAAAGCTTTAATTCAAATAGAGTCATTTGTCTCAGGACATCTGGTAGTATTAATTGCCTAGTAACAGGAGTTTTATCGATTCCAATTCTAAACCCAAAATCACTAGAAAATAAAAATAAAAATAAAAAACCAGAAGCCTTGTAACTAGGATTGTGAAGTTGCAGATAAAATGCCCTGCATTAAATAAACATTACATAACGTGAAAATAAAACCAAAAAGTTGGACTAGGTTCAAGAATGGACGTGCAAGTACCTGGCGGTTGAGCAAAAGCCTGGAGCATTATAAAGATTTTCCTCTTCAAAAACCAACCTTGATCTTAGAGCACCAATTACCTTAAAAAGCAATGAACAGTCACATTCTAAAAACACCTACTGCGATAAAGAGACCTTCTAAACAAGACTCCTAGATGGGTTCTTTTGGGGCGAAAATAAAACTTGCTGAAATTCACCAAAATTACTTTAATCAATATATGTAATTGGAATTTGTATGCAAATGAGAGCAAAATATTGCAGCGGATTAAACAAAATTTGCAGGAGAGAGTTACGGTAAATTTTATGTTTGTCAGTTTCAACTGCTTGGCAAATGGAGGCACTCGATAACTGTCTGAAAATGATAAAAATCACATATTTCGTATAATGGCAATGAATGAGTAGATGAACGAAGACTTATATATCTGCTTCAAACATAGTTATGTCAGAAAATAGTCGAGTTAGACAGAGTGCTGTTACTTGCTGGCGAGAATGTAAATGACTCACAGTCAACAATGGCAAACCTGAACACAGTCTTCGTCGCCAATGGACTGCAGTATGAATCGAACACAGGCAGGGCAATCTTCCATATTCGCGGAGTCTAGAATATCCAAGACGGACTGACGAACCTGAAATCAAAAAAGGTGACAAGCCTATATGTGACAAAAAAGTTTATTTATAACTGGTTTCTTTCAAGGGTTTCTTGCCAATTTATCATCCTTGCATTGAAAAACAAACGAAGCATGGAGATCCACAGCAGTTAACTTAATCTGTGACGTGAAATATGTGAAATTTGAACACTTTAATTTTGGTACTTGGGCGCAGGTGCCTATCAAACTTCATAAAATTGTTTATCAGCACGAAATGATTGATACAGTCAAGTGAAATGAAAGAATCACCACATTTATTTGGCTTCGTAAAACCAGATCTAGTTCACCGTAAACTTATAACAACTTCATTGGCAACATGCCTACCAATGTAAAATTGGTGCAAATGTTGAAATTCTTTGAATATGTACTTTTCTCTTTTGCGTTTATCAGATCATTCTAGCAATTCTTATATTCTCGAAGTAGGGTTGATGGCTAATCTGTCAAGGAAACTCTAAAATAATGGTTAATTCAAAAATTAAATTCACATCCAGCGTCTAGTGTCTGGATATGGACATACCTGATGGCTTTGATGCCATAAATGTATGATTTCCATATGAACAAAATTATCAAAGAAAATTCCTCTGAAAATTATTTTGCTTTAAGGCAATCCCCATAATCAGTCATCGGTTGTTCCCTTTTTATAATTCATATCTAAATATATTCAGTAACAAAATTATTTTGAAAAAGGCATTTGTGCATACTAGCCTTACACGGGTACGATTTAAACTCTAGCCGTCAGAGAGTGCAATATAAATATAGTAAAATGCTTTGTTAATATATAGATGTATTTTTTAATTTTGACTGTTATATTTTGGTGTTATTTTATGCTAGGAGGACTGGTAACTTGCTTAACATACTTTCTGTGAGCACTGTGCTGAACTTCACTCAAAAGAAAGTTAACAACCTAAAGAAAACGTTTACTCAAAAAGCAAGTATATTAGTATATATAAATTTCATACCTTATTTATCAAATTTAATTTACTCAAATAGCTAAAAGTACTAGGCCCTATAAATTAAGAAAGCACTTAAAAATCAATCATTTAACACATTTCAATCTTTGATAGATGACTCTGATAAAAGCATTTTTATGCCAAATTTTCACTCAATTTTCACCGTTCGATATATCAAAATACTGGATTGGCTGTTTCCTACTCACTTGTTAAATTCGAAACATATCAACCGAAACTAGAAAAGTACAGCTGATGTGTACCTTTTGGCATTCTAAAAATCTGTTACTTGAGCGTAAAGAAATGAGAGATATACATTTCTTTAAAAATGGAGCGAACCACTAATATAGAAGGCACACCTCTGTGAGCAAAGATCCAGCGAGATTTAGACTAGTGAATGCTTCGATCACTGATGCTGTGAGCTGTGAATTTTGCTGCAGTATTTCCCTGCAAAAAAATAGGCATTTCATTCAAAACTGCTATTTTATCTAGGAAGTCCTAATTGAAAACAGAAAACACATTTTACGCTACTGTCCTATGCGACTGAGTATATTAATGCAAGATTAAAAATTCATTTTTAATGGAATTAGTCGAAGGCAATGCTTTAAGAATCGAGGGGTAATAAACTCTACCGATTGCAATCATTTTCAAATTTAATGAAATTACCTATTAAACTGATCTTAACTTTCAATTATTACATATAAGGGAAAATGAAATTGAACTAACGATAGCAGGGACAATTCAAAATACTTACATTAGCTGTTGGCACACTTCCGCGTGTTTCGAGTCACTGATTAGATCGGGTAAGCAAAGTATTAGCATTCTCTGTATTTCTAATTCCGAGACTGAAATCACCTCAAACAGCTTGGAATACAATACCTTTGAAGAGCAATTCGAAATTTCATAAAATTAACCTTTAAACAAAATGGTTCAATTTTTTACACAAAACAATCACGACTTTCCAAAAAACACTCGAACTGGAGCTAATACCACCCCTATTTAAAAATGGATTCTTTTGAAAAAAGATTTAGAAAAAAGAAAAGGATTCAACTAGATGTCTTAGTTGCAATTTCACTAATGTCTAAGTTGATTACAGCGCCAATAATCTGTTACGTGATGTCATTCTAGTAGTTAACAGATATCATCAAATATACTCACTTTTTCTTCAACAATATGATTCATCCACCTAAATTGATTAATTATCAACTGAGCAATGTCCAAGTTACGTCCTTGATAATTACAACTGACCGAGCCATCCTTGTACGACAATAGTGCGAGCTTCTCAATTAGGCAATTGATAATTTTTGCCTAAAACAAATTAAGCTTTGTAAAACAAGATTGACAATACAAATTAATAGAAAAAAGACAAAACATACCAAAAATTGTTTACAATAACGGTAATCAAGCATCGTTTGACATGAAATAGTGAAATACTGAAATACTTGCTGTTTGACTGACGTACAAAAATCCTATTAATTCATTGGTCATTGACGCAAAGGGCACTACTACTGATTTCACTGTAATTTACAGATCGAACTTCGATTCGCTGGTATAAGTTAAGAGAAATAGCTTCTAAATACTTAAGATAGAAAAATAATTAATTTCGAAATTTGCAAAAAGTAGATGTGAAGCATACATTCTACCATGCCTGTACAACAGAAAATAATAATATGTTTTAATGTGACTGCTTTTATTTTGTGTTCATGAAGTACTACAAATACATATTAACATTATAAGCTTTGGAGTTTAGAATAGGAGGAACCTAAGTTAAAATGCACTGCGTGAAATGTAAATTAAAGTTGTGGGTAAGTCAGAAAACCCACTCACCATTAGAATTGAAAACCATCGACAGGACCCCGAAAAACAAATGTCATACCGGCATGTGAACATTTCGATAACGATTCCCACAATTTCATGCGTATTGCAAAATTCGATATAATTGAGCAATTAAAACTTAAAACCAACATCATTAGACAAAGAAGTCTTAAGATCTCGCCTTAAAACAAAAGAAGATTTCTTGACACAAATGCTAAAAACACTATATGACCTAAACCAGGGGTGGGCAACTTTTTTGGAGAGTGGGGCAGATCGTTGAAAACTTTTATTCAAGCGAGCAAATTAGGAAAAACAAATACGATAGTATTTTAATGTGATAATTATAACAAAAATAATAATAACAATACTAATAATGGGCAACTAAAGATCAATTACAGAATGGTTCTGCAAGATTGTAAGAGAAGACGCACCAATTAAGATATGGCCTGGATCGATTATAGAAAGGTATAAGACATGTTTTATAAATGTATAAACTAAAGAACAATACAAGAAAGGAGACAACAGAAAGAGAGGAGAATGAGAAGAAGATATGTAGATGGCTACAAAAGAGCAATTTAGTAGTAGAGACAGAAGCCCTTATTTGTACTGCCCAAGAACAGGCAATAAGAACAAAATACATTAGGTTCAATATAGATAAGACCGTGGAATGACCTTTCTGCCGAATGTGCGGAGAAAAGGAGAAAGCATAGGCCACATAATTAGTGAATGTGAAAAACCTGCTCAAAGAGGTGATAAAAGAAAGCACGATAATGTTGCAAGATTTGTGCTTGGACATTATGTCGAAGACACGACCTAAAACGAGGAGCTAACTGGTATGAGCATTCTCCACAAGATTTTATGATCCAGTGTGATCATTACATAGAGGGCCGAAAACCAGATATAGTTGTTGTCAGGGATGGAAAAAGTATCAGACCACGGGACCAACGGTTCCAGAAATGAAAGAAAGAAAATGAAATGGCAATGAAAGAAAATGAAAAAAATCAAGGATGGAAAAGTCTGAAAGAAAGAAAAAAATGAGAACTGAAAAAATTAAAATCTCAGTGAGAATATTATATCATTGTTGTTCATGTGCAGTAATGTTGGCAATCTGTTCTGCTTAGTCTCGAAACTTGTGTTTTTTTGTTTTGGATAAGCCAACAAAAAGCAGAAAATAATTTGGCATGAAAATTGGAATCTCCTTGCTGAAATCTCATTGAGATTATCAGCGGTGGGCAGCCTATTGTAAAACATGGAATTGATGGTAAAGCACTCACCCAGAACATGAAAGCTGGCTTTGATGAATTTTACATTGCAGCTTGTCAAATAGGAGGGGTTTATTTGATGGTGTCTACTTCCACTGTAGTATACAGAAGCACTTCAATTATCTTTATGAACCAATGATGGGGACATACTGTTCAGCTATGACACATTGCACAAAAATGTACTTATAGACACACACATGCAAAAAGAAAGAATTTTCATGGGTTGTGGAAGACAAACACATTTGCCAGCAACCTATTTACCCTATTTAACTGGGGAGCCAGTTATGAAAAGCTTGTTGCAGCTACAGCACTAAACTTAACCTGCAAAGTTTAGTGGGGTTTCCAGAGACAAGATTTGCCAACAGCAGAAGATAGGTATATAAAAACATACATCATGAGTTCCCAGCAGTAATGACCTGCTTGGAGGAACAAATCTTAGATGGGGTGAAGAACATATCAGGGACAGAACCTGCAAATTCAAAAGTGAGGGAAAAGGCAAACAAGGCATGAGAGCTTAAGGAGAAGATACCAAAAACCTGTTTCCTGCTCACACTGTCTGGTCTAGGTGGTGCATATGGGCAATTTGGCTTGATATTGAATGTTGCTCAAATGGTTCACCTATTGCCACATGAAAGATTGGAGCTTTTTATGGAAGCTGTTGATGTTCTTCCTAAAATGGAGGAGTGCTTAGATGACCACAGCAATCACTGGCACCAGAATCAAGAAAGCAGAGGTGCTTGTGGCCATTAAACCAAGCAGACAAAGAAGGCTTGAAAGAAAAGAATGAAATCAGGGGAATACTTATTGTCTCCCAGTGTGGGATTCAAGCTGCTGGCTTGCAAAATGAAACACAAAGTCAGTCTCTGACCGTGAGGATGAAACCTGATTCTGAAGCAACATCAAACAAGCAAATACTGTGTTTGCCCAAGAGAAATACACAGTGGTTTAAAATCTGATGTGTTTGATCAAGCATCAAATGATATGATTCAAAACACTAAGTGATTTTTTACCAGCCTGCATTTGCTGTTAAGTTACACCAGCCAGATGGAGGAAGTACAAAGATTGCTGAAACATACTTCCCCAAATTCAGGGAAGCAGTTTTGGCAACACCTGTGAGGTCCCTTTCCTCTGTGCCAGAGAAAGCCTTCAAAGGCCAATACAGATAATTTTTGAAAAGACTTCAGCTGTCAACATCAAGCTACACAGTGTTCCAGCTCATTAAAAAGTTTTTCAACCCTGCAAATACTTTATTTGTAGGCATAAAGATGGTAATGCAGGCTATTGCTGTATCTTGTGTCAAGCAGTCATGTGAGTTGATTTTGGAGTCAATGGTTTCTATGTATGAGTATCATTTTGATGGTACCAGAAATATGGAAGAAGAAAATATGAAATAAAGAAATTTTCATTGCAGTGAATGGCCCAACCTCTCTCATTGCAACAGGGACATTGAGGAGTCAATGATAGATACTGGAAGGAACAGAACTGGCATTTCTATAGAGCATCCTTGTCAGACCATCTCAAAGATTTTCACATAGACTCAAAAGTGTCGGATAGACTTCTCAATGAAAATAGCAAATTACCTTGCATGGAGTAGAACACATATAGTTTGAAAAAGTGGCTTAGAACCTTCCCATCATTTTAAAAATTAGAACATTATAAAACTTTTTTTCATCCTCCTTAGTGTATTTTATCATTCAACTTGACCACTGACTAACTAATTAACTGGCTACTTCATTAATAAATCCCGTGGGAATAAGAGTTTCCACGTTCTGTTTTGTCACATGTTTTTGATATACTGCAGAAATTTTTTCAACATTTTCTATGGTCCCAGAAAGTAAAATATTTGTCCCACCCCTGGTTGTTGTAGAAAAAGAAAAAAAATGCACAATTATTGACATTGCCATCCCAGGAGATAATAGTGTTGGTGCAAAGGAAGAGGAAAATATAGAGAAATATGATAACTTAACGTGGGAAATCAACAAAAAGTGGTCAATGAAAAAAGCAGAGATAGTAACGGTAGTCATTGGAGTACTTGGAGCTGTTAGTATCAATTTGAACAGTGCATAGAAAGGTTGGGAATACAAATAAAGACAGAACATCTGCAGAAAACGGCTTTACTGGGAACAGCAAGAATATTGAGACGGACTTTAAAGAACTGAAAAATAAAAAATAAAAACAGAAGGGCAGAGGCTACCAGATAAAACAATTTAACCTCAGTTTACTGGCTGTAGACAGCTGACATTGGAGAGTACCAGCAGAAGATTAAGCTGTGCAAATGGGAACTGAGAATAATAATTATAATTACAAATGTCAATTTCAATTCAATAATACTACAGTGGGGTCGATTTGTTTCATTTAATGTTTGTGCCTGCTCGGAAAATGATACTTTCCACCCAAGATAATAAGGATATGATTTTATCAACTCGTGGGCCCAAAAAATTCTCTTCCCGGGCCAGATTCTTGTCCGCAGGCCGTAGGTTGCCCACCTATGGCCTAAGCCATAAAATCTTTTAACATCAGCTTAAGCTAAAAATAATATTAAAGAAAATAGGGGGAAGCAATGAAGGAAAGAGTGAGTAAACAGAATTTTTTAGCAAATGGTGGTAACACATGTCAAATCAGGTAGTTACCTGTAACATATCAATTCCCAGAAGTACTTTGGCAAGGCTTTCACAAAATTTGCTCGACGAGACTCTGTCAGTAATAAGAAAAGAGTTTGTAATATAATTATGTGATAAGCGGCCAAATGGTTTGATATTATTTTTTACATTGATTTGGTTGAGATAAGAAAGATGTGGACTAGATAGGAAGATAGTAAGCTTTTTGTGTTTCACATCTAAAAGAACTGCCTATCGAGTTTTCAGTCTTGACATACTGTATTTTTAAAAAACTACTTCAAGACTATTTACAGGTTGTACAGCAAGTAAGTCATTCAAAATTAATTTACAGGTTCTTACTTAGAAAACATCAATACGTACAGGGGAATTACATACTTTAATTTTCTTACAACTTGATTCTTCATTTCCCATTCTTGAAATTTCCAATACTTATAATATATATATTTTGATGTTTTTAACTTTTAACTTTGATTATTTGCTATCTATCAAGACTTTTGCCGCTAACATTACTTTTTCGGCTAGAAATTAAAAGGTTTCCCTGTAAAATCATTTGAACATGGCTTTGAAAAAGCAAAAATTGGAAAATATAACAAGACAAATAACAACTTAGTAGAAATTTCCAAATGAAAATATTTGTGACTTATAGATAAATACTAGCAATCTAACCAAACCCAAGATGACTTATACACAAATACATACAAATTGCTAAAAGATATCCATTAAGAATACAAGAACTTCTACAAAACCCCCCAATATCTCAGGGCACTATACTATCCTATACAGTTTTAAAGTATTTAAATGAACAAATTAAAAAAAACCATCAAGATGTCTTACGTTTCATCAGACATTGATCGTGATATTGGAACAAGACAGAGTATAAATCTAAAAAATAAGTTCCCAGGTTAACAACATAAGTAATATCGCTTGAGAATAATAGAAATAATAGAAGTGTTTCAACCTTAGTTTTTTTGCCTTGTTCCTTTTGTTTGAAATTGTATAGCAAACATCTACTCGTTAGTGTAAACTCAACAAAACATAAAACTTATCATAATATTTCATTCACTGACAGTTCCAGTTTTAAAATATCACTTTTCTACCCGCTCTTGTGACATAACAAGAAAAGTGAAAAAAGTTGGCTCAATTGACCTTGATTGGAGCAGTTGTAGCCAAAGGGGACTGCTGAAAGAGTGTCAATGAAAACAAGAAAAGTAATAAACATATGTTATCTTGCTCAGTTTTAGAAATGAATTTTAAAGCTCAAAGAATGTAATTGGTAGTTGCCAAATATAAAAGAAAATAGGTTAATTAAGCCAATGAATTGAAGCAATATAGTCTTTCCAGCCTATTGTAGAGTGGGACAATTTTTCTAGATGAAAATGTTAGCAGAAAGTTTCACAGAAAATTTTTGAAGTGTTAAAGTAAATATAAAAATCTGGTGATATAGGTTAAGTCAAAATAGCAGAAAATATTATTTCAACACGCCTGTGAGCAGCTAAATTTGAGCTGCCAAAGGACTGTGGGAATTAGTCTCTTTCCATTGGAAAGAAATTCTTTGAGCACTTTATTTACATTAACTATTTCACAGAAATCTCAGCCACTCACGATCAGAATTTTTTTAGCAGCTGAGCTTTTAAGACAAACCATGATTAAGACTGAGATTTATATAGGGACTGGAATCTACTTTCACAGAAAATATTTCTGGCACCATGGTGTGAACAGTATTTATCATAAGTTAATATGCTTGGTTAAATTAATTTGTTGCATGCTAGGACTCCATTTCAACCACATATTGCTTCTCACTTGTCAAAAGATTAGGCTAAGCCTTCTCCATAAAATGCACCATCCAATTCAAATGATTTTGCCCCTGACTCTTCTGAAACTATGTTTTGAGATTATTGCATGGATTTTCCTTTTGATTTTGGTTTTCCATCACAATTGATTGAATGAATCAATTTCTAGCTAAAGTTGATTTTGTTCTTATGTGCATTTTTGCATTAAGTAAAGGCATATCTAATATGTTGAGGATAACTGTTTCGGAACAATAGTCAAGATCTCCGATATTAAATGACACATTAAGTTAAGAAGTTGATTGCCTGACAATTTTATGCATTCGATTTAACCTTATATAGAAATACTTTGAGAAAAAAAACAAATTAAGCATTAAAAAAAAACAAATTGAACATTCAAATGAGAAGTATCATACTTAAAATTAAGTTTGCCTCTTTTATACATCAACTAAGTATAGAGATATAGGCACAAACAGAAACTTTATTTGTCTACCCCCTAAATTTTGCAGAAAGTTTTGAGCCAGATTCTTAGGTTCCCAGAAAGAAAAAAATTTTCCACCTCTGGCCCATTGTCATACTTACTCATAAAAGAAGCATTGAGACAGAGAATTCAATCTAAAAATAAAATTAAGAAACAATCATATTTGCTTCTTACCTGTTATTTTCTATAATGAAAGACTCAAATCCATCAACAAACAAGTCCACTACCTGAAATAAAGTGATTTCTCAGTCAATGGAAAACAACTTCCCTTGGGATACTTTAAAAATTAGCAAACATGCGTAAAAAATCTCAAGAAGATACAAAAATTAGATGTACAAAAGGAGGTAAATTAGCCAGTTTTGCAATGCAATAAAACTAAATATTGTGTGAAAAAATCAATTAAGACTTCAAATTACAACTCCTTCAGAAAAATATGTTACATTACCAAACTACAGACTCCCTGGTACAGAAACGACAGTAATAACAATTGAATTCAAACCTGTGGATAATTTTTGTGACTTTTTAAGGAAATTTGAAAATCCTTTTGAAAAACTACTTGGTCTTCCTCTAGGAAAAAGAATAAAAACACTTTCCTTTACGTATTATCATCTAACATTGTTATAATGGGATGGTATTTCAACAAACTTCACCATCATTTTGCATTTAAAATAGGATCTGCAATACATGGATTCTACATGGCTTCATCAGTTGGTTTCAAATGGCAGACTTTCATGTAGATAATAAATTTTGCTTGTACCAATTAAAATTGTGAGACTGTGAAAAAATTGCCAATAATTGTAAAAAAGGAATTTATCTGCATCTGTTTCTAAAGCCAACAAAATTATTATGCAAGTAAAAGACATCAAGAATTTTTATTTGATACGTAAGAAGTCGAGCTTTTCAACAACTATTATTATCTGGTTTCAACATTCAAAGAGCCAAACAATATTTGCTGCTCTGTTCACTAAATAAAAGTTTTCATAATCCATATTGAAATCTTCGAAATGTGCGATTGTTTAATCCATATATTCAACAACCTTAGCCCTGGTATTAGCCTCCGAAAACTAATACCTCAGCCCCAAAATTTCTTTTTCTGTTGTGACCTGGGTGAAGTAAGTTTTCTTGCTGAGCTATGATAGAAGAATGGATGAACAGCAGGAATGAATTAGCTTTTCATTTCTAATACCTTGAGAGCTGTCAGCTCAATAGATAGTGGACAGAGCCTCAGCATGGAGAAAAACATTGCTGGAAATTATTTTTGTGGACTTGCAAAAAATGTAGCTCTACTTTTGTTGACAGTGAATGTAAAGAGCAACAGCCATGAAATCATTTTTAACCCACTGGTTTGATTTTGAAGTGAAACAGTTTGAAGTCATTTTGAAGTCAAGTCAGGCACATAGCTGCTGTATCAAAAGGCAAATTTTGCTTGCATACTTAGCCATCGCCGTCATACTTCGTAGGAGACATAATTTAGCCAAAACTAGCTGAATAATTACAGCTAAATCTCAAATTTGATAAAAACATTTTAGAGGAACATCAGTGTTTTTGGAGACTCCAGGAGTGAGTGCTCAGTTTCTCTAATACCAATATTTTGCCACCCCAGCCGCCCCTTAAACAAGGTGTATCCAACCCTATTAAAAAATTGTCACCTTATTCCTCTAAAAATTATTATGCAAGTCACTGAAATGTTGCAGAAAAGGAGGCAAAAGGAGGAATTTTCAATAAAGTATAATGCAATATATCTAAAATTTACCAACCCCAAGGAGGAATTTCTCAACCCCAAGACTAATTCAATTTGAGGGTACAGGGGGCTAAAAGTGGTTCAAATTTTCAATCAGCATTCTCCCATTTGGAAAAATTGTCTTTGTGCTCATTCAGTTTATCACTACTACTATTTTATCAAGATTGCTATCCACAACAAGGATGAAAAACAGCTTTCCTTAATTTTCTAATCTATTAGTCTGATACATGAGGAAAATAAGCCCTTTCTTTAAGAAAGTGCGGCAAAGTGCATGGTTCATGAAGCATCTACTTTTCTTCTTTAATCTAACAAATACAAATAGGGACAGGACACCACAGTAAAGACAGTGACCTAAAAAAGGAGGTGTTGCCAAGGCAACAAGACATGCAAGTATTTTATATGATGGCAAGAACAAAATAAAAGATGAAAATTTATAGTATCAAGAAACATCTTCATAATCACAAAATAAGCATGGCTAATTAAACTATACAGACAATTTTTGACTTGAATCAATTTGTATCAACTATGATTCTGGGCAAAGAGACTTAAAAGTATTTTATGAAACGACTATAGCAAAATGAAACTTTAATATCAGTGCACATCCCATAACTTTTTAGAATTCTGTTAAAAGTTCAGGTCACAGCATCTGGACAACTTCCTTCAAACCATGAATATATTTAGGAAGAAAACTGTACATACCTGATTTAAATCTTATTTCATCTTTTTCAAATGAAAATCCTTTTAATTTCAAGAAATTTTTGAAAAAACTGCCATCATCTTCATCATCATCATCCCAACCACCATCAAGAATGACATTATTCAGCTTTGATTTCCGTTTTTGACTTTCACCGGTTGGTTTCAAATGACTTCCTTTCTTGGCTGGAAATTTTGAATAAAAGTATTTTATTCCAGCATGTTGATTATCAGGTCTAATCATTAACAAAAATATAGTAGGCGTGCTAACCACTACACCCCTGAAAACATCCAGGCATGTGATGGCGTGTGACATTTTGTCACAAAACTTTTTGGCAATTATGATAGAGATACGGAGAAATTGCCAACACGAAAATGATGACAGCAATAATTTGGTGAAATTTACTTCGCTTAATTCTTACCATGACTACTTACATTATAGCAACTGAGCAATTTTCTAAACAAGTATAAACTGAGCTTATTTAATATATCAACAAAAAACGGCACTACAAGTACAGAAATATGTTTGCCATGTCGTAAGCAGGTTTCATCCGTGGGAGCGAAATTCATATTGGAGGGCTGCTCATCATTTCCCTTCCCATTCAGTACACTGTTATAAAGAAAACATACAACAGTTTGACAATTATTGGAGGACCAGCCCCCCAGCTCCCCGTTCCGACGGGCCTTTAGAGTCATTCATGCTGTGGCGTTCATCTTGTAATGGTTGTAATGGCCGTTTTTGCGCGTAAATCTGTGCCCCAAGGGCCCTCTGTTATCAAGCATGACAGCTATTTTATGAACCTCACTGACCAGATGCATAAAAGATAATGATGGCCCATTTTTCATTAAACCAAATTTTGCTAAATCTAGATTTAAAGCATAGCTATGTCTAAAGAGGGCGCCGTAGGGGGTAGCAAAATCCACAAATAATCTACTATTTTTCATCGCATCATTGGCAAATCGGCCAATTTTTATCGCATAATCAGCTGCTTTCGCTAAAATTGTGATCGAAAATGAAAATCTTGTTCAAAACACTAAATGTTCCTCTTAAAATTTGGGGACAAAAATGTCTGTTATAGTCTTCTGTGTTTGAATTTGCTCAATGACACCGAGAAATAGCGATAAATACACCAGGAACAAGAAGACCAAAATAATGGTGAAAAGTTTTGGAAAAGCTCGTCATATTGAGAAAAATTATGATGAAGGGACTACAATTATGTTTGTTAATATACGAGAATTCATTATATATGGGATTAGTTAATACGAGAGAAGTTGTGCGGAGGCAGAATTCAAGGGGCCAGATATCTCTTGTCATGCCAGAAAATTAGTTATACTTGTAACCAGGTCAGGTTTCATAATATTGGGATACACTGTAGATTAATCCTATGGTTATTTCAAAAGTTTTTATTTAATCTGCAATCCTGATAAGGTGTTAAGCCTTTTTGAAGTGGCATGAAGTAATTGTACCAAGGAAGGATAAATATGTCAACTCATCTCAAAAACCCACAAAACCAATAATTATGAATTTTGCTCTGATAATAAAAGAAGGCGTGCGATGTTTTGCACTCCTGGAAAGCTGTAGGCGTGCGCCAGGGCAATCGCACGCCTTTCCGATGAAAGCCTTGGCTGTTGATTATCAGGATTTTTGAACATTAAACATTGCCTGTAAGGGTATCATTAAGCCTTAGATTAACTTACACTCCTTTGTTTTGGTTAAATGTCATGCTACATTATTCAGCTTGCTGCAAAAAATTAAGATGACCAGGATCATTAGAGCTAGCCCCTACTCTAGTGTCTCTAATAGAAGAAGGGGGGTAATAAAAATGAGGTGTTCATTCTAGCCAAGTTTAAATAAAAGAGGGTGCTAATAGAGGGGGTATTCATGTCGACCAGGTTCCAATAGAAGCGGGTTGCTAATAGAAGGGTCTGTTCAGGTTGGCCAATTTTCAATAAAATGTCAGCAAATTTCAATAGCAAAGGGGAGCTAATAGAAGGAGTGGATGTTGGTAAATCTTTTAAATAAAAGGCAGTGGAATTAGTAGGATGATGACACTGGTTACTTGATAATGGATAGATAGTTAGAGATAAAGATAGACAAACATAACATGTGACAATTAGAAAATAACTACATAAATAACTATATAATGACAAAATTACAACAAGTGAAAATTTTCCAACTGAGCTTAAAAATGAAATATAATTTGAAAGTAGATGCTATTGAAAAGACAGGAACCTACTCTGTTTTATCAATCACATCGCTTTTTCATTCAATTTTCTGCGTGTTCTGGTCATGACAGATTTGTAAAATTTAATAGAAGGGGGTGCTTATAAGTAATGGGGGAGGGCAAAATCTTCTGAAATCAATACATGGGGGGCCTGTCTGTTAAAGTACAGTATGGAGCATGTTCAACTCCTGCCTACAGCCCTGAACAAACAAACTTTTAAACAAGTAAATGAAAGAAAATTTTACTAACAAGAGCAGTTATGTCAGAAGCAGGCCAGACGTAGAGCCCTAAACAAAGTCAGGCACTCTGACCCCTCCTCCCTTATAAATGTCAAGCCCATTCGTAGAGTTTTAAGCTTTTGGTAAAACCAAGTTCTAAAAATATACAAAAATACTAAATTTTAAATATCTTAATTCCAGATTTTCAAAAGTTGCAAGTTGTTTCTTTTTCTTTCAAGTTTCAAGTCTTGAAAATAATGCTTAATTAACTAGATATAATTGCTTAAATATCAATTTAAACAAGCAGCATTTCTGACAGTAAAGATTTATGCCCCTTAGCCCTAATTGCATCCAAAAAACATTTGTAAACAAACATTTGTTTTCTTATGAGTGAAAGGATAAAAGTAAAATATCTTTATGAAAGATCTTGAACCATAGTAACTTTTTCAAGGAGCAATTTGATTGGCTTCGGAGTGCACCTGTTGAAGGCACTGAGGATCATTTGAAAAATAATGAATGTTCTGAACATTCGTAAAATAATGTTACTAAACATACAAATGTATTTGTTTGGTGCGCCACAAGGGCCAAAGGGCCTAAATTTTTGCTGTCAAAAACGGCTGTTTGTCTACTTCGATTGTGCATAAAAAGTGGTACTTACACTGACCGAGTTTTAAACTATTGTTTTACGGACCTGATTGGGAATCTGTTGGGTTACGCCAATTTTTTAATAATTGTTAGATGAAAATGAGAGACGCGACATTAGGTAGAGCTGGAGTAAAATAGAATCGGGTGGCATGTTTATGCATCATTGAAAAATGAAATCACTAAACAAATGTATTTTGGTTACCTGTCACTTGACTCTTTGAAGAATCTTCGTTTCTTCTTTTTACTGACCGAACCATTTTCTGCAATGCTTTTCTTTCGAGTTTGATTCACTGATTAGATTGATTTGAGGTAGGACTTGGGATTGGAAACGAGCAAGAAAAAGCGCGCCAATTTTCTCGGCCTCTCTTCCATAAAAAAATTTGACAAGGATCGCAGAGCGCTTTGTGATGTTTTTGCGATTCGGCGATTCATGTAGGAAAGAAAGTATTCTCAGTGGCCGATTAACGAATACCAGGGCCGGGAACATAGGGTATTTAAGGGATGAGATGTAGGAAGAATATCACATTATAACAAAGCATTGCCGTAAGTTTTCGAATTAGCTAGAATTTTCCCTAACCTTAATTAAAGTAATTTTTGCAAAATAACCCAAAGCAAAATTATTGCTTTGATAGCAATTGGTCTATTCCAATATTTCTGCATTTTTCAGCATAATGGCCAGCCTCAAATAGAGGTTTCTACTAAATAAGCACCCACCATGGAATAAGCCCCCATCCCAATTTTTTGCGAAATAAGCCGCCGGTACCCAGGGTAAGCCGCCGGTGGCTTATTAAAGGACTTGCAATAACGGGCTATGCTCGAAACGTCGTTATTTATTTTAAAAAATATTTTCCTAGTAAAATTCACTTACATTGATCGTTATTATAGCTTTATATTGTACTGCACGCAATCTAGTATATCTATGGAATCGACCAGGGACGAAAACAAGTTGCTAATTTTGGGGGGGCGTGGAAGGATGAAAATTCCAATCTAAGTAAGAAATTTTTCATTTGACCAGTAAATCTACTGTACCTACTAAATTGATATTTGTAAATAGCCCGAACACCATAGTTCTATTTTCTTTATAATTACCAAAACTTTACTCAATAATTAGCCTAAAGCATAAAAGCCTAAATCTCTAAATTTTGATCAACATGAAACAGACATTTTAACTTACAGTAAGAAGTAAAGCAACATTTAAGCAAAACCAGTATTAGATATACTTAATGATTAGAAGTATTCTTTTAGATCAATTAATCAATTGGCGCAGATCAATCTTATCTAAAATACATTTTTTCACGATATAGAAGCACCAAGAACTTGAGCCTTTAATTTTTGTTCTTGATCGAAGAAAACTACTAACAATTTTCAGAGGGCCAAATGCCTTTTCATTCATTACAATTGAAATGATGATTTGAGAACAAACTTGTGCATATGCCTGATCCGAAAGATGAAACACTCTTCTTTGATCAAATACTTCTACTGCAATTTTGCAATGTGTTCTTGCTTCACAGCAGTTTTGTCATAGGAATTTATGATAAGGAGTCAAGGGCGTTAACAAATAACAGGGGGTGTTTAGCATAAACTCGTTTTTATAAGAAGCGTTGAGAATTTTTAGTACTGAAAGATTATTAATCTTTTATTGAATTAACTCCTCGTAGTTTCTTAAAAAACTCCCACTCTAATAATTTCTAATCAATACGGGAATTATTATTCCAAACTGTAAAGTTTCAAGTTTCTTATCCGGAAATTCACCTTGCCTGTTCGTAATTTGATTCAACTCCCGTCAGAAAGAAAGCAAGCAGGGCAATTGTGCAATTTGGATCCAGTGGAGACGGGTCAGCTTCAGCCTGTGAATTTTAATGTTTAGAATTTTTACATTTAAAATAAAAAAACTTCTTAAAATATAGAATTCACAAGTTTGGTCCTAAGAAAAAATTCCAAGTCAACCGTTATGTTTTCCAACTGTAACTGGATTTTCCAAACTTTGGGGGGGCGTCACGCCCCCCACGCCCCCCTATTATTTACGTGCCTGGAATCGACTTGCAATAACGTCATTAAAGAATATTGCAAAAACTTGAAGCAACAAGTTTAGGACCTGACTACATGAGAGTTTTCAACCCCGGGGTTGAGTTTCAACCCACCTGGCTGAGTTGAAATAAATTTGCTATTACATGAGTACTTTCAACCCCGGGTATGAAAAAGAGCGCTAAGGCATAATTTTTTCCATAACAAAGATGGCGGGAGGCAAAAATCATCGACTGTTAGTTCTGCAGATGTTTCTCCAATTTTTCCCGCTAATATACTTAATTCTTCAACTGCATGGCCTTATGATAACGTACAAAATGCTGGAGATGAAAAGAAATCTTACGATGTGTGCATTATTCAGTGCAAAGAAAAGCAAACCCCGAAGAAAGATGCAACATATTCAAGCGCGTCGAATCCTTCGTATGTCACGATCGACGTGGGTTGCCAATGGCCGTACAGACCAGTGGTGGCAAAACATGCTGGGGCAGATGGGCCAGAATACTGCTGGAAGAAGAATTTCCGTGTGTCAAGAATTTCGTCCATGAGCCTGGCTGATGAACTGAGACCTTCTATTGGGCCTAGAAATGGCAGCCCAATCTTTTGATATCATTTTACATTTATTATTTTTTAACAAAGCTTTATAAACAAGCTGTTAGGGGTAGGTCAATATTTATGTGAAAGATGTTTGTTACCACGAAACCAGGGAGCCATTATATTTATATCTATAGTGATTTTGATTTTGGGGGGCAAGGGGACATCTTTCAAATGTTACAAAGACCTGTGCACCCTTTTTTGTCTAAGTCACAAATGACTTGTGTGAACAAATCTAGAAACATTGATACATAACATCTTTGCGTAACAAATGCCTTGCAAGATATTTTTTTAGTGGTTCTAAATGCTGGGATTTGCTTACTGTTCCCCTGTTTCCATAGTCCGGGCTTTGCCATCCTGTAGTTTCGTCAATGCAAAAAAAGTTCATGCAGCTTTATATGTAGCAAAACATTTTTCCCACGGTTACCCCAAAAGATAAGTTTGAAAGTAAATTGGCTATTCAACCAGCAGGAAAATTAATTCACATGGTACCTAACTGTGTAATGGCTAAATTATTGTGTTTATACATATGGTTGTTGCCAGCAAAATGTTTTAAAAACAACCATAAACCAACAAATTTAAATTTCAAGCATCACAGCATTCATCATAGACACTTGGAAAGTTCTTGTAATTGTTAGTTTTAGGTACAGGTCTTGAAAATTGTGAAGGAGACTGGGTCTGAGGGAAATATCCATGTTGTTGGAATGATGACTCTCTTTCAAAGCTGGGTTGATTTTGGTACAGCTGTTGTTGGTTTTGCTGGCATATGACGTTGCTCATCGTTTCAATTGATTTTGACATACCTTGTGCAACCTGCATAATGGACATGCTCATTTGCTGCATTGCCGTTGCAAAAGTCTCATTAGACTGACGTATCGCTCCTGCCATGTCCCGCTTGAAATGCGCATCCTTCTTTGACCCGTTTAGTAGTAACTGATCCCGCTGGGCAGCACTTAGTTGGCGTTCCATGTGCTTTCGCTTTTATCTATGAGTCTTGGTACAGGATTTTGAATGTATTTCCTTTTTTTTACCAACTATTGGTTGAATGGGGGCTCTCACTGGGCTGTCAGCTGATGCTAAATAATCATCTGTTAACTTGTCACTTGATGATGTTGATGAGAGAGCATCAAATTCAGTTTCTTCCTCCTCCTCCAAGATTTTTGTTGGGCCTTTGTTAACATTTTCTTCACTGTCTTTATCTTTTTGATCAGAGGATATTCCAAAAGACAAAGGGTTTGTTGATGGACTACCTCCCCAAATCAATGTCAACTGGTCAAAAAATTCAAGAGCAATCTTCTCACTGCCACTCCTCGAGCCTGTTGTTACAGCATGGGAAAATTGTTTGCGAATTTCTTTCAGTTTTTCATGGACACGACTGTGTCCTTTTTTTATCAATTTTTTCCATTTTTTGCCTCTTAACACACTCCGCTTTCTTCTTCTGGTCTTCAGCATCTTCCCTAGTCATTTCTGACAATGAAACTGGCCCAAAGAAATCTTGCTGGTCAGAATAAATTTCTGACATGGCCTGCAACAGCCTCGTACTGCTTTACTTTATCGGCATTAAAGTCAACATTTCTGTACTCCATAGCGCTCTTGTAGTTTCCTAGGCATTTTATAAGATTAAAAACCTTGTCTCCCTGGCTCCAGCGAAATCTGTTTTTCTTGTCATTAATAACTACACCCATTTCACTTGTTTCAAAAGTATCTTCACAATCGTGTCCGTAATTTGCAGCCATGTTGTTTTGTTGAAACAAATGGCGCTCAGGCGGAGATGCTCTTTACGCATGCGCTAAAAGCTGTTCGACCCCGGGTTGAAACAAGATTGCGATTACATGGTCATTCACGTATTGAAAACAATAGGGATTAACGGCTCAAGAGTTTCACCTCGACCAGCTCAAGATGGGATAAAATTCCAACCCCGGGTGTTATTTCATCCCCGGGGTTGAGATTTTACCATGTTATCGAAAATTGGAATAAACAAAGGAATAAATTGAGAGGTGGGATGGAATTTCAACTCGGCCAGGTGGGTTTAAACTCAACCCCGGAGATGAAAACTCTCATGTAATCAGGCCCTTAGATGTACGACAATTAAAAATTGCGATAAAATTAAATTACAACAAGGCCAAACATAAGTTTGCGCAATAACATGCAGAATACCAATTTTTCTCCAGCTTTTAAAGCTGCAAAGTCAGAAATAAAGTCATCCATTGAAAACACGTCCATTACACCATGTTCGCTCCTGAAAAGAGACAGGCTACCAAACTGAAGCAGCCTTTCCACTAGCCCGTATGAAAACAAAAACAGGTTAAAAGCTATCCGTTTTTGCGTCGCGTTCCCACTAACCCAAATTATTTTAAGTGGTACAGTGGACAAGAGGGTACTCCCATACTTGCCTGACGAGATACGCTGTAAAAAGGGTATCCTCTTTTGCTGAGAATTTCGGGACAGGGTATTTGACTTTCTCTTGATGTTCAAAATAATTTGGCATCGCTTTTGCAAGAGTAGTATCTAGAACGGGACGGTTATTCAATGCTGTTGCAATCTCTACAGCCTGCTTTTCAAACTTGGCGCACAAAATATGTTATTAGAATTGGTGCGCAAATTATCGAAATGAGGCCCATTGCTTCTCGGGGCACATAAGATTGCAGATCATTGTAAAAATTGCAAACCAGGCTTTGAACATGTTTTGATTATTTGCTTTTCGAATTATCTTGATGGATCCATTCTATTGCGACCAAGCTTGAGCATAGTTAAGATATTGTATATCGAATGATTGATTGATTTTGTTGATATTGATGATAGCGCTATTTCTACCATATGTGTTTTCCTTTAAAAGTTTTATTTTTCGTGATTCAGACCCTTGATGACCGGCCCCCGCTCAGTAACTCGACAGAAAAGTCAGGGTGGAGTTTCCCAGAATTTGGAATGTTCCAGGCTGTTAATCTCATTTTCGGGGTATCTGCGCGAGCAAAGGTTAATTCGAAGTGATCACCGTAAATTCTATTTTAAGCCCCCCTCTCAATTAAGCCCCCCTCTCTTATTAGCCTCCCTTTTCATTAGGAAAAGTTTAACTAGCCTCCCCTCTCAATTTAGCCCCCCTCAATTTAGTAAACTTGACAAAAAACAGATATTTGATAAAAACTTGATAAAAAAGCAATGTCTCTTCCAGTCACGGCAGATTCGAAGACAAAGATTTAATATACATTATTCCGAGGAATGAAGTTGACCTTTTTGAATGCTCGATTTCAGAAGGCGACATTGCCCAAGAAGATATTTTAGAATAAATAATTGATGACGATGAAGATGACAATATTATTCAAGGCTGATTTTATGTTTTTTATTTCGCAAAAAAATTAGTTTACCACTAAAAATGGTTCTTTATTACAAAATATTTATTAGGCCCCTTTTCTCAATTTAGCCCCCCTTTAAAGTGCTGAAAAACAATAAGCCTCCCGGGGGCTAAAAAGGGAATTTACGGTAAATATCAAGACGCCCTATACCGAAATTGCTATGCAACAATAGACCAAGTACGTAGTATTTTGCAACAAAGTGGACCATTGCTAGCACACAGGGTTCCCATTCATTGCAGGACATCACATGACAATTGCATCATTGCGCTGCAATTGCAGCTTCTGTAAATTGTATTATTCTTAGGGTATATAAGGGGTGGCTTTATAGTTAGGTTCAGTCTTGCCGTAAGATTGTCGAACTCCGTGTACCTTGTCGCTAGCTTGCAGAATTGTCTTTGCCGTTACATTGTCGCCGTTAGCCGAGTAAGATATTTTTAGTCGTTTGCCGTGAACTAATGAATTAGAAGAAGTGTATAGAGAATTGGATAACAGTTTTTGCCGTATTTATCGTGTACGTTTCTGCGAACGACCAACGAACTCACATTTGTAAAACCCCCTTTTTAAGTGGTTTTACACCATCAGAGGGCGGACATCATTGTCTCTGTGCTTGCCATATGAGAAATGTCTACTGCAGATGAAATTTTATTTGCTTGACTGAATCAATGAAAAAAAGTCCAGCAAGAGGCACATTCAATGGCGTACCGAAGGGCAGAGTGGCATGGAAGGGAGGGGGGTCGGCTGGTCGAGTACCGGAAATTCGAAACTTTTAGTACTGTTTTGAATATATTTTTTGCTCATTTTCACTTACTTGACCTTGTCGACACACTTTTAATGGAGAAGATATTACTACCCATTTTAAGCCCATGTCGAAAAAGGAAGAGACACAAGGTTTTAGAGAAGAAAGAGGCACAAGAAATCAAACACTAATCCTAAAAATGGTCATTGAGAAAAACAGAGAATTCAACAATGGTATAACTCTGTCTTATTGACTACAATAAAGCGTTTGATATGGTCTCACATGATACCCTTTGGAGTACCATGATTAAGATGGGTCTCTCAACTCGTATTGTTGCACTGATAAAATAATTAAGCGACCAGAAAGCAGCAGTCAGAACCTTACACGGCCTTACTGACTGGTTCGATGTTGAGCAAGGAGAGAGACAAGGCTGCATCCCATCACCTCACTTACTTATTCACCATTTACTCTAGACAGATAACGATAGACGCCTTGGGAGATGTTAATGGCAGCATGAAAGTTGGTGCAAAAACCGTTACCAACTTCGGATACGCAGACGATTTTGTAATCATTGCTGGCACTATAGAAGAGCCCCAAGATATGGTGAACAAATTAAATGTAGAAAGTAATCGTTTCGGACTTACAGTGAACACAAGCAAAGTGAACAACTATTTTTAAACAATGAAAATGGAAATTGTGAGTGATTTTATCTACTTAGGATACTTGTTGACAAAGGGCCATGACGATTCAAGAGAAATTAAACGCAGATTGAATTTCGCAAAAAGTGCTATGATATCATTTACCAACATTTGGAAAAACAGAGGGAAATATACAAAGAAGTTTAACCTCCTCGGTAGTTAGTATAGCTCAGAATGCTGGGTTAAAAAAGAGGCTGGTAAAAAGATGATGAGTAATTTTGAGTTTTCATGTTACCGTAGATGAATAGTTTTGATGTTACCGTAGACTTTTAAGAATTAGCTGGACTGAAAAAAAGAATGAATGGGTTTTAAACAAAATGAATTGTAGAACCAGACAAACCAGACTGCTGGCATCAATAAACAATAGGAAGACGGCTTTTGTTCGGCACATTTTGAGAAAACCCTTTACAAAAGGATTTTGCTGAAATTTGCTGGACGGCACAAGATCGTGATTTGTAGAGTGCCACAGCGGTTCAACATGAACCTTCTGTTACCTGCTGATAATTACATGTAATGCTGCCTTCAAATTGAAAAACTGCATGTGCAACAAGCTATGCAGAATAACTATAGGCCTTGTCTTTCTAAAGTTATTATCAATTTTTAGTATGATAACAAAGTTTAGTATGAGACCTTTAGCAAGTAAAGATACAACAGTAATTGAAGCCCAGATATTGTGGTAATAATAATAATAATTTAAATGCATTATTTCAAAAAACGATCGCAAAAGGTATTAAAACCTTCTCGGCACTTTCAAATAATAAAACATTTCCTTTCAAAAATTGCAAGACTACAGCTAGAAACTGAATTTTAGTCTACAAGAAATAACTTGGTTTTTAGGGGTTCGGAGGAAAGTACTTTAATTTCAAAATTGCAAGAATTGTCCTTTTATCTACAGTTGTATAATAAAATGGCATTAAAGATCGCATAATCTAAAATGAGCAACTCCTCAAAAGATGAAACAACAATAATTGTTGCAGGTGATTTCCAGCCATACGACGCAAACTAGAACATAATTTTTAATTAATTAAATGGCGCTGCCTCTAAGTATTTACTGTTAAATTTTCTACAGCAACTTTAAGGCGGCGACCTTCAGGCGTTGAACCAAGGGAAACTTTTGTCGATGTTTTCATCAAGTAATTGGCAACATTATGAATTATCCTGATATCTCTAATGTATACTTTTAAAGAAGTTACCGAAATTACCAATGCAAGGTAACGACGATATTATTTTCTTTAAATTATTTTCGAGAGGCTTACCTTAATCATAAATTTTTCAACCATAAATTCACATTGCTACCTTTTATTATTCCATTTTAGCTCATCTAAAAAGTCAACTTTAATAAAAAAGTCAGTCAGAAAATTTGCCATTGTTCCGTTCAGGTCTTTTTTCAAATACATAACATATTCAAAAGAGTCGGCCTTTGAACTAATAGTACTCATAACAAATCCTTTGCAGAAAACTCCGAAAGCCTCACAAATTCGCTTGGCTTCGTTCGTATCACTTACAGTAAATGCACAACAGTCAGGAACTATAGTAGCACTGCATCTAAAATCTCCAAATTTCGGACTGTCTGCTTCTTTGATTTGTATGAACATGCTTTTTACTTCAAAGTTTCGTACTTCTTTGGAAAGAGTTATAACTCTTTTCGCCGTAGTAAAAGGCTTTATTTTTTCCCCTGGTAGGATATGATGATCTGGAATCTCCCGGTAAGGGACTGAGTCGCTTTCCATTCTCCTAAAGCGATTTGAAGCCTTTGGAACGTTAGGGCCAGTCTTGATTCCTTCTAATGTCTGACCTCCTTGGATCAACTGTTGCACTTCACGTCGGGCGTCGTTGTGATTAGCTTCGTCAAGCCGCTGCTCTGTTACTTCTTCAGCGCAGTTTTCACTGAGCCGATTTTTGCAAGAATAGCGTTTAGAAAATTTAGCCATCAATAAAAAGGCAGCTATAAACAGAAAAATTAGAGTAAAATAAAATTTGCGAACTTGTCGAAACTTTAGACCCATAGTTTATGACATTTCTTCAGCTTTTCACAGGCAAAAGTACTTCCTAATTGATAGGTATTTTAATATGACTAGATCTTGCTGAAACTCTAAATCCGCAAACAACCACAGCTGAACTTCTTTATTCGCTAAGTCAACAATCTATGCGCTTATACAGTGTCCGAAAGTGACCTTTAGATACATTTGAGCCTTCGAACGGGCATGTCCAGATCGCGTTTGGTCCTGCCGAGAACTCACATTGTTGAAGATTCGCTAACCATGCAAAGTCTATCGCCTTCATTCACATCTGGCACGGCATGCTGGAATGGTAAAATATAATTTTAGGAACATTAGGAAATCGCATCAATTAAAATTTGCCTAACCATCAAATGAATAATTGATGAATAAGGGGTGACATGCAACGAGATATAATCTAGCATCTCACAGCAACAACTGGTGCTTCCTTTCAAACCTTCCAAATTTATTTTATTTTCTTTTACTTTTACCAGTAAGACTAAAGGCATTTTAATCACATGTTCCACATTTAAAACACTTTACTCCGTCTTTGGTAGAAAACTTTCATTAAAAATTCATATTCAGAAAATGCAGAGCTGGTCTTACAAAATGATTGACCGTTGCACACAATGACAAATATAATAATATTTACGCTTCTAGTATTAGAGTAGATAAACGCGTCTCAGGAAATTCTGAATTAATGCACTTTGGCGGATGACAGGTAATTGATAATGTGTAATAAAACTATTCAATCGACTTTGAGATAACCTTCGTTTTGCAAATGCAGGTGGGAGCAGAGGCGCCGGAAGCTTCGTGATAAGACGGGGGCAGGAACTGCAGAAAGGGCACTTTGGGGGTATCAAAGTTTGCTGAAACAGATCGGGAATCGTCGTTTAGCCAACGACGAAGCCTGGTTGCAGGTAAAGAAGCTGTTAAGGGAGATAGAGTCAGTGGTCTGGGGGTGTAGCCCTTGAAAATTTTGCGTTTTTACGCCCTAAAGACTCTCAGAAATGGGGGCAACACCCATAAAAAATCATTTCAACCAGGACTGCAGTCAAACTTCATTCTCGAAATTTCTTTCACTCCAACATTAACCATCAAGGGAGGCTGAACCCAACCCTACCTTACATTAAAACAAAAATTTGTTCTGATGACAATCTACATGGCTTGATATATCTGTTGGATATAACTCCTCTGAACATTCTGTTTTTCTTTCTTTCTTTATTGAAAGTTGGTACAATCTGTATCTATATTGAAGCTAAATAAAGCCAACTAATTTAAATTACCACGCTAACTCATTTTAACGTACATATTCCTTGTACACAAGAACAAAGTCACAAGTCGCAAGTACAATTGAACAATGAAAATTCTGAGATTTTTGCTTGAATATTTTTAAAGTTGGCGAGTGCTTTTTTCGTTTGGAACTGAGATCAATATTTGGCTAAATCTTGAGATCTTGGCAAAATGTCTTGAGAGCAAAAGAAATCATCTCATTCCATTATTGTTTCTTCTGAAGAGAGACAATTCGACTTCAAAAAGGCTCAAAAACTAGCTTTTGAATTTTAAGATTGCACCAGGGTTCCCATAAGAATATCATAAGAAGCTCAAATCGCTCAGAATCTTTAAAAAGCATTTATTATTGGCTCATAAAAGTTCATGTGCATTCTAGCACTGCTTACCAAATTCAAGTCAAGTCTTCAGGATATTTTTTAAGGACTTCAACTAGCGGGAATTCAAAAGGGCCCACAAGGACAAGCAAATGGACCCACTGGAACAAATTTCCAGCCAGTCGGTACATTAAAAATGTCGAATAGGAATACCGTGCTGCATGAAAATTTCTTGATTCAAAAAACGTCTTGAATAAAACGTCTTGAATTCAAGGACGTAGGAAGCATTACAAAAGTGGGGGACACCTGTTTAAAGGAGCACCCTTACAAAACATTTTATAATGTTTAAAAGCCTGTTTAAGAGGCACTTTAATAAGGATTTCAGAAAGGTTAAAAGAGGCTGCTACATAAAGCCTGACTACAATACGAGAACATTTTCGATTGTCAATTTTATGAGCAGTGCCGCCGAGAGGTTCGCAGGCCTCGTGACACAATCGAAAGAGGAAGCCCTTTGCTCGCTTCGCTCGCAGGAAAAATTTTGGCGACCATGCCCTTTAGACTAGCTAAAAATCCAGTTCGAATATTTTTTGCAGTCATTTTCTAGCAATCGTTTAAACAGTACAAATTCAGTATAAAGATGTACAATTTCTTTATGTCTTACTAATTGCTTTCACAAGCTGGAAACCTCGAGGGCCCCCTGAACCTCAATGCCTATGGCCAAGTTGCCATCGCCACCACCTTTTGTTAACCCTGGTTGTGATCTTGTTCTCTTGGTGTTTCTAAAAGCTGATCGAATAGAAACATTTTAGATCTTGGCCCAAAAAGATCACTTCTTTGCTCATTTCGTATGGCACCTTCGATTGTCAATATTTTAAGTGGCACTCAAAATGACGAGAACACTTTCGATTGTCAATCTTTTCCAATATTTTGTATAAAAGGGTCCTAAACAGGGTTTAAATAGCCCTGGCAGAAACCATGTTACTATTCTAAAAACCATAAAATCAATTCTTTTACGCAACGTACCTTTAGTATGACATCTGAAATCGCGCTCTTGACAAGCGATTGATTGTATGAAAGGATTGACTTTAGCTTCTGTTTCAATCAATTACACAATAACACTCACAATGCAAGTCATTTCGCTACTTTACTTGCATACTACTGAGAATCATTCCCATGCCTTGTTTCTTGACCAAAATAATAAATGCTTAAAGAATGCACTATTTGCAAAAACAACGCAAATATTATTTGTATCCTTTTATTCCGATTACTAGGATCATGTCCACTCTCAATTTCATTAGGCATACAAATTCGCGGATATTTGCGAAAAAAGCTCTAAAACTTTGTTTGTTATGGAAAACACGGCTTATTCGGTACCTCTCTTTATTCAATCACTCAAAATAAATATTCCACGCTTTAATTGCTAAACATGTTTAATCTCTCCATTTTGAATGAAAATACCCCCTGCCATTTGAATGAAAAATACTCAAAAAGTTTGTGTGAAATATCACATGTTCTTGCCGAAGCTCTAGATGAATTTCAAAACAGCAGTGGAGAGAGAACAACTGGAGAAGGGCAATACCAAGGCACAGTGTGACCAGGCCAATACCAAGGCCAATACCTAGGCCTATTTCAAAGGAGTTGTGTGCAAATCAAAACTGCATAAATGCATATAGATTCTTAGACGACACTAACGCCAGCCTGCAAAATCATGACTTGGCGCGTTTTTAAAGGGGTCTTTTACAACACTTTGGTGGCCAAGTGTCTTCAGGGCTGTCGCAAGGCAAACCTTTTGGGGGGGGGGTGTTGACTATTTACTTGATTAAAATAATTACTTAACATTCTATAGTTGTGACACAAACCTATTTAAATTCTTTTGTTTTTGCAAACAAATTGAACAGCAGATAAAAACGACTGGAACAATTTCATCGTGGAAAGTATTATGTTGTCACGTTACTTCTAAAGCTACGTAACAAGCAGCACTGTCTGTTAATCAAGGGCGAAACTTCACTATTTTTATTAAAGTGCCTGTGACATGATTTTCGTACTTTTGGGTTTATATATATATATTTATGTAAAAAAGCCTCTTATTTTCATTTCTGAGGTTAGTTTTTACGTTTCGTGAGAAATGAAGGAGTTATTGGCGATCTTCTACGCCAAAATTCGCCATCTTGGTTTTCAGAATGAGTAGACAGTGACGTCACGGGAGGGACCCGATCGCCTTCTCCTTCGAGTTTTTGTATCGTAGTCAATGTGGAAAATCTAACAGGTCCAAGATGAGCGATATCTCCAGAGAAAGTAGTGGCAGCGAGGATGAGATTTTCGAAGGTAGCGCTTACATTGTTACAATAACGAGTTCCTCCCATGACGTCACAAGAGAACTCCGAATGATGATAAAGCGACTTGGCTAGGCCGCACTATTTCGCTTAATTTCAATATCAAAACGCTTTTATTTCAAAAAAAAAGTTCAGATCTACTATAAGAGCAGTGCAACGTTTCAATTAAGAGAATAAAAAAAATCATGTCACAGGCACTTTAAGGGGGTTTGAAGCTTAGATGCCCGACGAAAGGGCGTGTCATGCTTGATGAAAGGGCGTGTCATGCTTGATGAAAGGGCGTGTCATGCTTGATGAAAGGGCGTGTCGTGCTTGATGAAAGGGCGTGTCATGCTTGATGAAAGGGCGTGTCATGAATGAACGTCATTTATAGGGCACATCGCCTCAAGGGCTGAAGTCATCGGGGACCACGAGAGAGGTTAACCAAATATGTTAGGCCTTTAGATTCAGGCTGTTTGTTTACAGTTAAAAAATATGCTTCTAGTTTTTCTGGTATTGGCTATAGACATTTGTTTGCGAAAAGCAAGCATTTGTAAGGCCCGTCTTTTCTATAAAAGAAAAATATTTTTTACTTTCTGAATCATCTATCTATTAAGAGAGCAATTTCAAAAAGAGATTGAAGTAGGGTCTCAATTTTATCTCAGTGGAACAACAAAACCCAGTGGCGTCGCGTGGCCATTCTCGCTGGGGGGATGTAAGAGATGCAAAACCATATTTTACCGACAGAAATTATTTTGTTACATTAATATTTCATTATAAATTTAATTCTACCGACGAGTTCTCTGAAAGTTGAGGGTGTACACCAACACCCCCCCCCCCCGGTACGCTACGCCCCTGCCTTAAGCAAAGAAAAGTTTTTTTGAAATATTTTACAGGTACACCTATCATCAAAGCTCAATTTTCGTGTTTTCATAATCATGGATAATGTTCAGAAATAGAAGAAACTCGAAAGTTTTTTGCAATTTCTACCTTAATTACAATTCCTTGATAACTTTTCTATTATTTCCCGCTTGAACTGTAGGCTTAAAACTTTCTGTTATTTCTTACAGCCATTTGAATTTTTTTATTTTATCAACTTTGGCAGCTGTACGACCATTTTTTGGCGAAGGGTGCAATACTTTCAGACCGCAAGTGTAAAACGTTAAGAGAATTTCGGGGCATAACACCCTATGAATGTATGATGAAATTTTCATACATTTGGAAAAGTAAGCATTGTTTAATTTTTTCAACAACGTATTCTGAGATGGCATATCCTCCATGCTTTGATTTATGATGCTTCTAAAATTGTCATTGTTCCATGGACTCCGAAACAGGATGGAAAGGGGGGGCGGGTCAAGGGAAAATTTAGCAATCATAAACAAAATATTCTGAATAGAGCTCGCTTGTTTTGCAAAAAGTGGCGTTGCCCTATGTTAATTTCCTTCTTGCATCAAACACACTTTACTTTCCGTCTATACTTTCGCTATCGATCAATACTTCAGACTCTACTTATGCATCTCGAGGCGAAGATAAACATGTGCACGTCGAGCTCGAGACGAAAAACAGAAATGTATATATGTTGCTGTTGCTTGTCTCGTTTCTGTTTTGTTTTCCCAAGTGGGCGGAGATTGTAAAAAAATTGGGGAAAAGACCATCAATTAAAAGACCACGCTGAGGCAAAAAGTAGCAAAAAAAGTGCGACCTAAACAAAATTTCCTTATTTGCCCGACCGATATGCTGGTAGCCATAAATTTGCCCGACAAAATCTGCTATTTTAAAGATTGGGGGGTGCAGCTCCCCCCAACCATACCCCCAGCATTTTCGCCCCTGCTGCCAATTTAGATCAATCTTCCCATCTTAGCATTTCTTTTGAATGTTAAAAAAAATCTGGAGCTCATTGTGAACTTCAGTTGACACTTCTACCGAGAAACTGGACACAATGCGCATTTTTACCCAAAGGGGGCCTGGATATTTTTGGAAATCTTCAAATCATTAACGCTTAGTCTATACCAAGGAATATCATACTTAACCAACGGAGCAACTACCTTTGCTTGATTTGTTTTTAATTTTAAGACATGAAGTCTCTGAGCTCCCAAAAACGTTTCTTCAACAGAGCGGATTTTACCTGCAATTTCCTATTGGGTGGGGGAGTGACAAAGCCCCCCCCCCCCCATACCCCCGGTCGCGACGCCACTGAGTGTCTTGCTAAAAGCTCGAAAGCTTGGCTCTTTTCATTGTCAAAGTACTAAAAACAAAAAAGTTATCATGCAAATCTTGTAAAATGCGACATCAAACGCCAAAATCATCAGAAACTGTAAACAATTTTGGCGTGACAATGTATCGGATAAAAACATTCGTCGAAAAGGATTGCTAGCAAAAAAGGAGGACTTGGCCAAAAATTTGTTCCGCGCAAGATATTAGTTCAAACGGGTGCATAGACGTAGGAAGCATTTCAAAAGTTGGGGGGCAAATGCAGTTAAAATAGGGACATCTCTGTACGCTGCAAGTAGGGGGAACGTGCTCCTTGTTACAACCATAATTGAAAAGTGGGGGGACGTTTTTAAAGAACCTTTCACTTGAGATCGGGGGAGCGGGAACCAATCGGCTCTTGGTATAAAAATAAGCAAGAGTTAGAGTAAAGGACATTGTAACAGGGCCTTTGTTAACATACTAACAAGGGAGCAATTGCCACTGCAGCCCAAGTAATTTTCCATTGCATAAAACGATGGGCTATGGTTCTCTTCTTCATATAAACAAAGGCTTGTGGCCAATGCTAATTTCTTTTAGAATAGGCTATGCATAGGAGTGGTTGCAAACTTTTTTTTACTTAAGGTGTCCCTTTTACCTAGAAATACCTGCTAGATTCGGTTCAAACATTGTCAGATATGAAAGACATTTGCCAGAAATAGACTCAAAATCGTAAGAGCTTGAAAACATTGGCCCTGCCCCCATAGGCGGATTCTTTGCACAATTTATTTAATTATGAAATCATAGTTTATAACAATATTGAGACACAAATTTGCTTACATTTTGATTGGGAAAAGAATCAATTAAGAAAATGTGAATTAGAATTATTAGAAAAATTTAAGATATACTTAGGGGCATTAAAATTTAAGATATACTTTAAAGATTTCTAGAATGACGAGACCATGTAAAAACACAGGAATTAATGCAAAAACCTTTTTACTTGCCTTGACCTCCATTGTCGAGGAACTTGGCGTGCGTGGTGCCTCCTCTAATCGAATTTTAGCCTCATTGAAATTCGTATCTACACTCCTGAGAGTGATAATGATTTTGTGAAAGATTCCATTTGTTTAGAATGACACCATTTGTTTAGACTAACGTTATCTGAAAATAACGCCATTTTCAAATCTAATGTGTCATCTACAATGTAGACACGTAGTTCATGTTTCATCTCCTAGTACCTAAACACCTAATTCTAATACAATTTCGTAACTACATTCTTTTTTATAAGAACAATTTTATGAGAACATGAGCCTCAAAACTGGTCAAAAGTTAAGAACAAATCAAGAACAAGCTGAGCTTCTGCAAAATGCAATTTTGAACGACGTTCTTATACGGAGAAAACAAGTTTCAGTTGTTTAAAACTGCAAAAATATTGAAAATTACACTTAGTGATTTAGGCCTGCATATTTTGTTAATTCTGCCCCGTTACGCTTCCATTGCATTATGAACGGTTACCATTTTTACTGTGTTACAAAACTTTACATATAGACATGATTAATTTTGTTGCAAAATAAGACAACGGACCGTCTCATCCGTGGAATCTAATAAAGAAACTGAATACTACGAGCGCTGGTAAAGTTTCGTGACGAAATTCGATGAAAAGTCAAATAGCAGCATGGATAGGCTTGCCTGGGCATGAAGGCAAAACACGCCATTACTTTTGTGAGAGTCAAAGTTTACAAAATTTTTGGCATCTGATACCAAATTTGAATGAATAAAGCATTCCTTGCAATATTTGTTTCCAAATGCAAAAAATGTCTGTCTATCGTAAGAGCCTGTCAGTTATCAAAGCGAGCCCCAAGCGAGCACTTTTAGTTTTTCAGAATAAGTTTTGGTAGATAAGTTTGTCAAGTATTTGTCGCTGTTTACATATTCTTTGGTTCTAATTGATCGAAAATGGCGATGTCCCTTTCAAACTTGCCCTTGAAAACGTTGTAAACAGCGCTCTTCTGGGAAAACAACACGAAAATGTTTTCTCCTGGCCAAATCAATTCACCGCGTACCATTCAGCACCAGATTCATCCCCAGATTCATCCCCAGATTCATCCCCAGATTCGAAAACTTGCTTGTACTGCTCGAAATGTATCGAAATGACAATGATTAGCAAGAAAATATGTTATTTCCAGAGTTTCCTTTCTATTTCCACTCGATAAAAAATTTTTCTTGCCAATTTATTCTTGATGTTTTTAGCGGGCCTAGGCATGCGTATTTTCCATCCCCAGATTCATCCCCAGATTCGCGTTTTGTATAATATGGGTCTAATAACAGCACGAGAGGTGTCAAAATGACAATAATTCGAGAGAATATGTAGCAATATGCGGTTTTCCGTCAATTTCTACTAGATAAATGTCACTTTTCTACCACTTTGTTTCCAATGTTGCTTGTTGGCCTAGGCAGTACTTTTCATCCCCAGATTCGCGGCCACAGGGATACCAAACGACCACAGGGATACCATTGCCAATATTTTTCCATCCCCAGACAGGTATATCCCCAGATTCGCGTTTTGTATAATATGGGTCTAAAAACAGCATGAGATGTGTCAAAATGACAATAATTCGAGAGAATGTGTAGCAATATTACGATTGAAAATATATACGATTATAATGTTTGATTTAATTCTTTTTTTAAATATTATTGTATTTTAACCAAAATGTTGATTAGTTTATGTAATTGCGGTAACTAAGCCTTGTTTTATAATCAGTTTTGTATATAATTCCCAGTTTTGTTACGTTTTGTATATAATTATAATAGATACATCAGTACAAACAATTTATAATTATAATAGATACATTAGTACAAGCAGTTTCAATCGAAATATTGCTACACATTCTCTCGAATTATTGTCATTTTGACACATCTCGTGCTGTTTTTAGACCCATATTATACAAAACGCGAATCTGGGGATATACCTGTCTGGGGATGGAAAAATATTGGCAATGGTATCCCTGTGGTCGTTTGGTATCCCTGTGGCCGCGAATCTGGGGATGAAAAGTACTGCCTAGGCCAACAAGCAACATTGGAAACAAAGTGGTAGAAAAGTGACATTTATCTAGTAGAAATTGACGGAAAACCGCATATTGCTACATATTCTCTCGAATTATTGTCATTTTGACACCTCTCATGCTGTTATTAGACCCATATTATACAAAACGCGAATCTGGGGATGAATCTGGGGATGGAAAATACGCATGCCTAGGCCCGCTAAAAACATCAAGAATAAATTGGCAAGAAAAAATTTTTATCGAGTGGAAATAGAAAGGAAACTCTGGAAATAACATATTTTCTTGCTAATCATTGTCATTTCGATACATTTCGAGCAGTACAAGCAAGTTTTCGAATCTGGGGATGAATCTGGGGATGAATCTGGGGATGAATCTGGTGCTGAATGGTACGCGGTAATCAATTCAAATATAAAACATTACCTGCTCTTATTGTTTGTTTCCAACTAGTCTTGATCCAAACAGTGCAGAACTACTCGTTACAATTCAAGTTTGGTTGAGTACCACATCAACGAGATATTTCGTCGATCGATAGATTGTAGCCTAGTTCATCTCTGAGAAATTCACAATGTTCTAAATGAAAACATACCGCGGATTTCAAATATGCGCTATAATTAATCTGAAACGTAAGGCGGACATGATGTCATGTTCGTAACCACGCTTTGCCTCATTGTTAACCCATTTGCAGGTGTATGGCGATTGTATAAGAACAATGCAGACCTTAACATAATTTTGACACCAAACAAAACACCAAAAACAATTCGTAAACGACTACAAAAAACGTAGAGGAGATAACTTTCCGACCCATATTTCGGTTTATGTACCTTGCTTAAGGTTTGGGTAACAAACAAGGATTCCTAACATCCCCTATTCTCATAATTTCCCATCAATCAATCTTTGTCATGAAATCGTGGTTTACTTCAAGTTGAAATCTCTTGAATAAAAAGGAAGCAGCCTTTTGTTTGCAGGCCTAATCGTGGCTAAATATTAGACTAATCCTGATAAAAACACGATTTCTCTTTCAAAACGCTTTGCTTTTCAGACCCAAGGTCAGCGGGACAGGAATTGTTCTTCCCTTGGCATCGCCATTCTCTAATCTTTGTGTGGTTAAGAAATTAAATTATTTTAGCGATACACGTTTTTTACGCAAAAAATTATTGTTAAGCCTGAAACGTTCTTAACACTGTCTAAACGTAAATCGAAGAGTTTTACGTTATTGAGCATGTACAGTGATGAAGAAGATGGAATGCAGTAAACATTTCACTCTTGAAAGGTAACTTCTGTTGAAATTTTTATTATCTAAATTTTCAACATTCTTTGGCTTCAAAGATACAGCCCTGAACTTTCTTAACTTTCTGAATAACCGAGCATAACCTTTTAAAAAACCTAAAAAACACTTATAAAGACCTTAGAACAATTTTGGTTATTCATATCTTGGAACCGAAGACGAGAGAGCATTCGTGGCACCCCATATAAAATAAGCTCTTTTGGCAAAATGGTAGTTTCTGCCCCCTCTCAAGTTTCTAACGAAACACCCCCAAGCACCCCCAGAAGCATCTAATAACACTAGAATTATGAATATACTACTGAGTGAGGGTCGGGGGTGGCGCTAGAAACCAATTCACGATGTGCCGACAATCCCAGGAAAACGGTTGCCAAGCACTGTGCTACGGAAATATCATCAGACAAATTTCTACATACATACATATGCTTCTATAAGGAGGTTAAAATTACTGGCACCTAAGCAAGCTGATGTGACTGAATCAGAAGGAAAAATTAAATAAGCCCCCTCTCAATTTGCAGCCCCCCCCCAAATTTTCACTGATGCCAAAATAAGTAAACCTAGCAAAAAATGCAGGTTTTCATTTTATTCATTGGTCATTCAATACTTCTAATAAAATCCAACTTCGCACCATGTTTCTTCCAGTCTCGAAGGATCCGAAGACAAAGATTTAATGTGATTTGAGCAGGGGCCATGTGACAGCCTTATACCAAAATTACAGCCCGTTTAGAAGGCTGATTTGATGTTTTTTTTATATGGCAAATAGCAAAAAATTAGTTAACCACTATAAATGATTTTAAATTACAAAAGTTTTGTTAAGGCCCCTCTCCCAATTTAGCCCCCTTCTTTTATAACCCTCCTTTAACGTGCTGAAAAACAATAAGCCCCCAGGGGGGCTTAAAAGGGAATTTACGGTAAGTTTATCTGTGTTATTGCAACAAACTTAAACCATTATGTCATGTTGTCAAGCTAAGGTCAACTAATGTCGATGGCCGTTGTTTATGTAAGACCCCAGCTCAAGACCTATAATCCAGGACAACAATTTAACAGAAAGAGGACCAATAACTACATTCTTTTTATAACAATATTATAAATTTTGTCCAGCCTCGGTTTTCTTACGAAATTTCCCTTTAACCCAAATATATTCTTGAATTATTCTTAGTTTTTCGAATCTAAGGTTTCAGGAGAACATCCCTCGTTCTTGAATAGAAAACGCGCTTTTGGAAAAAAGGGGAAGGTCAGTGTAGCGATTCTCTCTTATGTAAATGTCGAAACAAGCAACTGCTGAAAAATGGGCAAGCTATACCTGAGAAATATTCTTACAACATTTATAAAAGTTTGATGATTTTGAGCTAGAATATTCTTAATAATTATTTTTTTGTAAAATCAAACAAAACACAACATTTATCACAATTAAACAAATTTCTACTCTGTATTACATTCCGTCTTGAAATAGTTTGAAAGGGAAAAGTCACGTACAATAATATAGTTAGCAAATAAATTTAGTACCAGAATGAAAATATAATAGTTTGATTGTTGAAAACACGACGTTTTGAGCATGTACTCGTTATCAAGTGGCTAGAAAAGGAACGAGCCGAGCAAAGAGAAGGCGAGATTTGAAATATAGAGAAGAATGCGACTTGCGACGCAAAGTATCCCTAAGGGCCAGGGGCAGATTTAAGCAACAATGATTGGGGGTGTTAGACACTAATTTTGATGCTACACCCTTTAAATCACTGGTAAACGCCCATTTTTAAAATTTGGTTTCAACTTTAAGGTAAAGACGATAAAAAGCAGTGGCATAGCCAGGGTTGGAAGATAGATGGGGCAAAAAGGAGAACATTTTTGCTGACAAGACCCTTGGAAATGCGTTTGGGAAAACTATGGCATTTTTACGTGGCAATTTCCCTTTATACAATGTCATATGTAGCGTTTTGTGGCTGACCATATTCTACAACTGTCTATTTCCTTCACCATTCCACTAACATTTATATCCTGAATTGTGTAATGCAAGGAAGCACTACGTATAAAAAGTGATTTTCCAAAGTTGTTATCAAATATCTAAAAATAGTTAACAGTATTCAAAAGTTTTAAAACAAGTCCGTTCTCTTTGGAGCAATGTCAACGAGAAGCATTTCAGAATCCAGTTTTTTCAAGGATTGGATTGCTTTAGCATTTTAGTTTCTATTTTATTGGGAATGTCTCAAGAACGTGAAAGACTTTTCTTTACAAATCCAAAAACGAGCAAAAAGTGTTGAATATTCTGTAGATATATAAAAGAGGGTCTCCCCTATATAAAATTTTTGCGACGACGCCCTTGAAATTAGCTTAAAATACATTTCAGAATATTCCTCCCCCCCCCCCCCCCCCCCCCGTCAACCGTTACGCTAAAATACGAAAGAAGGTAAATGCTGATAAGAAAAAAATCTTGGTGTTCCTTTGTTAGTACTGACTACCAAGAAATGATTTTTACTGAATGAGACAATGTTTACCGAAAGACACAGAAATATTGGGGGGTGTCGCACCCCCTACAACCCCCCCCCCCCGCTAAATCCGTCCCGGCTTAGGGCCCAAACTACTCCGTTACGCCGCTGGGTACAAAGTATTACCCCCCGCACCCCTTCTTGCGGTGGGCCGCTATCATCGCAATCACCGATGTTATTACACTTTCTGTGTGATAACATGCGTTCTAATCAAAAACAACTTTGACGCATTGATTTTTCTAGAAAAATACTCCTCATCCCTTGCAGTTGTCGATAATATGACAAACGCAGATCAAAAGAACCATAAAAACATTAGTCCATGACATCTTTACAAATTTCCCAAAGAAATTTATTTAATTTATCTAAACTGAAGCTTTTGATACATTAGAGTCAATCTTCGATGATTATATGAACCAATCACAACAAAACAAGGAATCATAACCAGGATGCAACTGCTACTGATTACAATATTAAAATGTGTGTCGACCTAAAGAGACAAATGAATACACCCATAAATTGTATAATGCAATCTTCATGGCCTGTATCTTGACAATGTAAACTATACTTCAAACTTGAAGATCACTATAATATTTTTTCAGGTACGGCCGCAAAATATCTAATAACTCTTTTAAGCAGACGTAACTGTGAAAAAGATTCTCTTCATGAGCAAAGCTGCATTAAAATGTAAGTGTGAGTATAAAGGAACTTGACACCGTTATTGCAAGCATCCTTCATTTTTAGGCCTATTTACAGATTAATAACAATTGCTAAAACAAATTTGTGGAATCACTAATTTTCTTTGAGCATTTATGCATTTTAAGCCCAATTTTATGCCACCATTTTGTTGGACAGGACAGAAATTTTTAAAGATGATTCAAGTGGTTCAAATTATGTATTACGAAAATTGCATATTCTTGCTAGGAAATAGAAGCGAAAAGGCTGCTCGACCGTAAAACTTTACTTAACTTCTCCCACCACTCAAAAAGATTAATTTTCACAACTGGATGCTGCACCGAGATTACTAATCATATACTGCTTTTTACATGCTAATAGTATTGATTCCAGCTGCTCCCGTCGTCCGGATTTAGCTGTCCCAAAACCAACAATATTATATCAACAAACCACCAAACTCCAAGGCCTCCCAGCGTCAAAAGTTTACCAACTGCCGATCCAGTATGCCCTAGGCAGAACCTATCCACGCCGAGGAATCCAAGAAGAATCGAATAGAGTAGAGTCGTTACAAAATAATGTCCTGAGTACCTAAAACAAAAATAAATAGTCATTCATGCTTCGATTTTACATTTCTCCGATTTCAAGCAACCCTACAATCGCAGCCCATTAAATTCTCAATCTCGAACTACTTAGGCTAACAACAAATTCATACTCCAGTTTTAAAACTATCAAATGAAAAATGAATATGAAATATGAACAAGAAATTAGAACTCTACTCTACGTGAACTCTACTATCGCCTACAACCTTATTAGAAAATATCTTTCAATAAATAGAGTAGAAGATTTAAGAAACAGAGCTCAAGGAAGATAGACAAAAGAGAGTTATCCCCCTTACTGTGAAACATGAGACCCTGAATTGTCTTAGTCAAGTCAACGTCATTTATACAGTTTTTCAAATCAATTTTAACTGCTTTCTTAAACATTGCTTTGCTATTATCATGCAAATGATGAGTGGTATACGTAGAGATTTCAAAAACATTCAATGCTCTTTCAAGCTTTATGCAGTCGCTTATGGTTTTTTGCAATGATAACGTTACTACTTATTAGTACACAAATAGGTATTTTGCACACTTATGGTTGAGTAGTTAAAATCGCTTGACGTACTATATTTTTCTATAAGGACTGCCCTTTATAGTGAACTTTAAGTGTTAGTAACATCATTGGTATGCAAAAGTACACCTTTTTGGCGTGTTCTCTTGTGACATCGCTCTGTACTCTCAACTTTATTGCTATATCAACTCAACATAAAAGATATATGTGGCAAAATAGATGAAGCGCAATTCAGCGAAAACAATTTTACACCGACTAATCTTACTGCCGGTCTTCTCGGATATAGAGTTATCAAGTGATGACGTCAAAAACTCTATTTTTAGAATTTAGGAAATTTTTTTCCATAATCTAAAAGAATAGCTATTATGTCGGAAAACAATAGATATTATGTCGTATGCGTTGTGAAATGAAGTAAGGTGGTCATTATGAGCTTGATTCGATCAGAATAAGAATTCAAAACAGTCAGCAAGCCATTATAGGCAGAGTGCCGAACATTTGAAAGACCATCTAATTATATTTCACCGCAGTAGGAAATATGCTAAATCAAAAGGACACACGAGTTCGTATTTATACAGTAATTGAAGCTTTGTGAGGTCTTAAGGATTGCTGAACCTAATAATATGCCATCTGCTCAATCATTGAAGTACATACAACAAAAATTTGCAATTGCATAAAAAATGACTTGCTTGTTAAAAGATCTTATTCTAGGCATACACGTGCCTTCCTCTATAACAAAAACTTGCCCAAAACATGCAGTAATTTCAAAATTTTCAAAAACAATAAAGGTACTGAAAATGAAGAATATTAAAAGTAATACATACTTTAAACACGGGTGCATTCCAGAAAGAAATGTTCTGTTTCCGAAGCACTCTATTTCCCTAAAGGCTGTACACAATACTGGTGTTTGTTGGACTTGCTCGTACCTCGATCCACCAAACTATAAACGAGAAACTTACCGAGTTAGGGCAAATGTGTCAGGTGCAGAAGAGCACAGCCATGTTGAATCTGAACTGCAATACACGACGCAGCAAAACAAAAGTACAGCTCTAACAGAGTTAGAAAACATCATGATAATAAATGCTTTCAATATGAGACGCTACGTGATAGCGATTAAGACGAGTCATTAAAACTAAATTGTCTTGATTAAAATAGATGCGAACATCTTATACATATAAAATAAAAAATTGCATAAGAGAACCTGTCATGATTGTCACACGCTACACCCTTTCAGTATTCCTACTTCCACAGAAACAAATGCAAAACGTTAGCATCTGTATCCCCAATAAATTTCTCTAATTTTTGAAAGAATAAAGTGGAACATGTTTTAACAAAAGTGGCTATAAACCAACAGAAGGAATCACTAATTGTCAATTAAAAAATACTTTGCAATTAATGAAATATTACAAAATAATGCCACAACACAAATGTTTAGAGCCTACCGTTACAATTACAACGTTTGAACTCTTTTGATTTTTACTACATCTTGAAAGTGAGGTTTCATTTTGGATCAACCAGGAAGCATACACTTTCACATTTTGAAATTCTAGCCTAATTATGAAGTCTGTGTCAATTTTGTTCCAATAACTTTCTGCGGGTGCTCCGCTAATGCATTTGTCAAATAAAATGTGGATATGACATAACACGAACATTCATTGGGACTCCGATGTTGTTTCTACCTTCCATCCTACCTGCTCCCCAACTTTGACTTTAATTGGCATTTACAGAAAGGTATATCTAGAATTGCCCTCTGTTCCTTCGTCAGCGCATTCCTCTATACTTTATTAAAAGCGTTAAACTTCCAAGGAGTTATATTTTACAATGATTTCTCCAAACTGGAGAACCAAGATTTCAGCACAATGCAACCAAATTTGTCAATAATAAGCAGTGCAAAAGGAATCCGTGCACAATCAAAAACCCCCTTTATGCACAGGAAAACACTCATATTGGGTACTCAGAAAATTAACTTTCTATAATGACCCCTAATACCATGGAAACCATTGCTTCCAATGCTAGAAGCTTTATTTGTTAAAGATAATGATGATGGGGCAACATCAGCAAAGTATTCTTTACTGTTAGGTAACTAGTAAACACCCTTACCCCTGCCTATTGATTTTTAAAATTTTTCTCAAACCCCCTGATCTAGTTAGGATACCCCTGCGTAAATTTTTTTATTGTTATTGACCTTGAAAGATTGCCCAAAAAAGCTTTTCTAACCTCCTGTGTGTCAATTCCTCTAGGATTGTGTATATTGTTAATCAATGTTCTCTCTTGTTTTTACACGTTCATCCAATAAAGAGTTTCATTTTGGTATGGTTGTAGACTTTGCAAGTCCCTCTAGTCATTTCAGATACTCTTTGCTTGTCATTCTTGTCATGTTTGTCATTGGTAAAATCTGCTCGACTAGAATGCATTTTGATGGGAAGGATTTTTGGCCCAACAAATTGGAAATGCGCTTACTGTGCAGATTTTCTAAATAAATTTCTTATACTTTTACCATTTTTTGCTTAATTCAACAGGGAGAGCCCTCTGATGCCTGAAAAACGCTGAAGGGAAGAGATAAAAAAGAGTCAGCAAAGGGAGATAAGGACAAGTCATGGATGAAAATATTTCTTATTTGAATATTTATGAAGTGTACCAGTTCTGCTCACAAGGAATTTATCAATAATTAAAAATTGATTTTCTTAAATCTCTTTAAACATTCTCAGACGAAATTATGAAGCCCACACCAAAATGATAAATTCACCAAAAGTTACCTTTGTGCAACCATATCCAAGAATATTTCTTCTGGTTTCATTCTTGCCAAGATCAAGAGGTGGATCACATGACATAAATTCTCTGGGCCTTAAAAAACAATCTCTATTTTATATAAAAGCAAGAAAGGAATTGATCTAAATTGATGTTCAGATGTGGCAGATGTGATAATGAAGTCCCAAATTCCATCTACAGCAACTGGTAACACATAATACACAGGGAACTGCATTAACCAATTTTTAAAGCTTAGATCATAAAAGTAAAGGCCACTGATCACTTGGGAACGTTACAGCAAATGACTGGAAGTCGTGTTCCTGGAAGCGTAAAAAATTCCGCACATTTAGAAAAATTGAGAGTTTCAAATTTTTCAAATCTGATGATTTCATCAGAAAGATCTTGGAAACTGAGTAAAAAATACTGAAACATCAATGTTATCTGACCTATAAGCAAAACGTTATGGTAGTTAAAATGTTTTGCTGTTCAAGAACGTACTTCTTTGAAGTTAAGTAAAAGTACAATCGCATAGCTGTGGAATTGTGTATTTTACAATACAAACATGGAGTTTGATACAAGTACACAATTTGATATGCTGAAAAGACAAAATGCATATCAGGCTTTGATAACACCCCTAAAAGCTATTTTTGACTGGGGTACTTGCCCTCAATTGGGTGTCACACTATAACATTTTAACTTTGCAAGTTGTACAACTGAAACATTGTTTCATGGCGTAACTTGGCATGCTGGATAGAATGAGATTCAGCTCCAGCTTTAAAACATCACAAAAAGCTATTTTTGGACATTGTTACTTGTACCCAAGCTACTGTTGAGTATCGCAGTATAACTTTATAGCTATGCAAGTTGTAAAACTGAAACTTTATTTCTGGCATAGTCCGAAGTGATTAGCTAGATAAAGAGCTTGTCCAGCCTGCAAAAAAAATTTTTTAAATAGATTTTTTGATAGGACTTGATGTACTAGATACTTTACAAGACCTTTTTGATTGTTTTTGCCACATGAGCTGTAAACCTCTTGCCTTGTTTTGTTAGGCGAGCTCTAATGAATAATACTTATAATGTATGAAGGTTCAGAATAACAATATGGCAGCCTCAACAATTCATGCAGCTTGAATTCTAAACTTTTGATGACCTTCGCTCTCTTCATATTTTGGAGAAAGAAACAGAACAGAATAAAATAGACACATACAGAGGGGGTAGCAGATAGCACATTGCATGTCTGAAGCATGTCAGAAGCATGTCAGAAGCATGCCTGTAAGCACAATAAATTAATTCCTGCTAGGCAGTGATCAATTTATGATTTACTGCTAATGATTCCTGAACTTATAAGGTGTTTATGGGTTTTTTATATTACCAGCAGATGACATACAAAAGGTATCCAAAACTATTTTGTGTTTTTGCAAGTACCAATATTCAATAATCAAAAAAGATGAATAACCACAACAGAGCCAAGGTAGACACTGTCATTTTTTCTCTTAAATTGCTAGAAAAGAATGTATGCAAATGAAAAAATTTCATAAAGCACATTTTGGATGCAGTGTACCTCAGTTAAGTTTCTCGATGCCTGTTTCAATGGATATTAAACTTGATGGATACTCGATCAAACTGAGATATATAGAGGGTCCAGTGATACAATTGATAAGATGAGGGCGTTTTTGGGATATTTTACACAAATCACCCGAGTTGTCTTTGACTGTACATTGTATCTAGGATGTCTATTTGGATACATGGCTCGATAGCTTGCCCAAAGTTCTTTCCATGTGTCCATCAGCCTAAAATTGTTTAATTTTCATTGCTGAATTATAAAATATTGCGGTTGACCATTCATTGTTATTTAGACAAATTAACTTGGATATTGTATATTTAGTATAAGTATGTTAACCGGTATATTGTAATTAATCAATTTTATGTTGAAAAAATATTTTGAGGTTGTCTGTCAATTGTCAGCCATTTTGGTACCTTGTGTAACCTATTTAAATGTTACTTAAAGGAAGTGTAAGAGAACAGCGAAACTGACTATAATTCAACTGATGCTAAATTCTATAATCCGATGTTGTAGGGTGAAAAAAGAAGCAAATTACTTACAAGTGAGAACATAACACAAGTGGACTGTGTGGTTCATAGGCCCTGCCACAGGTTTCATTAAAGCAACTCTGGCAGTTTGATCCTTGCTCACATGTTCCTTCAGTCTTATCAAGAAACATTAACGAGTAGGCGATTATTGAATAAAGTACACTACATTCACGTGGCAGCATTCTGGTGGAGTGCTATCCTAGTATAACAGCGAATTTCCTTTTCGCCGCCATTCCAAACATTGAAGTTGCCGATTGCTCCTTCTCAGCTACTCTATTTTGATCCGTGATTTTGATCGTATTCAGCCCCCAATATTTTCAATCAGTGGCAAAATTCGGGCAAACCCTCAGGATAAAAAAGTCCCGGCATCGGAAAAGTTTTTTATTTCTCAATATACAACTTAAGGGCACACAGGGCCAACACCAGCAGTGAATTTTAGGGGGCGGACATCATATTTCCGACAACATACCTACTTCGATGGTAGAATAGTACGTGTGCGTATCTATTTGTCAGTACCCATTTGCTAGGTAAAGGTCTGGTGGGTGGCCCACTGTGCAACCAAATTTGCTATATTTTAATGCCAGTTTACATGATGCGTTTTTCCTTACGTCTGACTCATGAGTCAAAGTTGCATGAGTTTTGACTCACGAGTCAAAACGTTTAGACGATGCATTTTTGACTCACGAGTCATTTTCATACCAAAACAAACCCCACCCAAATTATAGTACTAGAGCATGCCCCACAAGGAAAAAGGCTGTAGTTTGCCTCCAAGTTAGAGGTTAGAGAATAGAATATAAATTTATAGAGGAACAAGGTTTTGCATTTGTTTTGCATGTGACTCATTCTTCTCAGTTGGTTGGTTAATAGCATTCATCCTTCATGCGTTGTCCCAAGAAAATAGAGCATGTTCTATTTCCATTAGTCAACGCAAGGGCAATTAAATTTAGACGCAAGTCCCGTTTACACGATGCAATTCTGACTTATGAGTTTGACTCATGAGTCAGACGCAAGGAAAAAACGCATCGTATAAACTGGCCTCTAGATGCAAATAGTTTCCTCGTGGTGTAGTTCCCTTCTTGCTGAAGTGAAACCATTTTTCAGTAAAGTCTTCTTCTCTTTTTCATGGCTGCAAGCCTGTCTAGTACTTCGTCATGATCGGTTTCAGTGTTTCTGCTAAGAAACAGGGTCATCAGATTTGACAAACGATCATTTTCCATGGATGATCGAAGGTACAACTTCATTCTGCTAAACGAGCGCTCTGAATGTCCCTCAGAGCACCGTCTTCTACGTTTGTAACAATGAATGTTTTATAGTAAGGCTGGAAGTCTTGAAATTCGTGGATAGTGTCTGCGATACTGACATCCCTCTAGTAAAATTTAGAATTCCCTCCTATATGAGACCTTGCATCTCCATCGTGGATCCTTTTAGGGGGTAGATGTTCAAATTTTACCAAACTTCCGTCGAAATGTTGAAGCCTTCGGTCCATTTCTGTGCAGATTCCATCCAGAATCGAAGAAGGCAGCCCTTTGCTTGTCATTTATGTTCAGATCAGTCTTCAGTTTTACAGGTTGACATGGGCCTATATTTAAAATCTCTGCAGCACTTTCTTGCAGGGGCGTCGTGACAAGGGGGGTGGGGGCGTGTCACGCCCACCCAATGGTATCTCAATAGGAAATTTCAGGTAAAATCCGCTCGGTGGAAGGAATGCTTTAGGTAATTCAGAGGAGACCTTCATGTCATAAAGTCAAGAAAGGACCAAGCAAAGGTAGTTGCTCCGTTGCTTAAATATGATAATCCTTGATATAAATTAAGGTAAACAAACTAATGATTTGAAGATTTGAAGATTTCTTGTTGGCACTAAATCTAAAAATCCAGGCCCTCTTTAGGTAAAATTGTGTCTTGTGTTCCTTTCCCCTAAAGTTTCTCGGTAGAAGCGTCAACTGCAATTCACTGTGAGCTCCAGATTTAGCATGCTAAGATGGAAAGAGGGATCTAAATTGACAACCAGTGCTTCTTGTTACCTAGCTTTAGTTAGAAGTAACTGACAACATGGTATTTTTTAAGACCGCGGCGAATTTGACATGCTAAGATGGAAAAAAGGGATCCAAATTGACAACCAGTGCTTCTCGTTACCTAGCTTTAGTTAGAAGTAACTGACAACATGGTTTTTTTTCAAGACTGCGGCTAAATTGTGCCAGTTATTTGTATCTGCTGTTTAATTTGTTTGCAAAAAATATAATTTTCAATAGAATTAGGAGGATTGCTTTATTGAAATGTACTTAAAAGAGTGCATTTTCTAGGGAACTAAAAGCATCAAAATTGGAAAATTCCTGCTTAACTAAAAGCATCAAAATTCGAAAAGGTAGTAGCTTTATTCTTTACCCGTTCCGATATAGAGATTCAACAAAACTATTAGGAAAGTCGGCTATTACAGTATAAAAATGAATAGTTGCTAATTATATACAGAGTTAGATTGACAAAATGTATTGCAGAGGTTTGTGACAGTAAATAAAGAATTTGAGGCAAAAAAATTTAATCAGGCAAATTTGTAGTCCACACTCCCTCCCCCCCAACAAGTGTAGTAGGATCATATGCTATTAATTAACATACGTAAATATTACGCTAACCTCGCTTTCGTTTTTATATAAACTTAGTCTTTTGTTTAGTAATTCAGTCAGTGATTAACCTCAACACGAGTCGCTCGCTTTTTGTCTTCACTCTCAATTCGTTGACAACTCGAAGTGACAAGGGTTTTAGAGAAAGTCTAACCCCTGTTACAACTGGTGGAGTACCCTCAAAAGATTTCTTGCCTCGCGACGGCCCTGCTTTCTCGTGTCACGGGTGCTTCGGTGGCAGAGACATCTTCAGCATATAGCAAAATTCTGGATAAACATTTTATTTATCGTTTTCGTCACTTGCTTCATGCTTCCCACTGTAAAAGATTCTATGATGGACCGGGGAAATGTCGGAGTTTATCGCAAAAGGAATCCTAAATTGTTTCCCGACAAAGAACCACTAAATTTTTCCGCAAGTATTGACTTTCAACTTTGGCTATTTTCAGCCAATGCAACATTGCAATCGATAAAATAGTAGTATATAAGGAACACCGCAACGCGACGAGAATATACAAAAACAAACACACAAATCAGCGATGGCTAATATTTCGCCTCGGCACACGCGACGTAGACCTTGCGTTTGCACCGGGTACCAGTACCACATTCATCCCTACATTTATCCCCACATTCATCCCCACATTCATCCCCACATTCATCCCCACATTCATCCCCACATTCATCCCTACATTCATCCCTACATTTATCCCCACATTCATCCCCACATTCATCCCCACATTCATCTCTACATTCATCCCCACATTCATCCCTACATTCATCCCCACATTCATCCCTACATTCATCCCCACATTCATCCCTACATTCATCCCCACATTTCATCCCTACATTCATCCCTACATTCATCCCCACATTCATCCCTACATTTATCCCTATATTTATCCCCACATTCATCCCCACATTCATCCCCACATTCATCCCTACATTCATCCCTACATTCATCCCCACATTCATCCCCACATTCATCCCCACATTCATCTCTACATTCATCCCCACATTCATCCCTACATTCATCCCCACATTCATCCCTACATTCATCCCCACATTCATCCCTACATTCATCCCCACATTCATCCCTACATTCATCCCCACATTTATCCCTACATTTATCCCCATATTCATCCCCACATTCATCCCCACATTCATCCCTACATTTATCCCCATATTTATCCCCACATTCATCCCCACATTCATCCCCACATTCATCTCTACATTCATCCCTACATTTATCCCTACATTCATCCCTACATTTATCCCCATATTTATCCCCACATTCATCCCCACATTCATCCCCACATTCATCTCTACATTCATCCCTACATTCATCCCCACATTCATCCCCACATTCATCCCTACATTCATCCCTACATTCATCCCTACATTCATCCCTACATTCATCCCCACATTCATCCCTACATTTATCCCTATATTTATCCCCACATTCATCCCCACATTCATCCCCACATTCATCTCTACATTCATCCCTACATTCATCCCCACATTCATCCCCACATTCATCCCTACATTCATCTCTACATTCATCCCTACATTTATCCCCACATTCATCCTCACATTCATCCCCACATTCATCCCCACATTAATCCCCACATTCATTCCCATATTCATCCCTACATTTATCCCCACATTAATCCCCACATTCATCCCTACATTCATCCCTACATTCATCCCCACATTCATCCCCACATTCATCCCTACATTCATCCCCACATTCATCCCCACATTCATCCCCACATTCATCCCCACATTCATCTCCACATTCATCCCCACATTTATCCCCATATTCATCCCCATCCATCCCTACATTCATCCCCACATTCGAAAACGTGCTTGTACTGTTCGAAATGATTAGTACGAAAATATGCTGTTTCCGGAGTTTCCTTTCAATTTCCATTCGATAAAAGCTTTTCTTGCCTATTTTTTCTTGATCTTTCTAGCGGGCCTAGGCATGCGTATTTTCCATCTCCACATTCATCCCCAGATTCGCGTTTTGCATAATATGGGTCTAAAAACAGCCTTAGATGTGTCAAAATGAAAATAATTCGAGATAATGTGTAGTAATATGCGGTTCTCCGTCGATTTCTACTAGATAAATATCACTTTTGGCCCAGGCAATACATTTCATCCCCACATTCGCGATCAAAGGGATACCAAACGACCACAGTGATAAAATTGTCAAACTTCTGGAAGAGAACAATTTCAAAAAGTGGAAAAGGTCCTCTTGGTTCAAGAAAAAATTTCTTATCATTATTAAAAATATGATAAAGCCTTCTATTCTTTTGGACAAATACATTGTGGCAGTACCGTCGAAATGGAGAGCCATTTCTAATTGAACTCGGTATTCATTATTGACTCTTCTTTTTTAATTGGACATTTTACAGTTCAAATTTTCTTAGAACCTCTTATTAAGTTTCTTAAATTTTTTGCCAACCTTAGTTTCTCAAATATTGGTTTCTCATAATAAAGAAAGGTGTTATATAGATATACAAGATAAGAATCATCCTAAGTGCTTATTATATTAGCTCTGGAAGCCGGTGGTCTGGTATGACTCTTCAAAACAGGGGCGCCGGAAGCATTTTGAGGCGGCGGGGGCAAGACTCAAAAAGGGCTCATTTTCAATGACTAATATTAGAAGTATAAGAAACAAATGATATAACATAATATTTTGGAACCGATAAAACGTTTTAACTAAAAGGTTTCAAATTCCCCAAATCTAAAATGTTTTTTCATGAGACTATGTTTAAACTTTAACTTGTTTGAAGGTATGGTTAGGTGCCACTATTTAGGGGTACCTTTTTTCTAAAAGTGTGGAATTGTCGGTATTAGTTTTTGCACTATGTGCGGAACTATAGGAACAATTTTGGGGAAAATATTGCAAAATTATTAGGAGGGTGATTTAGAATTAACAAATTGAATGTCCCGAAATGAAAGTATGAAAAATGTGTAATATTGAGGTGTTTTGGCAAAGAGCATGCAAAATTTGTTTGATGATTTTTATTGTGTTTTTAAGATTATTTGAAAGCCTTATTTGCTTTGCGAAAATTATGGGTAAAGTTTTCATCATGCTTGCGGAATTATGGGTCACACTTTGCAGACATGTGTGAAATAATTTGAAATATGGAAAATTGTGGGCAGATTTACTTCGTGTCGAGTCCGCGAAGAGAATTACAAGAAATGACGACATTTGGCGAGCGGCTAATCATCTTCTTTCAGTTATCATCTGCGCAGTCTTTCCAGGCTAAACTTTACTTTTCAGCTGAATCTGCAGTACACAACCTCGGTTCTCCGTGGATCCAAATTTATCGATGAGGCACAGCACAGTCTTTTTCAAGTACTGTCTGTCCTAAACGTACAACGACGAGGCCCAGCGCAGTCTTTTACAAGCACTGCCTGTCCTGAATAAACCTAAATTACAATATAATATCGACGAGCTACAAGAGCCTAAATTTGTACCAGTGCATCTTCACATATCTCTGTGTATCTGCTCGTACCTCTATGTATCTCTCTAAATCTAACTAGCCAACTTACACTAATTCGACATATAACGATGACTATACTTTGATTGCTTTTATGATCTTCTTGTTACTTTCAGTAACATATTTAACATGTTGCATGTAGCTTCAAAACTTTATATTATATTTCTTTATGTTAAGCTCTTTTTTTAAACTGTTTTCGTTAAATTTGAATTTTTGCATCTTTTCTGCGTTCTGCCTAAATTAAATACTAGATTTGTTCTTTTTCAATTGTATCCCTGTGTCAAGTAGAAATTCACAGGAAAACTCCAGAACTTCCAAGAACTCCAGAACAGGGATCACAGGCAAACTCCAGAACTTCCAAGTTTAATTTATGATCTTAGATTACAGGTCGAACTTTGCCCAGAGATTATGCAAAAGTTGACGAAATCACCATCAAATGATCTATCGCGATGTATCAAGCAAATCTCTTACAGCAGCAGCATGATTCTCAAAATGGTTTTCAATGAAGAAGAAGAGTAGGTTTACTGGCACAACTTTGTCGATCAGCAAATTACCTGTTGCATTTGGAGACATTTTCACAAAGCAGAGCCTCCTCTTTCTCTTTTGCCTCATGGATGGGCGTTCAGTTAAGCAGGGCTGCTAGAACAAGTTCTGTCGACATTGCAAGCAATTTACGATGAGGTGATAGCTCTACGAGTTAATCGTTCCGACGGACAAAATGTTGGTAACATCGCATGTCGTTTCTCTATAGTTAATCCAAATCAATGCCTGAGGCTCTTGCAGACAGTGACTCACAACCAAATGTTGCAACTAATATTTTTGATGACTAAATATGGATTGACTAAGTGACAGGATGTGAAACAACATGTTTCTTCACATCACGGACTCATCAGATACAGTTAAAAACATTTGCGATAGTGTTACTTAGAACAATGACTTGAGCACATAAAATATATGGATCTCAATTATATCAGAGCAGTATGATCAATGTATTTTTTGAGGTACCTGTCTCAAATTATTGTCGCAAAGAAGATTTTACAGGTGTCAATTTTACGACGTCATTTCCGGCCAATGCCTATCGAAATTAAAAATGTACTCATTTTGTAGAGCGTACTTTCAAATATCAAAAGCAACTTTCAAAACAAGGTCTACTAAAAGTTGTCACAGTACCACGGATTTCGACCCAACTAATATTGATTCAGTCAATGTGGTGTTTTCCAGGAGCCCAGAACAAAGCAAGAAACAAAATGGATTTTTTAATCGTTTCGACAAAATTCCATTTACAAACACGCAGAAACTCACTTCTAACTTTCTCGTTTTGTTTACATTTTTCATGCAAACGATGTTGCCTCTTTGAAAGAAAGCTTGAATTGATGGTTAACAGAAGGTGTTTTTTCTTTGATCATCTCAACATTAATAATATACGGAGCAATATTTGATAATTTAAAGATTGATAACTCCGGGTCCTCTCGATAACCACACTTCCCAGATGGAAATTCTAGGCTATTGAACATTATACTGTGAAGATAAAAAATCCCATTTTGGTGGTTTGCTTGTTAATGGAAAATTTACATCAAAAGAATAAACACTTTAGAAGAAAGGCAAATAGAAAATATTTGCTTGGAGATGAACATAAAGCAACAAAGATGGCTTATTATTGCTACTTATAACCCACCAAAACTCAAACAATGAATGTTTTTGAAACTCACTTATCCAAAGCAATTCATCGCACCTAAATCTCGCACCACACAACCACATTTGAAACAATTTTTAGAACTTAAGGCCTTTCAAGTCTAATAAAGTAATGCACCTGATTGATTTTAATTGTAATCCATCATCAATTGATGCTATCGCCACTAACCACAAATATCGATAAAAAGATCTTAAAGTAATTGAGACCAGCATATGTGGTTGCTAAAAACTGATTCTAACAGTCTAGAGACTACGTTTTCTAAAACGCATGCTAAATAGTATACGTTATAAAATTTAAAGACTTCCAGCACCGATTATTTTCTGCAGAATCTGCAGCAAACACCCTTCCAGCTTTATGCAGCAAACCCCCTTCCATCTCAAATAGTGGTGTAAAATCTTCTAGGGCTTTTGAGAAAATCTTCTGCTTTGTCGTACACATACATATATCTCTGGAAAAAATTAGTCAGGGCAAACAACAAACCTCTAATACTTAAATAAGGGCTCCTTATGTAATTTTGCATGCTCGTCTGTAGTAAAGAAAAGCAAATAACTGGTAATTCATTCATACTTCGTAACTTCAATTACTGCCCTAATTCTTACTTACTTACTTACTTTTTTACTCGAAACTCTGCAGTTATAATCCTGGAGCCCACAATTAAACCTTTCACCCCATGTTCACAGAAAGGTTAACCCCATTTCATTGTTTGAGCATGTGGCGTCTTGCTGCCACAGCCTCTCTCAGAGAACATTAATGTCTAAAAATCTCAAAAGTTTAATGTCTAAATATGTACCACCATGTAACAGAAACACCTACCAAAAATTAACAAAACCTACCAAAAAGTTTGGAGGTAACACGAAGTCAGACCCTTGATAAACCTTACTCACAGATGAGATTCTAGAGGTGTTACTGAACAGATACTTAGTGTATATCCTAATGACATGAACTGGATTTCTTTCCTCTGACTTAGCTAAAAATTTGTAACCCTTTTCACTGAGAACATTCAAGCTTAAGGGAATATTTTTTAAAACTAATTTATGTAAGAGCCATTCTTTTTCTTAAACTTATGACGATAGGATTATTAAAGAGCATTCACTAAATTTGATTTTAACAATGATCCCTTATGGTTCTTGATATAAATAAACAAAATAAGACAACTGTAAAACTATAAATGCAACATATTGCTTACTTAACAACACTGTGTTCAATGATTTTCATGAAGAAATAGAAGGTTGTGTCAAATTCAAAATAATACCCTGCAATGAGTACAAACTAGCAAAGACTTAAATTTCATATCTAGCATTCGAAAAATAGACAAAACTAGATGCTACGGTAAAACTCGTGGTACTTCAAAAGCCATTGATTTACCAAAACAGTTAACTGTAAAATCATATCAGCAAATTCTTAGTCTTTTTGTGGTTCATCTTACTGAGTAAAAAAGCAGCCCTATTTCCAAGATTCTATGTCCCAGAATACTAGCTTTCAGACCACACTCTCTCAGAGTTTTTCGAAACTCACATCATATACGTTTGACCAACTGACTGAGCCCACCGGGCTGGGAACTCCTTTCAAGTAACCCCGTCAACAAAACCTTGAAGCAAACCAGAAGGGCAGCCAGAATAGTCTATAAGCTACCAAAATTATTGCAAGATCATGAAATGCTAGAAACAGTGAACGGGAAATCTGTTGAATACACGTACAAGCGAAGAGTTGCATTGATAGCACACAAACTGTATTACGAGAAAGAAATGTATGTATGTATGTATGTGTGTATGTATGTGTGTATGTATGTGTGTATGTATGTATGTATGCATGTAACTACTGGGGAAAATTCCCCAGTAGGTCCAATGCCTTTCCCAGTAATGAGAGCCACAATCACAGAATTTCCCAAGTCGTTTGGGCCCTGGCGATTTCCACTGACCTCTTTTATTTTTTTACAATCGACTTTCAAATGACATTTTCTGTATTTCTCGAATTTGTACTTGTAAATCTGCAAGCTAGCAAAGATTTAACCTACCTAAGTAAAAGTGGTCCCTATTCTGTTTAATGATTAAATGATGTCTTTTTCATTACTCAGAAAAGTCTAGAGCGTTGAGAATGTAGAAAAGGGTAGAAAAAAGGTTCTCAATATATGCCTTTTGTCTTTTCAGGGACATTTTATCAAAAAGGGAGTCCCTCACAAGAATTATTAATCCCACTCTAAGTAGCTGCTCTTGCTTGTTTGTTAAATTCATATCTTGTCATAATCTTAATGTTTGTGCGCCTTTCTGTAACTGGGAGTACATGTTTTATATCCGATTGCCTAGTCCCCCTGTCGGAAGGTCAAGGCCCTCCGTCGGAGAATTTCTAGGGCCATCACTGCCTCCGCGACTGCCTCCGCTCAACAAGAATTGCCAGAAATTCGGGAACTTGTTTATGGGTAGATACTTGGTGTTGGCAATTAGGGTAAAAATTGGACTTGTGCATTATAACGAAGGAATTGACCAGAATAGTGAGAGATTCTGAAAATGACGAATTTGGTGTTTCAAGACACCAAATTCAAGCTCGATTCAGTCTTTTTTATAGATCAGTGCTATAACCACACAAATCTTGAACTTCCTGCCAGGACTTCAAGTGATAATGCGCATGTGTAATGACCCTGAAATGGGGACTTGTGCATGTCTGGAAGACGGGCATGATTCATCTCCCGAACAAGTAGAGAGAAGACAGGTTGCTGCACACTTTCTAAGCTCCGTTGGGGTTTTTGGCGATCGTCAACCATAGAATAACACACCAGAATGCGTCACTCTCCCCAGGCTTTTTTCAAAAAACCTCCTCTGATTCAAACCCCTTAAAAATGAACTTGTGCCCCTTAATTGGAAAAAAAATTTGCATGTCAAATCGGTTCAAACTTTGTAGATTTGCTAAAATTAATGTTCATTTTTAGACCTTTCTTGTTCTTCAGATTGGTAATTTGCACAGATTGGAAAAAATTGTGAAAAGTGCCTTTTTTGAAAAAAAAATTGCGTGTACTCTTTTCACATCCAAATATATTGCCTTTAGACGCCAAGTAAAACAACTTAAATCAAGACGTTGCTCCTGCGGTTAGACTTTCTCTTTTACGAGAAAAAATTTCCTAAGTTTGTTGCCAGTTGTCTCTCAGCCTGTCACACACTGTATTCTCTCTAATGAGTGTGGGGGCGCTCATTCTATTTTTTGGCTTCAGAACGCTCATTGGAGAAGGGCGCTCACTGGAGAGCGGCGCTCATTGGGGAGAGGACTCATTGAAAATAGACGAAAGTCAACCACTAAAAAACTGAGCTTTGAATATCAAACGATCATTGTTTATATAAAAATCCATTTTGCATTTGCATGACACTTGTTAAAGGCAAAAAATTTGCAAGATGTCAATTTCTTCCGAGTCAGAAGCCTCGTCGATTTGCATAAATACTGACATTGCATCTTGAATATCTTAATTTTCCATAACATCGAATGAACTTTTATCTGGTTCTGTCAGTATTTGAAGAAAATCTTCTCCGTTTGAAACAGCATCGGTTTTCTTAAATATATTTAGTTGATGACTGACTACTGTGACGATTTGCTTTTGTCCATCTGTTTCATAATATTTTGGGAGGGCACTCATTGGAGAGGGGCGGTCATTCGAATTCTTGCTCAAAAATGGAGCGCTCATTAGAGAAAGGGCGCCCATTGGGAAGACCAGTATACTACTACGCAGTGTATGTAATCGCGGAAATTCAATTTGGTCTAAAGATAACAATTTAACTGTTTACTTTTTGTCTTGGTAAATTTTAGAAAGAAAGAGACTGAAAACTTTGAAATAGATAGACTGAAAATTTCCTTTGAAGTAGATAGAGCCTGAAAGTTTGATAACTTCTATTATTTTTTAACAGTATATTTTAGGTTTGACTAGTTTTTATTACTTTTATATGAATGATTGCATTAATGTGGATTTATTTTTTCTTGGTATGTTGTAAGTAATCTGAATATTCATAAAAAATAATACACCTGCCACAAATATAGGGTAAGGATGTGAGCCTGCCGCTTTACCAGGGCCACTTCCACGAAAATTAAAAACAGAAACAAGTAAATCGAATTAGAAAACAATATGAATCATACATTGACGAAAGATTTTCACAAGCGAAGAACTTCAGCGTCCACGAGGAATTATACAAATAAGTATGCCAAAGAGAGCGTAACCCCTGAATGGAGCACATAGCCATTTACGATGTGTTACTTTTTTCCTAAATTGTTTGAATTATAATGAAAGCTGTCCACTTTTGGCAACAACCGATGTTGTTAAAAAAAGGTTGGTTTCTTTATATTACCTCCCCCCCCCACCCTCCTCAAACCTGCGTCCGGCGGCCCTGTGAAAAGGTGCTAAAATTAACGTACGTTATATATCGTTACATCTTCCTTGGTTTTTCTAGTTTTGTGAGAATATCTGGAACGCCCCTCATTTTAGCTCCACACTAAAGCCTTATAAAAGCGATTGTGAGTTTCCCGTTAACTTACTTCTTGAAGACTTTCGTTCACATCTTTTGAAAAAAAACTGCGATTAGTTTCTGGGAATGTGACTGCACCAGTTTGATGCACCAGCAGAACAATATTAGCTGCCTTGGTCGTCTTTTTCTATGCCCGTTGTCTCCCATCCTTTCGAACAAAAACTGACGAAAACCAATACTTTGGAGCTTGAAATAATTGTGTTAACGAAAAGATATACAGGAAATAATAACAGCATTCGATTCAGCACTGCCAACTCTATAATTAAATGTATAATTCAATTTATGGATCTTATGAAATTTTTTATTTTTAATGTCAGTTGCACTTTAAATGAAACTTTTTGTGGTTGGCCACAATTGACTTGCTTCAAAATTCATCTCAGGTTTTATATTCTAGATCATAAAGGATAAGAAAGCTCAATATGTACAGAGTCGTCATTAATTATCTAAAGAATAAAAGATCGTTATCTAAAGTTTCAACATTGGTCCATTCTCCTTGGAAATCTGTGAAATCCTTGAAAAGCATTTCGCTATCTATATATCTTTGAATCCAAAATTGAATTGTAGGTAGAAAGAAAGAGCGTTTTTCATCATCATTTGATAAAGGACTTGCTCGAAACATTGCTAATATTATTTGCTCTTTCCTCCGACGCACAATTTTAATTTAAATTTTAATTTAAATTTAAGTTCAAAGTTATATTGTTACCTGATTTCTGGCTTCTCGGCTGTTCGAAAATGTCACAAGCAGTAGTAAGAAACATGAAAGGTTTTTTATAGGCAGCCCGAGCATTCAACAAATGTCATTATAAATTTCAGCCAATATGGTTCTTAGTTTGAAGGTTCTCCTTACGGGAGATTGAGCAAGTTGAAATTAAACAAGAGTCATGTATGCCATAACATTGGCATTTACCAAAAGATATTGAAACAAAAAAATCATTAAATTCCCAGAATCATTCATATTGTCTGTACTTTGGGTAAAGGATGTAGCCTTATCCGACATTTGATGCCGCTCCTTCAAACGAGCAGGAAGCCTTAAAATATGAATTGTTAGATAAAAACGGGTTCCAGTTCCGGTTTTCCTTGGAGGTTTTTGTTTAGAAGGTAAATTTCAAACTCAAGGTTCTTTAAAAAATCTAGGTCCATGAAAAATTGAAGACAGAGGCTGAAACAGAAAAGCAGTGCCTTAAAACAACTCGAGTGATCTTGAAACTTACCAAGTTAATCACTATGATATGCGGTATGCCTTACTGCAAACAAAGGCCTTTACTTTTGACAATACGTAGTTTCTTTATGCAGCTACATTGCTACGCTGTTATTAACTTTATATCAACTTAGAAACGAGAGCTTCTATGGTCTTCAGTCAGAGACTTTCCTCTTTTGCTATCTAAGTGCATCTATTAGAGATTTGCTGATCGAAAATTTGAATATGAACTAACCTAAGGGCCCCGTCTCGTTCACCACAGTAATTTATGAAAAGACGGGCAGTCTTCATGAAATCGGTTAATGGTAGTTTTAATTTTTCTAACAAATGGTTTGCTCTTTCTGGAACGGCCTAATTTCTGAATGAAAACATTTGTTAATGATTTATCAAGAAACGGTATATTGTTATGGGTTGTTGAGCAATAAAACATTTCTGGCTATAAGTTTGGGGGCCGGTTAAAAATAACACGTAGCATGGTTCAATAACAAAGTAGGGTAGCAAGTTTGTATTAGCGAGGCGTTGACTCAGTTTAAGAATAAAATTAGTAAAAAAACTAGTAGAAAAACTGAGTGAAACAAATCACTTATTTCACAAATAAATAGATGCACCTCATCTTATGGATAAACAAAAAAATAGTTTCGTTTTGTTAGTTACACAACTGCTAACCAGATAGAATTGTCACAAAAAACGTGACAACCAACCCCGGCAAAGATAAAACTGATCATGCTCTTTTTCTGCAGACGATTCTAGATCTTTTGCAGCGAGCTTGCTTCAATTGTATTACCTGACCAAAATGCCATCATTCAAACAGAACAAGGTATTCGTCATAAAATGAAAGTGCCGAACTTTCATTTTCATCTCGGTGAAACAAACTCAAAAAGCAAACTTGCTTGCAAAAGGGCAGTGGCAAATCCAGCAAACGATACTTATTCAAACACTTGTTTCGTTTCGCGAAGGGATAGGCTTTTCCTGCTGTGGCATCAATGGGACATATACAAGACACTTTTCCACTGGCAAGTCTTCAAATCTAGTCTTACTCTTGACCCTGCGCCTACGATTAGAAGACCTGGTTCTCTTTGTTTTTTCAGTTTTTATACTTGAAGCCTGAATATCACTTTCAATTTTTGTTTCAGTCTCGCTTTGAAGCTTTGATACCGTTTGTTCCTCTTCTGTACGGCTTCCGTTGCTAAGTGGTTTGTTAGAGCTGGCTGCTCCGATCACTTCAGACCTTTGAGGGATAGTAAAAGCGCCAATAGTTGGTAGCGGGTCTCCTTGACCGGTCGCCTGTAAAACATTCGTCTGTGCAGAGGATACAGACGTGAGCACAGAGTTGAGAGAATTTGGTCCAGGAGACTGTAAAGCTTTGAAGCCTGGATCTACATAGGGATAGAAAACTGCCGAGCTTCCGCCATGCCGCACTGGTTTCCAGTTTGGAGCAACAATGCCTCGAAGGGGAAGAATAGCTGGATTATTTGACCTGGAAGCAGGATCTACATTTGAGCTTTGTTCAGATGGAAAGTTTTCGCGCGGTGTCTCCTGCTGTTTGGCAACAGGTCTTGCATCCGAGTGCAGATTACTGGTATCAGAGAACGTTCTTTCAGACACAGTAGTAATGGTGAAGTCCGGGGTATAAGCATTATGCATTGTGCTGTTTACTGGTCTTTCATTGAATTGGGTGACAGTTTCTGGCAATGTTGAAGGTGGATAAGCTGCAAAACCCGTTAAAGGAAGCGGTGGAGCAGAAGGGACTGCAGGGTTTTGTGCGGACTCAGACCCTGACGCGCGCTGCACAGGCTTTGTGTTTTCATAACTTGGCAACGTTAGTTTTCCAATGCCGTGTCGGTTGTGCAACTTTGGGTCACCTGCACTTGGACCAAAAATAGAAGAAGGCCTTGAAGATGGAACATCATGAGTGAAGTGAGACTGTGCTAAAGACAATGCTGAAATGACATCAGAATGGTCGTTATTGCGTTCGGATATCATGGCAGAAACTCCTGATTCATTCCTAACCTGTGAAGATTTAATGGCATCATTGGCTGACTCCAACAAAATCTCGTTTTCAGCTGCAATTGGAACATCTTTCAGTGCCCGCTTGCCGTGAAATAAGGACTTCCAACAAACATGAACGTCTTCCCGGCGTACACAGTGAAAGATGAACATTGAAAGGCCTAAAATCATGTTTGATATGGCAAAACCGTAGCTGAAAAGGTGGTACAGATATCGTGAAGAGCCATCCCTGTTGACAAAAATCATGACAACAAAACCACAGTCAATGCACAAAATTAACATGACAAGGAGGCTGCCTTTAACAAAGTCAAGCAATTCACCTCGATCAGGGAAATGGAAGTCCGACTTTCGCATGTTACTTGCCCTTGAATTACGATCCGACAACAAATTATTATCTGGTTCATCTCTTGATAAATGTTCTGGGTACTTGCGATTTACAAGGGCATGTAGACGCAGGAAGATGATAATGTTGATGATTAGCACAAGGCCTCCAGGTATAATGAAAGCGCCGATCGATGCCTGGGAGGTCAGCCAACAGCTGCGGAAAAAAGAATTAGAAATCCTTCAAAGCGTCAGTGTTAATAAAAAGTTGAATCGATAAAAACTGAGATTTAATTAGAATGCTCGACATTTGTATCTAGAGCCAATTTCTTTAACACAGAGATTTGAAAAATCATTAACATAGTCAATTTATTTTATATCTATTCCTTTTATATCTATTCCTTTTATATCTAGCATCAGGAATGAACAAATCACTTGCAGCAAAATCAAACCAGTCTCAGATGTTGCTAAACTATCTTTTCTGACATTATATTCAGCTACTCACTCATTCAATTTTCTAAGATTTCTGTTCAATATATAGTTTCACATGAATATTGAATTGTTAAACCATAGCTAAACAAGAACTGGCTGAAAATAGACAGACATTGTATGAATCATGGTGTAACACTCGATAATAACGCCTAAAGCAGCAAGTACTTACTAGGTTGTGGCATTATAATTTTTGACATTACCAGCCAATGTGATTCCACAGACTATCATCGGTAACCCTAAAATGCAAATTGTGAGTTTATTATGATGGCAGCCATCGAGTAGAACCTTTTTGCAATTTACAGAAAGCTTAAACTTATGGCCAAAAATAATCAAAAGAAGTATATATTTGACTGCAGTTTCGCTGCCTCTGTTGTAGGCGATGTTGATTATTATGATTTCAATGATGATTTGGAAAGGTCTATTATAACTGATGATTGTAGAAAACAGATTGTTTTTAATCTTATTTACTTGTTGTTGTTTTTCAGTAGAACTATTTTGGACTTTTGACCCTGCTATTATTAGAAACTTTTAGCATTGTTTAGGCATGTCAACGAGAGATGCAGAGAAATACGTGCGATATTAGTAGTACTGTTGCTTAGATAATGCTATGCTACGAGGTCAAATAAATAGTAAGTTCAAATTAATTTGGTTAACCTGTAATCGTTTATGTTGCTTTTTTCTTCAAGTTGTTATTTTCATTTAGTTGCATTACATTTAGACCTCGTTAATTAATTATGTATAATTTTATCAACTATTTCATTTAGCGAACAATTATCAAGATAGAAAGAACGCCAGCGTTGTTTTTGCTTAGTGGAAACTGGGTTCATTTCTGATTAGTTCGTGCCCTCCTCAGTAGCAGATTTGCTTTGAAGCTACAATGATGATAATGATTATGTATATTAATGCCCAAGAGAGATGCAGAGAAATACCTCTTTATAAAGCAAAGCTTTACGTCACATGTTGACGTAAATTTACCATTAGTGGAATTGGCATATTAAGCCAGTTATGTAGCCCCTTAACTTGACCAGAATATAACTTCCTCATAATCCTTGAGCTCTTCAATGAATATTCGTAAGACATGCAATATTTTGGTGTCAATGTAGCAAGCTTTGGATTGATTTGACTGATAATACCTTAACAATTATATATAAAAGTTATACCATAACTTACACGGACAAAAAACTTACCCCAAGATATCAAATAGTACTTCAGTACTGGGTTGTATTCTTCCTTATCCGGACCCTTTTTTACAAGGACCGTCATGCACGCACCTCCACAGCCAACCCAAAGCAGGCAACATAAAATGAAGTAATGAAGAAGAACAGCGAAGGCCTTGCAAAGCAACTGGTTTTCTATTCTGTTTATACCGGTGACAAATAGCAAAACAGCGACAATCAAAGCAAGGCACAAATTCATAAGTGTAGCTGCGTCATTTCTGTTGTATCGAAGTTCCCTGAAAGGAAAATGAGCATACAAGATATAAATATGCACAGCAATGCAAGAGCGCAGAAAAATAAAGAAAGAGGGAACGGCTTGGAAAATCAACAATCTTTCAAGAAAGATGACCTTTCAACTGTCCTAAATTGCAATCCTTCTCTTTCCCATATTATTAATCTTCACCACTGACACAGAACAAGATCCAAATATTCAACTAGCAGAACCATCGAGCTTTTAAAAATATGCTTTTAAAAAGCTAATGGACCTTTGCATATGAATAAAATGTTGCAGGACTGAAGACTGCCTTACCTGAAGGCTGCGTAGGTAAAAAAGGTCAAAAGCAAAAAGAATGCACAAATGCCAGCACCAACGTGAGTGACAAACTCAAGCTCAAATGTGGCAAGCAGTTGGGCCTCTTTCTTGATTTCCTACAAAAATAACCATTAAAAAGTAACAAAAGTCGTGGCCAAAGAAATAAGGAGATAAGAACTGTTAATCCATTTGTTCTAAAAATAAGGATAAATATTGAGTGGATGAGTGAGGAATGGAGAATTGGCAGCTACGTAGTATTAAGGATTTAACTAATTTTCTTTGAGACAATTCTTAAATCGAGATTTTGAAATTTCGCATTCAAAGTAAAAATTCTTCCATTTGGTTTAGTTAGCATTAGGCCAGTAACAGCGAAATAAACGTAGAAGAACTATAGACTGCATGCTAAGATAAAATTGCTGCTAGCTTCTGATATTTGACAGGATGGTATTAAATAAGATGTTATTAAACAGAAAGGTATTTGATAGGATGATAATTAATAATATGATATTAAATAGGATGATACTGCACTTACCATAATGACTGTGAAATATGTCATATGACTAAGCAACTCCGAGCACATGAACTTTGAAAACGTTTTCGCTTCGGTAACCAATTTGCACTTGTTGTTAATTTTCCATCTTTTCCTAACACCTGAAAACCAAGTAAAAAGCACAAAATAAGAATCACGCCAGCTCCTCTTTTTCCCATACACAAGCATGGCTAGGTTAAAACCATATATTAGCTTATCCTTATTTTATTACTATTATCATTTCTGATTCTAACAAGGCATTTTAAGACCGGCTTACTGTAAACATCGTCAGTCTACAACAAAGCTACATCTAAAAGGCGTCGAAGCCTCTACAGAACACTTCGTGATAGAGACAAGAATCTAACAAACCCAATTATGAAGCGAATATTTGGCGTTCGTGGTCCTCCTGTAATTAGTATGGTTTTCACGGAGAAACTCTGTGCATCAACTTGAAAAAATGATGTGTGTCACCTTGCTATGACCCATCAATGGATAAGAGCAGCAAAACTAGAAATAACTCCACAATTTACTGAGGGAGGGGAGGGGCAACTCTGTACGTAGATAAAAGAAATTAAATGTTTTAGATTCATATTATGTTAGTCATGGTGAAAATTAAGACAAACCTCTAAATTGCATATACTATTAAAGGCATTTTAACTGGCTTTAAAAAATCTATAAAAATATGACGAAGACCGGTGTTTCAGCAAATTAATTAAACACAAAGTATTGGTATAATGGGAATGAGGACGAACCTGCACTTTCACCTGACCAATAAACAAGTCTCGGGTTGTGTCCCATCTAAGATGATAGAAAAAATTATGATTAAAAAGCGTTTGTTTCTGAAACTTTTCATTAAAAAATGTTTATAATTTGAAACGCCAAACATTCTCAAAGAACAATTGATACAATTTCCATGTGGTGTGACAAAGCATTATTGTACTTGATTAAGAAACAATAGAAACAGCATGTGAAAAGGTAGCCTACCTAAACAGTCCTTTCGCATGCAAAATTATGTTTCAAGTGTTCGGGCTTACATATCTTGAAGGCTCGCTTGCAAGTAAAATGCATCAAAACAGCAACAACTACAGGTCAGTGGGGCCACATTCCTGTTAATGAATCACATTTTCCCAGTCTTTGAAATATGAAAATAGGCCACGTGCGGCGTTTTGCACGTCTTGACTACTTTGCGCGTTCGATGGCGTGCGATTGCGTGCGATGTGGACCGCTTCCTTATCGGTCGTTTCTCATTCCTGTTGTCAAGAACTATAGGATGCTACTTTCAAGGAGACCATTTGTGTTACAAACTGAGCAGAAACCAAGGAAATAGACGGAGAAACAATTGTTCTTGTTTAAAGGGCCTCAAAGATTAAATTTAATTAGTTATTAAAGTTAAATTCAACTAGTTATTAAATTTTTTAGGAAGTAATTATAGAATCTCTCAGAGCTTTCCTCAGTTTTCTCCTCTTTCTGTACAATCCCGGACAAAGATGTTCAGAAAAAAATCAATTTTTGTAATTTTCTACTTTACCTTGCCCCTGTAAATACGAATCCCCCTCCCCCCTCCCGAAGCAGTGTTGGATTTGTAGTTCTATCATTTTTGCTTCAAAATCATGCATCAATCTTGAATTGGGGGAAGGGGGAAAGCTATTTTTCAAAGGAAAGAGAAAACATAAAGTTTTCTTGAAAAGTCTCAACTATTTTTGTCTGGGATTGTAGCTTAGGTTTCTTCCGATACCATTAAAAAAGCTTTTGCTTTCTGCTCTTCAAAAGATAGAGCACCGTTGCCCTTTTCAAGATATTTCTCCGTCAGTCCACATATTATCATTGATTGCAATACAAAGTCGCATCTCTTGGATCGAAACTTTAAATCGCCGAGTTTTGAAATTAATAAAGCACCAGGTGTTGATTGCAGATTACTTCCTCTTGGCACCCCCTTGGTTAAGTAATCTGTTATGTTAAGCAATCTTGTCGTAGCTAATTTGTAACGCCGTTGTTTAAGCTCGTATGGGAATTTGGCGGCTTTGATTTACCGCTGCTTTAGAAATCTTTGAAACATAAGCAATTTTTAATAAGTTTTATGGCAAATTCTTTGTTTTGCGCGTGCGATGATTTGCACGCCTCATATTACAAAGACTAATTTTCTTATCACCTGGAATACATCTGCTACACTAAACATAGGATAACAGTGATCCATAGTCAGCTTGGGAGGGCACATACCTTGAAATGTTTAAACATCAATAGAAGACTTTCACTTGTCACGATGTCAGCATTGTTCATTCCTGGTACTAAATGAAAATAGCAAAGAATAACCAGTCTGAAGACAGAGGGAAAAAATACAATGGGAATACATTAGATGGAAAAATCTAGGAAAAATTTCATACAAATCCAGACTTTCTAAATCCAGCCATTTTCTTAACTTACAATAGAGTGAGGTTGACAGACATGTAGCAAAATTGATAATTACGTTTGCACTGGTTTTTAAAAGAAAAAAGAGTTGTTAGAACCTTGTTGATCAAGAACACATTTTACAGTAGCAATTTTACTTTTATTTGCTCTGACTGCTAAAAATTCATAATGGATTGCAAATTGGACAGCTGAACGCTAAGCTTTAATGATTGGTCCACAAATGGAATCCTGTTCTCTAAACTAAAAAAAGACATTTCCTGGTAAGATTTGAACACACGGCCAACTTAAAAAACTGTATTTCTTTCTAGGCATCACAGGTTGATTCAACATTTCATATTGTTTAAGCTGGTTGATTTGCCACAGAAATGGAAAATTGTCAAAATTAAAAAAAGCTGTTGCTTGGGTTTGACTTAGAATATTCCTAGAGACGATAAAACATCAAAATAAACAAAAACAGGTACAAGCGTTTAGTGGACTAGAGCCATGTCTTCTAACTAGCCTGTCTTCTAAACAGTTCGATTTGACGCTCATTAATAATTTCAACCCAACTAGGTGGCAGTCACAACGTATGCTTATGCAAAATACCTTCTCCACAGAAACATTCTACACTGCTATTAGGCTTTAAGTTAGCTATCCAGAAAAAAGAGATTTTCCATCTTTGTAACGGCAGTATAATAAATACTTACCTTGAACACGTACTCCAATGACAGCACTATTTATGGTGGTGTTTACAGTTCTCGATTCGATGCCTTGCAAATTCGAGTCGGCAAAAAGCCTTGCAGTTTTGTAGGCGATAAAGGTAACGTTTGTAAGTTGACTGGAGCTATTGAATTTATGTCCCATCGACAACGAGAAAACAACGCTTGGTATTACTAACTGAACATCGATACCCTGTGAAATTAAAGACACTTTTAATGGAATTCAACGACAAAGGGGATACATTAAATCATTTTATCAACAGATAAGCAACAAATAAAACTAATTTTGAGTCGCAGCGAAATAAGGTTTATTGAATTATACGTGCTGCGAAATAATAGGGTTTATGACTTGAAGATGAACAGCGTCGCACATAAGCATACAGAGTGGACAGAATGGTGCCCCTAGGCATTACTGCGTAAAATATACATGCAACTACTTCAAAATAAGTAAAAACACTATTTAAACAAGAATTTATACCTCAATACGGCTTGTTTTATTTGTATACTCTGAGCACTCTCCAAGAACACCGGTGTCAGGATATGTAGCGTTCTTGAACAGGGCATTGCAGACGAGGCTTTGAGGGTGACCAGGCCTGTAACTACGTGAAAACGCAGCAACACTGCTTGTGACTGGCAGCACAACCGGTGTATCCTCGGCGCTATCACGAATCTCACGATCGAGAGAATCCATCATAAACTTTTCGAGGACAGCCAGCAGCCTGTTACGTGAAAATTTCAAGAAATATGAAGAATACCAGTTCAAAGGATACCAAATAGAGTTTGTTAACCCCCTAGAGGTGCAAAACGATTTATTTACAAGGTGAGGCTGACTCAGACAAAAACAAATTCAAAAAATGGAAACAACTTTATTGCTATTCTGAGCTTATTTGGACAGACTACTTTATCTCACTATTGATTAAATGTTTTGTAGCAACGATTCTGGCAGGAATTACAACTGCAGGTCCAGTTGGGTGAAGAGCTTAAGTACCATTCCGAAAAAAGAGCGAATACATGATTTTTCTGCACTGAAATGATTTCACATAAGGATAACAATTACCGATTTGTCATATCCCCGTCTTCTTGCTCATTCTTTCCCAAAGTTTTGCTGTCTCTGGACATAAAATCGGTAATCATACTTGCAATGCTTGCCCTCACCTGAAATAAATTTGCGATGAAATATCATCTGTGATAGACATTTTAACCTTAGATTCTTTACGGGCGTATGTATGGGCAAAAAGGGGATCTGAATGCTATTAACCATAGTAGCGGATGGGCAGCAACATTGATATGCAACAAAACTCTATTTTACCCTCTCGAGTCTGCTTCTTGATACCACTTTCATGGTTCCCATTTCTGCAAACAAGTTTGCGATCAGCTCTATCTGTACATTTTCTGTAATATTCCTTTTATACGTTTCAATGATGTTGCCTAGATCCAACAATATTTGATTCAAGGAAGTCTCATTTACATCTCTCTGTAGAAAAAGAAATAAAGAAAACATAAAACATATGCTTTTGCCATCTTAGCTCCTGTTATTGTAATTGTTGCAAATGTGATTCAATTGGAAATCAACACAATACATTCAATATGAAAGAAATTGTCTGCGGGGAAAACGAAAATATCAACAACTGTAAAACTGTAAAAGCATGTTTTCAATACTCAGCACGGATACATTAACTGAATGCGATTTGACCCAACCTATTCAATATGGCAATTCACTATTCACTATTCACCATGGCAATTTCAAGTCAGTTTATACAAAACCATTCCACAAAAATAAATTTCAGCCGAAATATAACGAATAACAAAAAAGAGGGTATTATAAAAGCTACAGTACAAAAAGAGCATGCAATCCAATGTGCCTAGAAATCAATCGCTTTTTACCTTGAATAATGCTTCCAGCTCTCTTGTTAAAACATTTTTGAACAAACAGTTTGAGGTATCGGCAGACTCCCATTCACCATCATTTGCACACCGTCTGTGTGCCAATTTCTTGTCACCAAAAGGACACGAGCTTGTTGCAACAGCACCAGCAACAGTGCTTCGCCAAAAAAATGTCCCTAAAAGGTCGGTCAAAGGTCCAAATTAAAAATGAAAATGCGTAATGTAAATGCTCGCAAACGAAATCAAGTTCCGCAGGAAATCAGTAACTAAAATGGATAGAAAACAAAGAGCGTAGCGACATTGGAATCAAAACAGCAACAGAAGAGCACAATGGCAATGTTGACAAAAGTAAAGTAGACACCTGCAGTAGTGATTTAAAAATTGTACAAGAATCAACGTAAATGCGATAGCAGGGGAATATGATAGGGTAGGGAGGCTTTGTGTGCGAGATGGAAAAATTGACTTTTCTGAACTCAAAATCTGGATATGCCAGGGGTTGGATATTTGGCAGCTGACGAGGCAAATGAGCTTCTTGAAGAATTAGTGTTGTTGAAACGCTAGCTACAGAAGCAAAATCAGTTCTCCCAAATGACGTCCCCATTGGATTTGATTTTATAGAATGTGCATAGAATTACATTTTTCTGCAATTCGCAATCTAAGACTTCTCCCTGTGAGGTCTACATTTATCCATTCATAGGCAATTTTTTTAATAAAACTAAACTTTGTTATAGGGGCGAAAATTTAAGATTTCTTGATATTCAAAATTTTAGGGTGGGATATCAAAAGCAACTTGGCCCACACGCCAATAAAGATATTTCTGCACGCTCAAAATCCACCATAACAGAAAGTAAGAGAGAAGGTCAAAGTTGAAACCTTTATCACTTGATGTTCGTTGAAGTACACAAAATTTGGTTTGCCAGCCAATAACGGTCAGTGATATTGGTTTTGCCATTTCACCAGCATTTGATATGACTGCACGACAGAGGTAATCACCGCTATGATGAAGGTCCGATCTGCAAAATGTAAACACGTGTTAAAGTGGTACCCAGGAAATAGAATATCTTGCATTTCTCCTGTTTTGAACGCAGGAAGACTTCTTGTAAGCCGGCAAACTTGAGATAAAGAAACACCACATGAAGATGTCTACTGGTGATTCTCCTTAAGATAATGCCCCTGGACAACTAGGAGTTGTTCTGTGTCCCTTAAAGAAGCATAATTCTTAAACAATGTTGAAAAAGCTCGCGAGCACATCATCTGTAAAAAGATCGATAAATAACCAAAAGAAGATGCATTTAATTCCATATATACCATACAAAGTACGCTTGTAAGAGAACTGCATGTAACTGTTACCTTTTAATTAAAAGAACACTTTTATTTTCACGTGTGTTCATGTCACCATAGGCTGTGACAGATGTTTGAAGCAATGAATGGCGTTTGACAACCCATTCCAAGCGTCCTCTGGGTTGCCACATACTCGAACAGGTAAGCTGAATCGAATCGTTCTGGAAAACAACCTGACTATGAACTGGCAAGATATTGAATCCCGGCATCTCAAAATCAACATCCTCTGCAAAAAAGAAATAACAAATATCAACAGCAATATAGCAGGAGTGAAAGTCACGGTTGTGCTTTGTTGAGGACCATCGCTGGTCTCCTTCCTCAGCGAAAATATCTAATAAACTTCCATTCACAAAATTCTCTGCATGCAGCTTGTCGCCTGATCGATATGTTATTGGGCAGAAAAGTTTTTAAAGCCTCTTTCCGGAAGTCAGAATAGAGGCTGACGACGCTTGGCCATTTAACAAAATTACAAAACCTTTGCAATAAATTTGAAAAAACGTTTATCAAATAAAGTTATTCGATATTTTGATCACAATTTCATTTGAAATACATTTTTCCTAAATAAAATCAAGTTTTGCTTGAAAAACTTATTTTTCAAATCACATCATCCTAGGCAGGCATTTACGCTGCGCATTTTTAAAAATTCCGCAAAGAAACTTGACAATAACCGATTTGTGACAAAATCCTAATGAAATTTTAAGCAACGAAATGAGAGGCAGATGGATTAATTTCAAAAATACCCCTTTCTACATTTAACTAGACTCAAATCTATCTTTCCTGGACGCAAAATCCCTGTGGTCTAAGCATTTTGGATAACAATTAATAAAAACGACTTACAGGGTATCATCTTGAACAGCTATGGAGTCTGTTTACACAAAGGACATCACTATTTTGTGTAGATTTCATTTTCCACTTTGACTTACGTCAACAAGAAAGGTAATGGGTTTTGCTTCATATTGTTTTATGTTATTCTAAAGAATTCCAAGAGAACCTACAAACACGTATAGCTTAAAAAAGACACGCAGCCGAGAATGGCTAAATGCTTAACTTTAACTGACAACCGTCAGTTATTGACATGACAATGCTGAAAATGACAACCATTAGTAATTGAAAGGTGAAGTTCTTGTTGTAAGCAAAAACCCTAGTTTTCAGCAAAATCTTTCACAATTAAGATCTAGAACATGCCTAGAGGGTACCTGGTTTAAGTTTTTGCAAACACTTACTGCAGTTCCATGACCGTCCGCCAAGACTTTTCAGCCTTGTTCCAGCGAGCTGCTTGGGATATTTACATTTACTGCCTAAACTAGGACCTCTCTTTCTATTTCTTGATCTCATCACAAGCCATCTGATATCACAGTCACATATTATATCGTTTCCATCGAGCTCACTGCAGCAAAAAAAGTAAAATTATGATCTGATCTGACAAAGTTCTAAATTGTGAATGAAGTTCATATTGTAAAAGATGCATGTTAAAAGATAAGAGAAAATTATCTTTAAATTGAATGGCTCAGTTGTTAGAGGCGCTGACTACAGACCCAAGGGTCCGTGGTTCGAGTCTCTGGCATGATCAAACTTCCACCCAGAGTGAGGAGAGTCGCCAGCTCTCTGTAATTCTAGGCGTAGGAATCATGAGGTGTGGTCACATCGAGAGGAAGAACCAGGACACTGCTCGATAAGCATAAGCTTCTCAGTGTCCTAAAAACTACCTTCGGATGCTAGGTAGAAACAAATACAAACAAATACAAATACAAATTTTCGTACCACTACACAACACAGTCCAGACTGTATTGAATATGGAGGCTAAAATCCAAAGCTAACACCGACTCCAGGGTCTCGAACGTAATTGGACACTCAAGCAGGATACGAATAGTTGCTTATTACTTACTATTACTTCATAAAAGCATATCTATCATATATAAAAAAGTATCTTCTGGTAACCACTTTAGGCTGAATAACCATCAACATTATCCCGTTAGTTATAACATATAAGTGGGCTTGACGCTTAAGAACACATGATCCATAAAAACCAGTTGCGTTTAAAACGCTTTAATATAATTTGAAAGTTGCAGGTTGAAAATTAGTGAAAAACTTCATGAGTGAAACATCGTATCATTAGAAAGATATGTAACAATAAAAGAATATTTCTCGAAAATCGCTGAGAAACACAGCAGGTTTTTTATTTGAGTATGCGGAACAATGTGCTGTGTGCTGTAAGGGGAAAACGCACCTTGAGGGTCATGACAACCATACAATTCATCAAAATCATAAAAATCCCTATGTGAAGTTGTCATTTCTCCATCCATAGGCAAGAAAGCACACTTGTATTGGGAGCGCAAAAACGCACTCATAGAAAAGACACAGAAATCTTTAGTTGGAAGAAGCTTTTAAACGTGTTTCAGACATTAATGAGGCAAAAACTTACACTTTTGAACTGTTTGGGAATGTAAACTTTCGAAATGTAGTCAGTTGATTTTGCTTCAGGGATCTACAAAATACGAAACTTGTTGTTTAATCATTCTATCATTGAATTAATAAACGTCAAAGAAAAAGAGAGCTAAATAACAACAGATCGTCTCTTGTGTTACAAAAAACCGTGAACACAATTATGTAGTGTGCGTTACTTCTCGATCCAAATTACAGTGGAACCCCGCCTTACGGCCACTTCGTTTATACGGCCACCTCGTTATTACGGCCACATTTGCTTGGCCCGAAAAAACGGCCATACATAGTCTCATAAAAACCCCCTTGATGTGGCCTCCCTTTAATACGGCCAGTGGTCACATTTTGTGATCCCAAACAGCCGGATTCTTTATAATTCCACCCCGTTAATAAGGCCATTTTTATCGTGAGGCAACATCTTGCCTTGAAGGTGTATTATGTTTCCTTGAGTCAAAGGGAAACAATGACACAGCAGACGTACTTTCAGGTGTGTTTTCCCACAATCAAAGTGACTGGCTGGAACGCAGAACGAATCAGTCAAAAGTCATAGATTTTTTGCAAAATCATGAACATGACTTGGTGATTAAGGCCCAAGAACCCACGACTTCCGTTTCGTTTTGTTTGTGGACTAGTTATTCAACATATTTTTTTATAACTTTATCTACATTTCCAGATGTTTATTTAAACAGTTCCTTAAAATGATATTATTAATCTTTACCCCTTAAACTCCAAAATTTGACCCTTTCTCGTTAATACGGCCACCCCGTTAATACGGCCGAATTTTGGTGGCCTGTTGGCGGCCGTATTAACGGGGATCCATTTTAGAGGTGAAATACGGGCACTTAAAGTATTCAAAATTAAATAGGAAATATTCAAAATCTAAAATAAAGCTAGTTTTTTCAAAGTCGCTGAACAAAAAAGCTCTTTAACAATGCAGCCTCAACCATTAATGTCATCTGGCCACTCTTGGTGTTCCAAAGAGACTCTTTTTCTTTTATAAAACCAAAATTTTTGTTAATCTCTCTTTAATTATAGGCTGCAGTGACAACGTGCTAGGGGACTATTTCATTACAATGTCTAAGAAGGAAACATCTCAAGGTTTTAATCTTACATTTTCCGGAGATTCCTTGCACCAGAGAATGCGTTTTGGTGAATGTATAGAAGTCTATTTTGTGAAATGTTCCTACGAATGAAAATTATAAATATACCTTTAAAAATATAAAAATTACGTTCAAAGATAAAAAAATTAATTTATAGTAGCTGCAAAGACTGTTTCCAATTTTCATTAAACACAAATAGAGTCCTGAGATTATCTAAGCAAAAGCACATATCTTCTGAAATATTTCTGTTCTGGGATGCAACTGCCTCCTTTATCGTTTAATTTCCTCTAAATTTCAAAAAAATTATCATCTAAGTCCTAGATGGGAAAAATTTACTTTTCGCTCCTTAAAACTAAAACTACTTTCCAAAGGATATGTTTTCCAAACAAGGGCGGAGCCAAAAATTTTTTTTTTGGGGGGGGGGGTTAAAGAAGTAATTTTTGCCGATAAAAAGGGCGTGTCGACGCCCCTGTTTCCAAATCAATTCAAAAGGAAATAAATTCTTCACAAAAAAGTCCAACGCCAAAAACAGTTTAACTTGAGTTTGCTCCTTTGACAAACACAAATAACAACAACAGACACAAATACTTACAACAGACACAAATAAAAAAAATTAAATGACATAAAATAACTATATGGCCACAAAAAACTGGCTGCCAAGAAACTGACGATTTCATCATAAGACAGTTTGCACCTTTTTCAAATTCACATAAAAAACAATTGTAAATGATAGTTAACTTACAAGTGCTTGATATTTCGCAACCCAGAGAAGGTATCTTTCTGGACTTCTCTCAATTGATTTACTTGTAAGTACCTGCATAAATAACACATCACTGATTAGTAAAATAAAGCACTCCATATATCACAATGCCTTCCTACCATTGCAAAGTTAAAAAAACAAAAGCAATATTCACTTAGGAGTTTATATAAAAGACATTTTAGGAGACTGTGTACAGAAACTATTCATTCAGAATTCAAGACGCTGAAAAAGGGTTCAGCGAACTTAGAAGTAAAAAGCAAAGATAAATTTAATTTGAAGACTTATCTTAGTCACCCAAAATGCTTCTGCAATCTGAATTACTGAAAAGTTTTTATATGTCTTGTTTTGATAATGCAAAGTTTTATGTCACCAATCAATGGATTTTAGTCCATGTAATACACACTAGAGTATATCAACAAAAAATAAGGTCTTCTGCATATAAATTATCCTTAAACACATGTTTATTGGTAACAGTTACTTTTGCTTGTGTTAACCAGGCACAAATATAACACAGCAAAACTCACAAAAGAAATTATATGCCAAATGAGGTGCAGTGTAAGTCCCCTGATTGAATGGACCTCAATAAAAATATCACAGGCACATGTGGACTCAGCTTAAAAACAAATTCTATTCCTTTTAAATTTGTGGTTTCTATTGAAAAATACACATATTGTTTCTTATGAAAGAGAGGTCTTACTGTTTCAGTATGGCAAAAAAATAAGAACTTTGAATAATTATATTACTTCACTTGCTTACATTCTAGTGGAAAATATATAACATAAAAAGTGCCCCAAAAGAAATTTCCACAAATAAAAAATTTAAAATACATAGATCCTTTTAACAAAGAAACTGAAACTGACAAGACAGTGAAACTAACACTTTGATGTTCATTTACTTACAGTCGAACAAGTGATGGTAGATTAGCAAAAGATCCTGGCTCAATGTATTCTATATGATTTCCTCTAAGGTCCCTGTAAAAATGATGTCAATTAGAACCAAATTGAGAAAATGTCCACACTGATATAAATGTCCTATCTGATATGAATACTTAGAACTGTCATGAGTGAAAACCTTTATCTTAGTCAGTACACTAACAGAAAATTAGAGTGGATTAATGAACACCTTTCAAAAGGTACTTCACAAGTGGAAAATATAGAGGAGAAACATGCACAGAAAAATACTTTTAATCAAGCAGATCAAACAATTTAAAGTTATTCATGAACCTGTAATTATTTAAGACATGGCTTCTTGTAGCATTACTTCTTCAGTATTGATATCAGACTTCAGCATACTTTGCTTTCAATCTACTGGTAATTAGACATTCACAAAAGAAGATTAGGTCAAACCCATACTCATATGGATTTGATCTTATACCATGGGCAGTCCTGGTAATATGAAATTTGTTGGCGTGCTGGTAATCTCAGGCCTTGAAAAGCTTAGGCATCCGGCAGAGTGCAATCCATAAAAAGGAAACCTTATGATTTTTATGAAAACCGGATAGCCTTTTAAATGTAATATATGTGATTGAAGGTATGTGTCACTGTTTGAAAAAGTGTATTAAGTTTTTACAAAACCAAATAGTTTTTACGGAATTTGAGAAGAATTTTCTTGAAAAAAACAATAATTTACCAAAAAAGATACAAGTTTTTTAGGCACTGTTGCCATTACCCCATTTTTCATGAGAGAACGGATTTGAAGCAATCGGTTTTAGATTGTAAGCTCCGTTGAGATGCTCACCAATGGAATCATTTGATACCAAATCGGAGTCATTCAAAAATACGGTTCAAAGTTTAAAGTCAAAAATGGAATCATTTGGATGCGCTTCATTGGAAACAGCGAAGACAGTGGTATTTGAAAAGGGAGTCAAAAAGAGCTCTCCAGTCTTTTTGTCCCAAGTGGTTATAGGTCTCCAGTCTTTTTGTCCCAAGAAGCTATATATGCTGATGATGCAAAACAGAGCAAAGATAAATTTTCCAAGGAGACAGAAACACAGCCCAATGGAGGATAGTCAAAAGGCTTGGTTCTCTTTTGGGGGACCCAGAAGATATACAAAGAAGAAAACAGGTGTTGACAGCATACATAAATAGATTAAATCACATCTGGATCAGAAAAGAATCACATCTGAATCACATCTAGATCTCGATCACTTGCTTTTGTATCAGCATTAGTGCAAACCCAACCATGTCAGCGTTTGATCGCTCGCGCAAAACGGTAAATTTTGAGGAATAAGTGTCTTATCAATTAACACATTTTTAGTCTTCCTTTGTGACTCAAGCAAGTGGCAAAGGCAATACAAAGCTGATATATCAAAGACAGGAAATATAAGTAAGCTGACTTAGCCACATTTCAACGAAAAATGCATTTGAAAATCAATTCCACCATAAATGTTTAGGAATACTATTGGCACTTAGTTTTTGGACTACATTAGCACTTCAAACAGTTAAAGCATTTTAAAAAGGCTTGGAACAACCATATTTCATCAGCAGAGCCCTCAATATTGAGGTTGCTGATTAACCTATGTAAATGTAACGTCTATATGACCTTTGTGATGTACATAAAGCTTATGAATGAAGCACATTTGAATTGCTAATCTTTGAATAATTATGAATTGAACCGGTATCTAATCTTTCTTTAGTGCATTGAAGCTCATCATAAAAGTTTGTTTTCATATATTGCCTTAAACAAAACGGTCATACAGTTTTTATAAACATTAAGGATGCTTTTAGCATTGTTCATTATTATCATTTTTAGAGCATTCATTCACGAAAGAGAAATCACGCAAGCGCTGGGCCACTTGCATGGGCTATTTCTTATGAAAAGGCCTGGTAATATATCTTAGATTGGCTTAGAAGTTGACAAAATTATAAAATTCAATGTAGTATTATTTTAATAATTTGTTGTTTAAGGCCCCTTCAGTCTCTCATGTAGATAAATCTCAGCAGAACCTGGAAATGAATGGAACTTCTAGTGGAACAATTTTTATTTAGTTTTTAGTTTAGGAGAGCGATTCAATGCTCCTGGTAGCTTCTGAGGGGGGCCTAGAGGGGAGCAACAGCCATTGCTAACCCCAAATGCCCAGCCCTGGACTGACACAAAAATATACAAAGGTCTAGATGCATTAAACAGACAGTAAATGATACACCTAACAGGGTAAATATCCTCATAGAAATCCAGTCAAGACTTGGTTAAAAGGTGTGAAGAATGACCAATGTCAATTGACATCCTTAAAGGTAGATGGTGACTGTTTGGTAAAATATTATGTTTATCTGATGAGACAGCAGCAAAGGCCATGAAATTCTACTTTAAAAGCAGTGGCGGCCACTTGGGGGCCCTAATACTTTGGAGGACAATGGTCTTTTGTTCTAAAACAATAGAAAATGTGACGTCATCCTACTGAAACAATAGGCTTGCCCCCTCAATATTTGATCAAGTGTCCGCCCCTGTTTAAAAGATCAGACAAAGATTCAGAGGCAGACCTCAAGAAACTATCCAAAGAACATCAAAGGGACTGGGTCACCTAATTGTAAACAAACATTCTGTGCGGGACAGTCTTTGTGTAAGGAAATTTTGTTAATACGAATCACTAAAGTGCAGTGTCTGAAAAAATGGCAGACTGTGAAAACTTTATGCTTGCAGCAATACTGCCAAGTCTGAAAAATGCTTAAACCGTTGGCTTTCAGTAATGCTTTACTGTTTCTGAGACTGGACTTTGACAGACAGGTGCCTCTGTGCTGTCCCTGTGGCCAAACAGCCAGTTCCCACTGCATTTTTTTTTTGTGTTCCTGCTGCAGTACAAATGACTTTGTTTTTGTGGACTGATCACAGGAATGATGTTGAAATACACGTATGGAATAAATCTTTAAGGAACCACATGAAAACTTTTTGTTGCAACTGCAAAACTGCAAGTATTATGGCTTAGTGAAATGATTGTGTCTTTCAATGCAGGAAACTGGAGTTCAATTGTGACCAGGTGCAATTGGGCAGCACCCTTGTGGAAATAGTTTCTTACTGTAAGCCTTGGCTTACTGAATAAATATACATAAAAACATAGGATGCTGCTTTCAAGGAGACCTTTTGCATTATAAACTGAACAGAAACCAAGGAAATTGACAGAGAAACTTTCCTTGTTGTCCTTGTTCTCATTTGGAATAAATCATAGAAATGTTTTGCACACCTTGGAAAAGTTGGGCATGTGTAATTGCATGCCTCATAAGAAGGCTGAATCTTATATAGGAAATAGATGTTTACCCATCTTTCTATTGAAATAATTTCTAATCAAAGTCTATTTGCCTTGTTGTTCTAAATCAGTTTCCGCAATCAAAACATTTCTAAAAGCTACATTAGGATACCACAAGATAAATTGAAACTGATTCCACTTTATCATCATAATCAATCCATCATATATGAATCAAGCAAGAAACATTATTAATGTTGTCACTGGTCCAAGCTTTCTATGTAGCTGCATAAGAAGGTATACAACAGAATGCAATTGCTGAATGCAAATGCTTGTCATTGCAATTTACTCATTTGTAGCCAATGACTCTCAGAAATTCAATAAAAGAAGTCACCCAGTAGCTTCCCCTAATTTGTTGAATAAAATCCAGTAAAAATGATTACATCAGTGGCAACCGACTAAAACAAGCTATTATCACAGAAAGAGCCTGTTAGAAATTGGATAAAACAGATCCCATGGTCCTTAAAATCCCCTTGGCTAACACATAATTAAAATCCATTTCAATGACTCAGGCACGATTCTATTGGACAATTCCAAAATTGGATAGAAAAGCTTTTGGGTTTATCAACAAAAATTTTCGTTAGTTGTGTTATGTCAGTCCTTAGATGAAATTCGAATCCCAATAAGAAGAATCTTTAATCAATTTTAAATCTTGACTGCCAAGCCAGTTATTGTCATACTTCCTTGCAACTTCTGATAATGCGCACACAGAAAAATTTGCGTCCAAAAACAAAACTTTGACTGTGTCTTTCGCGAATCTTTTTTAGATTTGAGTAAATCCTTACAAACTAAACGGAAAGTTACTTTGTCAAAAAGATAATTCTTGAACAATATATATACTTACAATTTCGTTACCATTTTGTTTAGAGGAAATGAGTCTTTCGTGATGGCTTTTATCTGGTTGTCTGAAAGGTTTCTGTCAAGAGATATGTATCGGATATGAGACAACAAGAACAAACTGAACAACGCTTGATAAAAACTAACGCTTGATAAAAACACCAAATCAAGACTTCGGTGTAAGAAGTATTCCAAAAGCTTTAAAACTTTCATTAAGACCTAAGCATATTAAACACTAGCGGGGAAGGAAAACAGAATACTGAACCTGAAACGATTTCATGAAAATAATGGAATTACAGAACCCCAAACAACTAACATAGCGATAAGAAACTGAAATTCACTTTTTCCAAAATAACAGGAAATGGTTCTCAATTTACCGCTAGGTTGTTTGACTGAACCAAGGACAACTTAGGCCATATTAGGGGGAAATCTCATACTCACATTTCAACGGTCCTCTTCGGTAACCTCTTGAAACGCACAACACGTATGCCTTTTGAAGAGCATAATACTGTCTGGCCGTTTGTTTTTGATGGACAACTACAGGTAGATGGACAGTCATCTGAAATTGCAACCATTGTTATGGCAAACACGAAAACCAAGCAGGTTGAACTGTAAGAGAACACTGGAGCCATGCTGGCAATGGTAAATGTACCGTGGAACCCATGCACACCAAGTGTGGTTACTTGTCGTTTTTGATTATATACCAATACAAACTTTACTACTTTGATTCATTATTTGAAAATCAATACGTCGCAGTGAAAAAGCGATACTGCTGATTTGGTACATTGCCTACTTATCGTCCATTCTGTTCTCGATCGCAATCTCTGCAGGCTACCTTCACATAAATCGCTGTTGATCAATAATCCTTTGCCCGCGAGCGACTCGCGTGTTCTCCTAAACTCATTTCCTGTACGCAGGTTTGTGCTTTTCTCTTCGTCAATAACACCCGGAGGCATATTTCTCAAAAAATATTTTGGGACGGGGATGGCTTATTCGAAATAAGCATGGCTGGTATACTATCGTCATAATGCATGCATATTTCTTAATTATAGAATAAGCAATTCTTTAGATTTAAAAATCTTAGGAAGTGAAAAAAGTTTAAATACTAAATTTGATCAAAACGGACATGCTGCACCAAATAGATTTTCACTATTCAAATAATTTGAATAACTTTACAGATAGCAATCAGAATGCAACCTTTTAACGTCAATAAAAAACTAATTAAATTCGACCTTGGAAGAAGTTCGTTTAGACGAGGGGGTCCAAAAAATTGAAGACCAAGGGAAATCAGTCAAGTATATCTCATCTTGAAGTGAAAACCAGGTAAAGGCCTTTGGTAAAATTCAAGATAATGTCGGCATTGTTATTATTGATAGCATTGCAGCAAAGATAATTAGGCGATTCGCGTCAATTGGCGAGATATGGGAGGAGTTCAGAATACTTTGATTATACACAAGGTTGAAAGAAGATGGCCTAGCAAAAAAGTGCAAAATTCTGCGCAGCAAAAAAAGGATGAGATATCTCCTAACATCACTGAGGAGTCACTTTTTCTAAAAAGCATCAACCAATACAGCTGTTGAACAAGATTAAGCCTTTGAATTCTCAACGCTTATTTCCCAATGTTTTCATTGCATTAAGGTTGTTTCTGACTTTGCCTGCTAGTGTTGCATCAGCTGAAATATCGTGTTGTAATTTGTGTACGTCACGTGACGTTATTTAATTTTTATGCAGTTTTGTTTTGTAGTTGTTGAACAGAGTTGAGGAGTTATGTTGCGAAAAAGAGTTATGTTACGTTGAAGAGTTATGGAGTTCAAAATATGAACTAAGTTTAATATACGAAAGTTATTATAAAATTTAGTTTGCGTTGTATATATTATTCTTTTGTAAATAGCCTTTTTGAGTTGAGAAAATTATTGGAGTCAAGTTTGGAATTGGGTTGTATTCAGTTATGTATTATCTGCTTGGATTCCACGAACCAGGGTGAAGAAACACAGGTTTAAATAATAAAAATAACCCAGATTCATTTTCATAACATATCGATAAAATTTCCCAAAGGAACTGAAATTTCTGAAAAAATTTACTATAGCTCCATAATTGACATTTTTACAGATGCAAAAAGACTTGGAAATTGTTTTGTTAACTAGAAAATTACCTAAAGCTATTAGCTCTGTTTGACAAACATAATGGGATTTTAATACTGTTTCTGCTTCTACCTTATTTCCTTTAAAGGTTTTTCCTATTAATTTTTCTATTATTGACAAGTTTTGATAATGGAAACGCTGAATTGCTAGTAGTTAATGATTTATCTTACAAAATTTATGCTATATATAGAAATATATAGAGATATGTTTGTGCTTACAAAGTTATTATCTATGGGCCCCTAAAGTCATGGGCCCCGGGTCAGTGATCCCCCTAACCCCCCTCTCATCAGCACTGCTCACTATTAAACTACCCTTTAGCCCCTGTTGTCAAACAAAGAAAACATGTTCCTTGAGTGGGTCTTATGCTGGGGGTAATGACAATAAGATCGTCTGCATTGAATATGACCGGCCCATGCAAAGATTTTGTCGTGCACCTTAGAAGTCACTCGAAAACTGTTTAGACGATGTCCCTAAGGGTGACTCTGATAAATATGAAAATTATGATTAATTAATTTTAAGAAACTTTTGAAGCAGTTAACTAAATATTTGAGAACATTACATTTTCATAAAAAATGCATAAGAGCATTTTTATAACAGCTTTTACATTAAATTATCTATAAGCCCCCTCTCTTTCAAGCCCTCCCTTTAGGACTAAAAAATATTTAAGCCACCCATCGGGGTTTAATAGAGGTTTTTCAGGATTTGAGGTTGGTCAGTATGCTTAAAAATGCCGATATATAGCAATAAACAGGGCCCACGCCACAGGAGGGCCGGAGGGGCCATACCCCTCCCCCTACATGTTTGCGAAGCAAGTAGTTTTACAGCTGCAGTGAAAGGGGAAAAGCTAACTTTTGCTAGCTTCGCCCCTCCTCCCGTTTTTAAATTAATGGCGTTGGCCCTGATAAATCTATTGCTGTCGTGGCAATACCTTAGCCCATGGGGGCTTATTTCACAGAATTTAATCTAGGGTTTGGAGCTTATTCGAGAGAGGGGGCTCACTTGAAAGTAGGGGCTTATTCGAGGACTTACAGTAAGCTACAGATCAGTGGCGTACCCAAGGCTGTAGTAGTGGGGGGTCTGCAGAATTTTTTTGGGACCACGCCCTTCAAACACCCGCAAATGCGGGTAAACGCCCTTTTTCAATATTTTCCTCCATTGTTTGATTCATTTTAGCTACGGTAAATAGCAAGGTATTTTACAATCGTTATTGACACAAGCATACAGTATACTACCCCCCCCCCCCCCCATGAGTTTTACATCGTTTTTGGACAAATCTCGAGAACCATACTTTAGAAAAGTGGGGGGTCCGGACCCCCTATTCCCCCCCCTTGGGTAAGCCACTGCTACAGATTGCAAGTTGCAATGCAAAAACACGTCAAAAATTTCGTCCAACATTGGTTTTCTACATGTTGGGTGAAATATTGGATGCTAAGACCAGTGGCGGTCTGGCTTTTTTCGTCTGGGGCGGGGGGGGGGGGAGAACAGCAGCAAAAGGGCGCATTTCATAAATAATATTATTGTATTTATCCTGACAACATTGGTAGTCGGGTAATGCTCTTATTTATTTCAACCTTGTCTGTCGTGTCAAGGACAGACTGACCCCCAAGTGAGCACAGGGTCGCGAATTAAATTATTTTTTCATGGGGGTATCAGGACAAGTTGGACCGACTCACATACGAAATTGCCTGTCTATTCAAAGCAAATACAAGCAGATAAACTGAATAAAAATGTGGCAACAACATGTTTCGGGAAATTCCAAGATACCCTACAATGCCATAAAATGAGGGTTTTGATCTTTTTGTAACTTTTGTGTTCATGTAACCTTGGAGAGGAATCCAAAGCTCCAGATAATATATTTACCTTTTTTGCTCAACTTTTACTGTTAGGCAACTAAACAAGCTCAAAACATAGATATAACACAACTAAAGGAGTGTGGGGGTAGCAAATAATGGAAAGAGTCGGTCCTAGCCAATAAGTGGAGGATTCCAATCTCATAAGGCTAGAAAATGCGTTTCTAAATTAGGCCCGAGCCAACTTTCATGTCAAAATCAATGTATGGCCCTTGAAAAAGAAACCTAAAATACCTACTCGTTAGAAACAAAAATCAGTGTTTGAGTTAAGTCAATGTTTAGTCATCTGTTTAATTTATACTTTGTGAAAAAAACATAATATGGGTTGGTTTCATTATGTTTCAACTCGCAATGCATTTTAGCACCATTTCTTGTTATCTTGTGCACCTACGGGTAAGTGACTTGAGATAACAGACGGACTAATTTAGAATGTAGCTATTAAACAACCTAATTGTTTTTTAATTAGGTCTCTGAAGGCCAGCAGAGCGAAAGAGATTCATTGAAATTCAAAATTTTGTCTGGAAGGGGGAGAGGGCATGAGCTTGAACACCCTAAACACAGACTGTCCCCCGACACCCTAAACACAGTCTGTGTGCCCCATCAGTGCTGTGCCCTCCACACAAAAGAATTTAACTGTTAGTTTCCAGACACTCCTCTAAAAAATTAATTAATTTTTGCTCCCCTGCGAACAGTACAAATTTTTAGTCTAGAAAATACAGTACTGTAATAGTGCTAGTTTGGATTTCGTTTGTTTTGCAACTTGTAACCTTAGTTATTTAACACCTTTTGCACATTCGATTGTTATAATTCCTTTTGTTATCTGATTGCATTTTTAGGGTTCATTAATCATTAATTTTTAATTGTCTTTATTCAGTTTATCTAATTAATCTTGGGAGTATTATCATTTGTAATCACTATTATTTTGTAAATACCTAGCTATGTAGTATTTCAATTAGTTCTTGTTTAGGTTATATTTTGGGTGTGTTATTTTACAGCGTTAGTTAGATTCATGGTTAAGAGCGATAGGGTTAAGGTTTGATATCATGTATGTTTAGGTTCTCGGCGATTAATTAGTGTGACTGGCGAGATGCTTGTAAAAGATCTTGTCGACATGAAGTACGAGTTTATGGGGGCGTGCACACCAAAAAAGTTTTGAATTTCAAGACGTCTTTTTTGTCTCTGCTGGCCTCCTAGAGACCTAGTAACCAGACAAGTCGGTCGTATCAAACTTTTTTCGAGTTTTTGGCGCCTTATATTAGATAGATAGATAGATAGATAGATAGATAGATAGATAGATAGATAGATAGAATAGATAGATAGATAGATAGATAGATAGATAGATAGATAGATAGATAGATAGATAGATAGATAGATAGATAGATAGATAGATAGATAGATAGATAGATAGATAGATAGATAGATATATAGACAATTTACACTTTATAACAGCATTGAAATCGATTTTGGTTGTATCTTCAACTGATGTCTCAATCTTCACCAGGAAATCGTATGGCGCTAAATTCATTAAGCATGCATCCCAAAGAGCAATTTGTTTTTCTCCACAAGTTTCATTTTACCCTGATTGCAAAGAATTTTCTACACAAATGCGGATTTCAAGTCGACCTGAAATTTCAGACCGACCTGAACAACCGAAACGAACTCAGGTCGATCTGAGTTTCATTTCGCCCTCTCCAATGTGAGCACCTCAAGGGCTCAGACCGCAGGCTGAAATGCATTTACTGGAAAACCTAGATTGTGCAACAAACTATAACGGCGACAAGTTTCGGATTATTGGTAAAGCCCGATCGTCGTTCCATCTTGGAATCTATCTACAGAAGCACGGAAAAACCGTTATTGTGTAGAAAATTGAGTTATTTTTCACATTAGGACTCCATTTGTAACATTCTCTATAGACAAGCGGCACTGATTGGGCAACCTCAACAGTCATGTGCTTGCGTTTCTGATTGGCTTTTTTCGATCCACAACTGGGTATATATATTTCCTAGCGTTAAGTTTTCGATCTTTGTTCTGACGTTTAAAACTCTTGAGAGTGTCAGACGAAAAGCTTTAGTTTACTCAAATGTTTGCTTTTTCCAAAGCCATTTTCAAGTTTTGTACCACCAAAAGATTGTCAGCAAAAGCTGCTTTAACTTTCTCCAAGCATTTATCTCTTGGTTTCTGGTTGTGTTTAATGGTTGTATTTTCATTGCAGTTTGGTCTGCTCTATCGTGCATTGTTTTCTAGCTTTGATATGATGATATCTTGCAATTATTATCAATGGCTATGATGAGAGTTCTCCAATGGTTGTCTAAACATTTTGGTCTGCTTTTTTGTGTATCGTTTTATTTTCTAGCTTTGATATGATGATATCTTGCAAATATTATCAATGGCTATGAGAGTTCTCCAATGGTTGTCTTAACAATTTGGTCTGCTTTATTGTGTATCGTTTTATTTTCTAGCTTTGATATGATGATATCTTGCAAATATTATCAATGGCTATGAGAGTTCTCCAATGGTTGTCTTAACAGTTTGGTCTGCTTTATTGTGTATCGTTTTATTTTCTAGCTTTGATATGATGATATCTTGCAAATATTATCAATGGCTATGAGGGTTCTCCAATGGTTGTCTTAACAGTTTGGTCTGCTTTATTGTGTATCGTTTTATTTTCTAGCTTTGATATGATGATATCTTGCAAATATTATCAATGGCTATGAGAGTTCTCCAATGGTTGTCTTAACAGTTTGGTCTGCTTTATTGTGCATTGTTTTCTAGCTTTGATATGATGATATCTTGCAAATATTATCAATGGCTATGAGAGTTCTCTAATGGTTGTCTTAACAGTTTGGTCTTCTCTATCGTGCATTGTTTTCTAGCTTTGATATGATGATATCTTGCAAATATTATCAATGGTTATCGGTTAGTCTGTTTTATGGTGTATTGTTTTGTTTTATAGTTTTTATATGATGATAACTTGAATATATAGTTTGGTTTGTTTAAGTATTGGCTGTTTTATTAGGATCCGAGAAAATATGGGCGTGGTCATAAGAAACCACGCATTTCCTTATGCAATTGAGTATTGCAAGATATCATCATATGAGCCCCCTGTTAATTTGGTTAGAAATCACCCTTTGCCTTTTCGAAAGATTGCAACATTAATTATTTTGTAGTGTCGCATAAATGACAGTAGACAGAAACATTTCTTTGGACAGTAGGCAGAAACAACGATACTGAACAATTTAATAACTACATCGGGGTGTGTAAGGATCCTTATTTCTTGCCATTGAAGGAGGCCTAGGTACTAGTCGAAGCAGTAGCGGCGACACGTCCCCCCAGTTCTCGGCAGGATCAACTTTGTATTTCGTCTGCATTTGATAAGAAAATTTCGGGCGAGGGGTAATATTTTGGCAACATACTGTTTGTGATGAAATCCTATGATTTTCAAACTGCCTTTCCATAGCCAAAAAGTAGTTATAAGCCTTCCCTTGATGTAAATTTGGCGTTTTTTGTTGGTAAAAAGGGCGTGGCCTAAATTGTTATGTTTTGTCCCCCCTCCAGAGTGTAGTGGCTGGCGCCGCCATTGAGTCGAAGTCAGTCGTCTCGATTCGCAGGATTAATTTAATTTCACGCTGAAGACCAACATGGAGGACGAGATGCTAGTGCTCTTGCATTGATGACGAGGGACTCCTTCTTCTTCACGAGGCCAACCTAGAGGCGTTAGAGGGAGATGAGAGCGAGGTGGAACCTGTCTATTCTGTTGTGGAACTTACTGAACGGAACATCCAAACCGAGGCTGCCTACATTCACATGCCGGAGAAGAAAATGGCGACTTCTCGTATTTTGATTTACGGCGGCAAAGGTGCCCTTGGCGCCAACTGCGTCAGTTTTTTCAAAAGCAAGAATTGGGTATGGAGTGAATATGTAAATTTTTTTTCTTGTCCCAGCTTTGGTAATTGTAGAAGGGGGCAATGACCTTTGGATCCAAAAAAGCCCATCAACATATCAAATAACATTATTGATGGTTTCTATTGGTTATTGGGAAGAGGAGGGGGAGGCAAAAGATTTAACTAGTTAACTGGAACAAACGCCTCCCTTCCCATATTCATCAATGGCAGGGTATGCTTTCGTTCAGAAAACTCGGTTTGGTCACGTTGGCACACATTAGCCTATATTTCAGACCTGTCAAGTTTCAGTTTTGAAAATAAGTGAGACTTTTTAAAAGAAAAGGGAAAATGTTTGGTCCAGAACGAATTCCGACTGCCACATAACCAAAAGTAGGGTCAAGGGGCGTAGACCCAGAAACTTTTCTTTTACCACGTCCTCTTGTTCTTGGGAAAGGCCTTTTTTGAGCAGGCACCGCGCAGCAGCAGGTGGGGGATTGAGAGGACTTTGTTTTACGCCATTCTATTAAGTTTTTTTGAAAAAAAAATTTATAACAGTACATAACCATGAAATAATTTAATCTGGTGCATGTTTTGTGCACAAATGATTGCAAAAGTGCACATCATTGTTGACCAGGAATGCAGAGGAGGAATGCAGGGGTACAAGCAAACGGACCATCATAGTGTAACTGCAACACCAAATATCATTCTCAAAAAAAAATTACTCTCCTCTGACAGCCCTGATTGCAATTTGCTAAATTTAAACTCTAACGCTCTAACTTAAAGGGCCTCTCCAGCCAAAAAAAAATTCCAATTAGTTTAGATTGTTTTTGCAAAATTCCAATTAGTTTAGAAGTTATAAGGCTTCAAAGTTGCACCTTTCCGAGAAAAAAATGACAAAAGTTGAATCAGTTTTTTGACATTCTGATGTCACAATGTGCGGCTCTTGTTTGCCATGAATTTTGTATATCTTCTACCGAATTGTGAAGGAGTCATAGTCACACTTTGATAACGGCATCTAAATCTAGAGCAGAAGCTTTTTAGGATCGAAAAATATTAAATGTTTCCAATCATTCTAAGTTTGCGGGTCGGAATGTGTCCATGCTGTGTCACAACTTTGTTTTGATCACCTGTGTAGGCCCACAAAGCTACGACTTCCTGTTCCAGCTCTTCCCTCGCGTATAATTAATCAAAGTTGACACTTCAGTTGTTCTCCAGAAACGATGAACAACTAAAGGCTTCAAAATTGATATCTGAAATGGTCAAACTAAAAGCGGGTGGAACAGAACTGAGAGTACCATCACTTGCAGCATTCAATTTCGAATCGCCGTCGTTCGATTCAGTTTGAGGCGAGACTAACGAAATACACTGTGACATCAAAAGTGCGTCACAGTGTCATTGTCTGTTAATTCAATTCAATTATCAAAATGCAAGAGCTTATATCTCACAAACTGTAAAAACTATCGAAAAACAAATAACGAATTCTCGATCAGCAGGTTCAACTCCTTAAGATTAGCCAATAAAATGCGAGTGCAAAATTTGGCTGGAGAGGCTATTGAAGGATATTAGAGGATATTATGCTCCTCGTTTACATTTCCAGTCAATTCACAATTGTCATAGTTGCGAAAAAGCTAACCTGCTATTTGTGTAGGCTTGCAAAAAAATGTAACATCACTTAACCTGTATGTTGGCAATTGCCCCCCCTGCTGATCAAATATCAGGGGCACCAAAACAAACATTCACTTTATAAGAAGGCGCCCTTGCCAAATAGCTAGCAGGGTTCTTTTATATGAATCTTCCTCGCTTGCTACTAGCAATACTAAATGATAAGGCAAAAAGAACAAGAATCACCTTGTAACACGCCACCTTTTCTTTCTTACTATTTTTGATGCACTTAACAATGATCATCAAACACCATCTCAAGATCGCATGCTAAATCTAAATGACTTTTGCACAAAGTAGACACCAGGGGCATATAGAGGTAGGAGGTGTTTTTGAGGAACCCACCGATAATGTTGGGCTTGGCAGTAACTGTTCAGATTAGATTAGATGTTCAGATTAGGCTCCATTTCATGAAATTATTGGGAGGATGCAAGACATTTTGATTTACTGAAATAATAAGAAGTGCTAGGAATAAAAAGCTGAGATATTATGTCCCAATCCAAAGAAAATTGCATGCATAAGCTCAAAAATTTAACATTGACAGAAGAAAATAGATTGAAACCATCAAAAAGCTTTCAGCCTGATTGAGAAAGATTTTGAGATTTAAGAGAAAGCTTGCGTTATTAAAAATTGCTTCAAAAAGTGTGTTTTCCAGCAAACTAGAAGCATCTAAATTCAGAGGTTTTCTGTTCCTTCGGCACCAACCATTCTGGCATCTTAGACAGTTTAGTTATATCTCGGGTTTGTTCTGATATATAGATTTCAAGCAGAAGTGTAGAGCCAAAAAATGTAGAATGTAGAAAGGGGACCATAGTGCTTTCACAATACAAAATGAATGTTTCAGTTGTTTTTGTGTGCATGGCTCCTCAATATCAACTTCTTCACCTTCCCACTTTTTCTAGGGTCAAATCATTTTCCAATGTCAACCTGTTACTTCTTAAAAAATCTTAAAAATAGCAAGATTTTAAAAAAACTTGAAGTAGTAAAATGTTGCCAATGTTTATTGAGATTTCAGTTATCAAGAGGGCTATTGAGGTCACACATGAACACAAATGTCAAAAAGTAATATCGGTTCAATCAAAGATTTGATCCTGGCAGACATTAGCCTTGATATTTTACAATTACCCAGAAAAAATATCACGGTAATTTCTGGACGGAACAGTGGAATTTGACAAATTTGCTGGATGCAGATTTTCCAGAAAATGATGCACGGGATACAAAATTTTTAAGTTTTAAGGTTGTCCTGTAAAAACATCTTTGAACAAAGTTCCTATCAACAATTTCAAGGTGCAGAATTTTTGCTAAAAATGGAGGGAATGGTGGATTTCTACCGCCTTTATGGCCCCCACTTTGGTAGCACTCGCATTCTAAAAAGGGTTCAGCTAAAAGGCCTTGAGGGAAATCCTTGAAAAGGCAGAGAGAAGATGTGAATTTAATTATAGTGACAACAATAATAGTGTCATTTGTTGCTAACTTTTCTCTTGCTCTACCCTTCTCTTTGCAGAGGAATAGCCAGCATCAATAATTTGACAAAGGGGGATGGTGAGGGCTAGGGTGATCGCCAGCGTGAAACAAAAAGGCTGGTGGTGTTGGACCTGCCTATGGTGTTGGACCTATACAGAAAATTGTGTAACTCTGTGTTTAAATTAAGATGTTGGTGAAGTAATATGCATTTTTAAAATTTCTTTGATGCAGCCTGTCAGGTTTGTAATGTTTCGTGGTAAATCGTGAAATTCTAAAATGTACTGCAGAATCTGGTAATCAATAAGAACATATGGTGCTGGATGTACATTTTCAAGTGTCAGACATACATTTTGTGAATTAAAATGCCTGAAATCCTTTACCCTTAAATGGATGAAAATTTGAACTGTCCGGAGTAAATTATAATACTGCTTCAAATTCTATTGCTCCCTGAAGTTATCTGATTTTCCAGTCTTTAATTTGACACAGCTTAGAAAATTATGTGGTGCTCTTATTTTACAAAGAGTTTAAGGTGCACAAAAAATGCCTCTCACCCAAATAATGACATACTCATGTTCTTAGTTAGGAAGCCAGCAAATTAGAATTGAATGCTTGAGTCAGGACAACGATCTGTAGAATGTATAAGTTTTTGGGTATGCTCAGGATAAATGAAAAATAGGAACAAGCAATGTGTTGTTAAACAGCTTTCATTATAATCAAAGCTAATTTCACACAGTAATCTCCAGATGTGTTCTTTAGGTAAGCTTGAAAAAGATTTAATATATTTTTTTCTTTGATTGAGACTGCCCCAAGAGTTCCATAAAACTCTGGCTGTCTTCTCAAAACAAAACACAAAACAAAAAAATTTAAGTCTTCATTGATGTAAGCTTGAGTAAATTTTACGTTTCATGACCCACAACTCTGTTGTCTAGAAGGTCCAGGTATGCCATTGATTTCTTGCTTTGATGTATTTATTGTTGCTTGATAAACCTTTCAATATATACTCCTCTGTGTATCATGCACATGTAAGTAACATCTTAATCATTTTCATGCTCTGTTTGTTTTCAGTGGGTTTTGTCAGTGGACCTGGCACCAAATGAGGATGCTGATGCTAATGTTGTAGTAACAGAGCTGGTTGACTGGGTCAAGCAGAGTGAAATGGTACACCAAAGGGTGGATGAGCTGATGGCTGGAAACAAATTAGATGCATTATTCTGTGTTGCTGGAGGATGGGCAGGTGGCAATGCAAAGAGCAAAAGTGAGCCATTAAAGCCATTTAACATTCTCCTCAATAATAGAATATTAATATTATAAACATTTTCCCAATACCAACATTAAATGTTTCCATGTCTAAAATTCTGGTATTAAGTCCAGATAGCTTTATTTACAAGCTGGTATTGGTGGAGGATCCTAGAAATAATTTAAATAGGTTTAGCTTCTGCACCTGAATATGGAATTCAGCGAACAATTGAATGAAAAGGAATTTGTAGAGTACACATTTTCTTTGAACGCAAGTTTTTACAGTTCTTAGTCTTAAAAATTGTTATAGTTTGAAAATAGTTTAAAATAACTAAAAAAGAGTACAGTCATCATCACTTTTTTCTTCGTCAGAGCTTTCTTCAGTTTCCTCCTCTTTCTAGAGCTTAGGTTTCTTTGATATACTGGTGCCATTATCAAGCTTAAGCTTTCTGTTCTTCGAAAGATAGAGGTCCGTGACCTCGACTTGGACAATTTGTGCATGTGTGGAGGCGTGCGGGTGTGACCACATGCCTAATATTACAAAGACTGATATAACTTCTCTCATTCTTTGTTCTCATGTGCTCTTTTCTCGTGCTCTTTAAATATTCTGTTTAAAGTGAATGACTGACATAACTGCTATCAATGATTGGAAATTTGCAATGTTTGTTATGCTTTTTTAGAATTGTCATGGATGCTAAAATTAATCTGTCGTCGAAAGTCATCAATTTTTATCAGCAGAGCAAACATCATAGCAAAAGCTACAAACGCAAAAACTAACCAGTGCCTCAAATGACAACAACACAACACATGTTTGCCTCCATAACACGCATCAACACACTCTTTTTGGTACTGTCTAAAAATTTGGCCGGCCAAGATTGAAGAAGGATGCTTCCCTAGATGCATTCCCTAGAATATTTGCACACCTGTCCAAATATCAAGGGTCAAGTGCCCAATCAAAGCTTTAAAAGTTTAAGATAAAGATGCAAGATGGCTGAAATTTCTGGGGTTCAAAACGTAACCAATAACAACAAACTTTTATTTTTGTAGGTTTTCTTAAAAGTGCTGATTTGATGTGGAAGCAAAGTGTTTGGACCTCATCAATATCAGCAAGCATTGCAGCACATCACCTTAAAGAGTGAGCATAGTATATTTTGTATACACTTTAAAAAGAGCATATGATGTAACTGCCCAAATAAGTTAGCCCCTACGTAATTTTTGCATGTTTTTGGTAAATTTTATTTTAATTGTACAACAAATTCAGATTTTTTTAACAGAATTCAGGACCTGTACACATGAACTGTTTTTACTGATTCAGTTTCATCTTTCTTCTTTTGTCATGATGTAGAGGAGGAGTCTTAACGTTGCCTGGTGCTAAACCTGCTACTGGAGGAACATCAGGTAAGTTTTCCAAAAAAAAAATCAATCTTTTGTAGTGACAATATTTTTGCCAAAGGCACAAACTCAACCCAACAACTCCTTTTTCCTCCCTAGATCTTGTAAACTTTGGAATGCTCTACTCCTTTCTTTTTCCCAGACTCTTACAACCTGTCTTTATTATAAACAAAAATAAATAAGCTTTATCTTTCCTGTCTCTTTTCCTAATTGCACCTCCCTTTCCCTTGTTAGGGCTTAGCTATAGACAGCTGAGCCTTTCCTTAACATCAACAACAATAAAAAAGGCAATCTATTTTCAGTTAGATATTGTTATGTTTTGTTAAATATTGTACAAGTTAAATATTAAATGTTATATTTGCTTATTGTTTTGAAATTAAAGAAAATTTTCTTCAATCTCTCCCTGACAAAAAAGCATTCTTTTTTCAAGATACAATAACAAGGGTCCTTTTCATTTGTTTTGTAACTTCATTACAGGAATGATTGGATATGGAATGGCAAAAGCTGCTATTCACCAGTTAACAAAGAGCCTTGCAGATGAGAGCTCTGGCCTTCCTGCAGGCACAGTGGTGGCTACAATCTTACCGTAAGTAACACACGATCTGTTTACTAAAGTTAAAGTGCTTTCTTTATATCTGTAGCAGTGATCTTATTTGTTTGCCCTTTATCAATAGAATTACTATTGCTACTTACCTCCTAAAAAGGGCCAATGAAGGTATTTCTGGCATCAGTGACCATGGCTCAACAACCTTTCTATTCAAATCGATATCCAGATAAAAATTATAAAAAAATACTATATATTTTTCCAACAAAAAGCCTAAAATCACTAATTTCTGGAATGTTGCCTTTCATAATTTCAGGAAAAAGAGTTAAACAATTAAGATCATTCAAAAAAGATTTCCTTTCCTGGAACTGAAATTAAGTGATGAAATTCAGATCAAAACAAAGTGAGAAGCAAGTGTCACATGCCACAGTTTATATGTTATTTATTTACTCATCTATCAAACACCAAATAGCAAGCAGAACAACGCTGTAAAAACTGATAGTGCTACTTATCAATAACACAGAGACAGAATGCGTGATGAATGGCATCAAGTTGAGGGTTTCCCATATCTTGAATAAATAGTAGAGTGGGAATGCATGGAAATCTTTGTTAAAAATCAAGAAGAAAAACATCAAGATAAAGCTCTCAAAAACAATAGCCAAAGCTGCACTTCTGCATGTTGTAGAAGTGGCAGCAGCAGCAATGGCAGCAGCAATGGCAGCAGCAATTGCAGCAACAACGGCAGCAGCAGCCATTTAATTTTACTGCAAAGAACCAACCTCAACTTTACATTGGTGTCTGTCAGCTTTTTAACTGGGCCCAAAATAACCAGTTTTTGACCTTCATTTAAGATCCTGTTTTCAGAGATCAAGTAAACAACTTGCAAAGGCTGAACAAAGCGCTTTTGTTTCATGGAATGTGCAAATTAAGAAAGACATGTTTTCTTTCAAATGGAATATGCTTGATTTTCTCGCTATTTATAATATGTGATTTATAATGGATACAGTAATTTAAAATATTATTTTGGTAGAGCTTTTACCTAACTTTATCAGAATATCCATGTGAAGGAAACATTTTCTTGGTGACTGAAACTTTAGCTATGTTGAATTATTGTGATTTGCTTGTTATTACAGAATAACACTTGATACACCCATGAATAGAAAGGGCATGCCGAATGCAGACTTTTCCTCCTGGACACCACTGGAATACATATCAAAGTAAGCAACAGGCAATATTTTTGACATATCCACCTTGAAAGATTACTCTTGTATAATTGCAGAAAAATTCTTAGATTTTATTCCTAAATTGAAAATCAGTACAAATTAGGCTGAAAAAGGACTCCACCTGGCAAACTAGTCCATTTGGATGGTATTGTCAAAAATATTTTAATTACTAAGTGCAAAGTAGAACTTTTCGAAGATTTTGCTCAATAGGCTTTCCATTTAAAACATGCTGCATTGATCTATAAATATTTGAATTTATTTAATTTATTTATGTCTAACCACTAAATAGTCAACTGGATTCAATAGCTATGGCGTTTTTGCTTCAGTGTTATGCTTGGTAAGTAGCAGGTCCTGTAAATGCGCACTGAAGTTGCCATCAGAAAGTTTTGGATTTCAACATTAGATTGTCTATTCATGTAGGTGCTTTGAAATGTTGATGCACCCAGATAAGATGTACAAAATGATTTCCCAAGAAAAAAGATTGTTTCTCACTTTTTCACTTCAATCACTTTGAAGGTTAGATCAGGACAGTGAGTTGTTGCAAAAACAAAATCAAGTGCTTCATTTTATCTATTGGTTTGTCTCAATATTCATCAGGGTAAAACTTAGCAACTTGTTGGCTATTCTGAAACAAGGGAAACCTGCCTCATTTTTCTTCATTAAAACAACCTGTCTGGCTGCACACTTGTATATTGTGAATATTTTCTTCTTTGTAGTTTGTTTTATAATTGGACTCAAGGAGTTGAAGTGCCAAAAAGTGGAAGTCTGGTTACCTTGGTTACCAAGGATGGAAATACAACCACATCATGCAGCTTGTAACTGGAAAATTGAATTATTTCATACCCTAGAACCCACCAGTAAAAATCAGATAGAAATAGTACTTTGAATGAATTTTCATTTTTCACATGAGAAGTTTTTAAAGAAGGCAGTCTTTTGCTTTACTTGATCTTTATGTGATATTGGCAAGCAGTTAAACTTAGAACAACATTAACAATTAAAATCCAGAATACTTATAAAACCTTAATGAAATTTTTAGCACTAATCTAATGTATGCTATCTAAAATGTTTATATTTTATTTAGATTAGATTTGTTCAGTTGTTTGTATATCTAATAAACAAAGAAACAGGACAGAGCAGCTATTTGAAATCAACCTAAGTACAGCAATGCTTTACAAAGAAATCAGAAAGCGCTGCTTTTTAAACTTTAGTCCTCACAAACCTTCTTAGGTAATGTAATGCTCGCCCTAAAAGGATCTCTTTATAAAAAAAAATATGATTCGTATTTGAAAATACTTAAACATCATAACATTGGTACTGTTATAAAATAATTCTTTCTAAAAACTCACAACTTTTTGAAGGTTGAGCCGTTAGTTAAGTTTTGTAGCCTTGCAGATGCACTTAATGTTCTTGTCCTATTGGGAGGATTTCTTTGTACAACAGGCTTCACGTCTGTAGGTATTGTGTGACCTGTGTTTCGACTTGAAGGGCACCATGCTCTGAAGAAGAAAGTTTGTAGCATGCTTTTAAACAAAGTAAAGAGTGAGATTTTATAAAGCAAGAAAAGCAGTAATTGTGCACAAGATGTTTCAGGGGTTGAAATGGACACCAATCAATTTAACAACAGAAAGCACAAAGCTCCAATTTTTTAAGATAGCTTTCAACCAATTAAGCAGGCACTTTCCATTGAGATTTTCATCAAACTGCCAACTTTTTGTATTGCTTTCATGTAAGACAAAATCATCTCAGTTGACACAATGCAATATCACTTGCTTACCTTTATAATCCGCTGAGTTGACTAACAAATAGGTGTGAATGCCAAGTACAGTTTTTCTTGATTGGTCAATACTAGCTGTTTCGTGAAAACTTCCAGAACAAGATCCATTGTGTAATCAGGTGCTAAACTATATTACACCTTTTGCTGGCAAGACCAAGCATCTACACTAGCTAAACAAGTTTTAAGACTTTTGATAAAACTCAGCAAAGTTGTTAATTTAATCACTCTCGAACTTGCTACACTACCACGACACCAGAATGAATAAAATCTTCGTGTGGGGCCTTTTATGTCATTGATGCAGGCATTTTATGCCATTGATGCAGGCCTTGTAGTTCATACAATTGAAAAATCGTTCATATGATTGGTTTCTCTCGCATTGCATTAGGCAACATCCTGCCTTTTATAGAAAAGATTTGTTGAAACGTTTATGCAATGCACTTGGTACAATTTCTCTCATTACTCAAGATGTATCTTCGTATGTCTCTTAAATCTAAACGACAAAGGATAATTAAAAACTGTCATACCTTTGTATAAGTTTTGTTTCTTCCCTGGGGCTTTCGACTTTCTTTTCCTTCCATGTCTCAAACATTTTTTCAGCAGCTCTTTTCTTTTCTCTTATCTCGATTGCTTTTAGTTTTTCTTCCTTCTCTTTTTCTTTCATCTCTTTTGCTTTTTCTTTTAGTGCTTCATCTTTTTTTGCTTTCCTTCGTAAACAAAATGGTAAAACAAATGTTAAAACATAAAACAGTGGTAACTTTACCCAAAAGACATTACGCGCCAGAGAAATTCAGACAAAACTCGTTTCTTCCTCAGTACGAATGCAACGGATATGCATGTAATATAATCGTGAAATGTAACAACTGCACACTTCAGGAAATGATATAATCGAATTAGGGACACATGGAACAAACTCTTCATGATTTAGCAAATGGGAGGTGGTTTTTTACATGTGCCCCCTCCAACCCAACTGAAGACTGATCATTACCAGTTTTCGTAAACTTTTTTCGAGCTATCCCTTTTTTCATACTTTTCTTCTACTTCTTTCTTTCTTTTTTCTCTTACTTCTTCTTTTTTCTTTCGATGTTTTTCAATCAGTTCCTCATCCTTTTGCTTTTTCCAAGATTCAAAGTATTTTTTCGCGTCTAATTTCTTCTGCTGAGTTTCATCCGTCTTTTCCTTCTCTTTGATTTTCTGTTCTTTCAAAGACGACTGTTTCGTTTTTAGTGTTTCTTCTTTGTTACTTTTCCAAGCTTCGAAAGCTTTTTGTGACTAAGAAAGAAAAGAAAAGAATTGCAATGCTGTCAAATGTTTTGAGTTCTAATTTGCGTTTCACAGCTATTAAAATGCAATAAATAAGTAAAAACCCTAGCAAAAATGTTTTGAAAGAAGGAGAGAACACAGACATCTTCTTTTATCTCTCCATAAAACTAAAGGATTTTTGATACAGGAAATTTTTTGAAATTGCATTTTCCACAAAAAGCAGCCACAAAGCTGAACATGTCCGGAAACAGAATTTTAAGGGGCTGGCAAAAATCTTATAAGTCAAGACCATGGCCATAAAATATTGTACCATTATTATTTCAAGACCTGGATAGCCATGCTGAGTCTTCAATATTTTGAATTTAGGTGGAGTGTGGTAAAAGGGGCTGTATCACAGTTTTGCAAATAAACCAAAATAACGAGATATTGTGCGTTTTCAACCTAATTTGCACACTGGGCTAATAGCGGGAGGTGTTCTGCTGCTTAGATAAACCTGATAAACTCAATAAGTTGTGTATTAACTGCAAAACTGAAAATCGAATGGATAATAACTATGATTTTGTTATGGTACTGAGATTCGATACGAAATGTGTACAGCAATTGGCCTAAGCCAGGAAATGAAACTGGAAATGAAGGGAAACAGTTTCCGTTTATCTTGGTGAGTTTCAATTGAATGGGGAATCTTGCATCATAATGATAACTCCAAACTGTCTTGCAAACGTGAGGGAATGCTTCTGCTCATAACAAAGATAGACGTTTTTTGACGTGACTTTTGCTAGACTTGTCCTGCAATTCGTGGTACCTTCATAAGTGGTCTGATAAATCATGATGATTCAATGGAATTTTAACAGAGTTTTTTCTAATTTCGAGGGTGTGTTTAGTTAATTCACTTGAGCTGTTATTGTTTGCTAAATACAATTGCCTTTTAGACGTGCTTAATCATATTTTGATGTTGTCGTTTCATATGCAATGCTGAGAGGTATTTTGGTCTCATTAGGGTTTGGTGATGAAGTATAGGGTTAGGTGTGTGGTTTCATAGCACTTGAGTTTCCTTGGTTGAACTTGGGGGAATTTTCGGATTCAGCATAACGTGGGTCTCACTTTTCTTGCGAAGTCTCATTACAAGCCTCTGTTCTACGGCAATCTACCATCACCCTTATTCTGTTTCTACCCTAACCCTACCCCTGAAATTGTGAGTTTCCTACATCGTGAAAGCTTCTTATAACTTTGGACATCTTTTAATCTTTTGAGGTTTGATGCATTTAATTTGGAAAAGTACATCGGCATATAGTGGACAATGGGATCTTTTTTCTTGTCCATTCCCGGCACAAAATTACAATTAAAGATGGGTTTTTGCGTTGCATCTTCCTAGAGGAGATGGATGTTAGCTTGAACGATTCGTGCCAATGCACCAACTGCCCAACACGCTCTCTTGACTGACTCACTAAGGCCTGTGGTATGTTATTTTTATGGAGCAATTTTCGCTCTGCCATTTGTAACATATTTTGTTTTCTTCGGCCTCGCTATCCTTTATTCAAAAAATTGTAGCGATACAACTCTAAGAAATAGCCTTTATTATTTGTTTGCGTTTATAAAAGATACATCAATTGAAAAAAATTTGAGTTGACAACAATAACTTAAAATATTGTTTGTCTACAAAGTGATTTCCTTGTTAAACGCCTCTTCATATATCAAAAGAACTTCCATTCAGGCGTGTTTCCAGACGGAATGTCCCGTTTGATAGAAACCCTTTAACAAGGTCTTCTTGATAGAAATTTTTGCTAAGGTAAAATTATCTAATGACAAATGCTCAAAACGTTTTAGGCCCTGAAAACACTGCCGCGTTTCAAATAAATCTGCATTCTCTAAACCTGTCATCAACACAAACACCATTTCAGATCTGGTATGAATAATCATTATTGACCTGATTCTTTACACTGAAACAAGCGATGATACGACAATTAACGCATTCTCTTTGATAACCGTTTCGTAGAACGACGTCGATTGGAAAATCTGTACGTGTTATTGAAATTGAAAAAATTCTAGTGAGGTCGCACGACCAGGACGATAGAGAAGCTATTTTAAAACTTTGAAAGTAAAACTGATTTAAAGTAATTCATGGGAAAAATCATACCATAATCTCCTTGTCTTTCTTCTCTCGCCCGGCCTCTTCTTCTTTTTCTTTCTCTCTCTTTTTCAGTTCTGCTATCTCAGCCTTTGTCTTTGATGATTTCTGCTTGAGCCAATCATAATAAATCTGTTCCCTTAAACTGCTAGAGTCTACATACTGGACTTTTCGTGTAGCTTCGCCATCTTCAGTATCTCTGAAGGGTGACTTAGGGTTGATATTGCTTATGTTTGTAAAGGATAGCGATCTTTTTGACATGTTTCTATTGCCAGGGCTCTTCTTTGTTTCCCGTGGAGACAACGCGTTTCCTGCCTTCCGGCTCTTGTTAGGCGCAGAAGAAGTTCCTTCTACAGTTACAGTTGCTCTCATAGGGCTGGGCTTCACTCCATGGCCGTCTGACCGACCTACGACGAATTGCGGTTCAAATCAATGATGACTCATACAAAACCTGAATGCTTGCTTGGCCTTATTAATATTGCTTATAAATTCATTTTCTTAAAATTTAGCTCAATGTGCCCATAGATCATTTTGATGATGTACATAAGTTGGCGATCAGACGGCAAACGTTTGTTCAAGATAGTGTAGAAGCTGGGTACACTAATATGGTTAGGTTCTACCTCCAAAAAACCTTGTACAAGCTTTGTGGAATCCTACTTTTAACATTAATGAACACCATGGATCACAAAAGCCAATCTCAATTACAAGGGAACCCAGACAGATAAACTGTGAGCTTATTTGTTTAGATACTAAAAAAACACAACAAAAATGAGAAATTTCATTGCAGAAAAAAATAATAAGCCTAAAAACCATTTCTGTCGACAACAGATAAGAAAATTTTTTACCGAAATCCACATTATCCTTAGAGCTTTTACGACCTTGCTCAAAAAAATTTCATGCATTCCTCTGTGAATATTTGAAGGCATGTAGGTACTTTTCCTTTCCTCACTTCCACATTTAATGAAAAACACAATGTGCAATGTTACGGTAAAAGGTCAACAAACTAAAAACTAGGCGAGGCGAACTACGGGTTAGACGCAGTGCTTCCTTTCCATATCGTTCTTTCGCACTTTTGGTTATTTTTCACCTAAATACTTTATAAACTTCAGTTGCAAATCCATAAGGAGTAAAAGAAAAATTTATTTGCAAAAGGGATATCGAGGAACAGAACATACCTTTGATCTTCAACTTAAAGGATTCTTTGTCGCTACTTGAAAACTGTTTTGATGACATCTTCACGCCGTTGGTTAACGCATTTCTATCCTCTCTGCTTCCTTCCACTCTCGACTCACGCTCTCGTTTTTCAGACAACGGTGTCTTTTTGGAAGCATCAGGAACAAGCGAGTGTCTAATGCCAGGAGTACTGGTCAGACCACCACTTGACTGCTCACTTTGATGATTTCTTTTTGCGCTGCCAGACATTTTAATGCCAATAGAATCATCCTCTTCATCAGAGTCTATTAAAAGCTGCTTTTTATCAGGTAAAGACCGTAAAGATCCAATCCTTTTCAATCTGAATTCATCTCCATGAGCACCATAGCTAGAGTTTCTCGCTTCCGACTTTGAGCGGGGCCTGCCTTCGTTTGACAAACCATTATCGAAAGAGCTCGTTCTCTTATGACGTCTTATGTCTGTATCTATTCGGTCTTTACTTTGCTTTTCTGTTTGCTCTGAAGGACCTTGTTGATCAAACATGTGATTTTCTATCTTTTTTTCCTTGAATTCGCTCTTTCGAGATTTCGGATTCCTAGTTGCATTAATATTTTGTTTCCCCGCTGATTTTGGTCTTTCTCTACCACCATTTTGTATTATTTCTGAGTTTGAAATGGTCTCATTAGTCGGTGATGATTTCCCTGAACTGGTACGAGATCTAGAACTTTCAATGTCATAGGCTGTAGCAGCTTCTTGGTCTTCTTTCAAGGTCCTTCTGCTAGGACTTGAGAAAAGAGCATCAAGTGGCGATGCTCTACCGGATCGAGACTTTTCAAAACCCTGCTCCATCCTGCGCGGTACAGGCTTTTTTGTAGACTCTAATTCACTTGATGGTGTGGTTCTACCTGAACCACTGCGAGACCTTTGTTTCTCGGAACTTAGATGTGCAGTTTCTTGCCCCCTTTTAGATCCTGAACGAGATCTAAGCCCGCTTGTCTCCGTCTCAGAACAAACTTTTTCAACAGAAAAATCGTCTATTTTAGCGACAGTTTTCTTCTGGTAGTTCATTCGAGTGTTGCCTTCACTTTCCTGTGAAGAATCTGGTTTTCTAGTTGCTCCCCGGCCAAATATATCATCTATTTCATTCTTAGTTCTGGGGGAAGGCTCTACGTGACTATTAGTGCTTCTAAGATGCTGCGATTTACTTTCGAAGTTTGTTCCTTCTTCCAAAGCTCGTCTTTCATCACGGTTGGTACTTACTTCCCTTTCTTCAATGGAACCTCCTCCTTGCATCTTTGTGGACTTGCGTCTTTGAGATAGAGACTCTTCCTCTGTTAAATGAGCTTTCAGCAACCCTGCAAAAAAGATGTCACTACAATAAAAATATTCCGTCCTTTGCGCAATATCAACATACTTTGCAAAAAAATAGTTTTTGAATGAGATTGTATGACAAAAAGTTATTTGGCGAACTGGTGGACTATGTTAAACACGAAGAGTTTGAGGTAGCAATAGCCAATGTTCTGTGTTAGCAAAAACATTGAAACAAGAAATGTACATTATGATTTGCGAACTAAAAATAATCTTTGCATTCCAAAAGCCAGGACAACTTCTTATGGTATAGAAACTGTGAGATATTTAGGTCAAAAACTGTGGCAAACACTACCTCACAGTATAAGAGAGTCCCAATCATTGGCAACATTTAAAAAAGAATTAAGAGCACGCCCTATAGAATGCGACTGTAGATTGTGTAAAAAATTTATTGCTGGGTTAGGTTTTATTTAGAACATTATACCTTAAACCTTTTTAATATTGTATCATATATTTTTATTTCATACTAACTCTTTATAGATAGTTGGCCTTAATTAGCTTCTTTATAGCTATCAGCCGTTCATTTAATACGCCAACTTTAAACAAATTATTTATTATTATTATTATTATTATTATTATTGACCTAAAAGATAAATATTTAAAAATGACTGTTATTCTATCGATTTTCCTGAAGCGTTTGATGGAAATTTTTAGTCAAACGGAATCGTTTACTGAAAGAAAGAATTTGTTTCAAGGAGTCTAAAACCATATGCACATCGAGTGAATCTCTAACCATAATACAAGGGGTTTTCTTGAGTCTTCAAAAAATCACCTTCTGAAGATTCTAATGTATCATATTGATGAATAGATAAATAAGTTTAATAACATTATGACTAAAGATAGGGAAGGTACTATTATCTGACTCATGGACAAATGCAAGCAGCTTTGACTCAAACAAACCATACAATTTGAGAATATCAAAATCTTAGAAAATGATGAAGAGATGTAAGAATCTGGAAAGCAATATTTCGAGAAAATTTGGTTTTGGTATATTTTTATAAACAAGACCCTATACAACGATTCTGTATTGAAAAGAAAAGGAGCAAAAATTTTTGCAGTCGCTTACAAAGGGCAAAGGGAGACACTGAACAGTGATGCCGCCAATCAATCATGCAATACTTTGTTCACAATCCAGTCAATCACGAAAAACACGTTAGTCATCGACTGTGGTGGGATGAACTGGAAGCTTGATTCGCTAACTTTTTTATGCAAAATGTATGTAGTTATGTGAGTAAACTTCAAATAATGTCAGTGTTACAAAGAAATGATCCAATATTTTAAGTAATCATATCTAAAAAATGGCACTTATGCTGCATGCTGGTTTTTAATAATTGATCTTCATGACCTACAAAATAGGAGGGAATTGGCTGGTCCACCTAGAAATTTTGCATATTTTCATAATTAACTGCACGGCGTCAAAAAAACAATATCTCATTTAAATTGCCTTAAAGCAAAATATCTTCCAGTTTTGTTAAATTTTCAAAATAAGACATTGAGAATACAACTAAAGTTAGTTGCAAAATATGGCTTAATAACCCAGCAACAAAAAACATCCATGGTAATGGACAGAGCAGTATGGAGAAGATTTGCAGTTACAGGAACAAGATCAGGAGATGACATAATAAGAGCCCACAAGGATAGTCCTGCAAATGTCAGAAGTTTCATTGCTAAAGTGCATATTTTCTGGATAGGTATGGGCTTTAAATACTATAAACAGAAATGACTTGCTTCAAGGAATGCAAATCTTCCTTAAATGATGATGCAGAATTTCAAGCTTAATGCTCAGCCACAAAAGTTTCCAGAGAAGACATAAAAACAGGCCTTTTTGTGAAGAAATTTTCCCAAGGGCAGCAAACTGCTTTTGTGGATCAGCTTACAAAGGTGATTACCTGTCCAACCCTATCTGTTGAACAGAGTCCTTAAGGACCTGAGAGAGAATTAGGGTATCAACTACTCCTTATCTTGAAAAAATCGAATGTGGAATGTTCAAAGGTTGGAATGCAGGAATGTGTTTTCTAAAATCTTTATAACTACATGCTAACAAGTAAATTTGAGTTTGGGTTTTTCTTGGATAATTTTATCAAAAAGTTTGACCAGCTAAGTAAAAACATAGGACAAAACTTGAAATCAATAAAAAACATTGTCTAGAATTCTACACATTTGCTGAATGCATATTTTCTTGAAAATGACGCAAGGAATACAGAATTTTAACAAAGTTTAAGGATTTGTGGAGTCCTTCACCTGCTATCTTGCAAAAACATCTTTGAATAAAGCTTTTTTCAACAATTCTAAGGTGAGAATTTTGGCTAAAAATGAACAGAGCGGTGGTTTTCTACCCCCATCAATGGCCCCAACTTTGATAGCACTGGTGTTTCAAGAATACAATCAGCTAAAAGACCTCAATGGAAATCCTTGATGCCGCCGCAAGAAGCTGTTGCTAACTTTTCCCTAAGTGCTTGACTTTTCTCTTGCAGGCAATACATGTTTTTGCAAGGACGTTTAATAGCCTACATCAATAATTTGGGGACAGTGACGGCAATGGGGATCACCCACAAGAAATAAAAAAGCCTGCATAAAAATAATTTTGGGTCTCTCAGGTAATTTGATCAGCAGAACATACTTCAATATTTTTATGACCACTATAGTCACGGCGGGTAATTCTTACGCACAGCAACATGTTGGGTAATTTTTACGCAGGCAGTTTATTGCGTAATTCAATTGTTGTTTCCTACAAAAACTTTTAATTCATCCAAAGCAGTCCTTTCTCTTTCTGTTGACATAAAACTTGGCAGTTGGTTTGCGCGACAGCCTTTGTGAAAGCGATTCGCAGACATGAATCGCAATTTACCTAGGTACAAAGTTATCAACACTACTCATCAATTTTATTGTCCTGGCATCATGCGGACAATAACTAATCCTTTTAAGCATTCAAATTACTCTTTTGTGGCTCACCTTTGACCTATTCAAGTGCTGCTGAGAAATATGCTTCCGTTCCTCGGAAAACACGTGCGTAAATATTACCCGACATTCATTGATTAGGAGGTTAATTTTTACGCACTTTTTATAAAACTGCATCGGGGTTTGAAAAGACGGCGCAACATTTATTTAGTTCCCTATATGAAAAAGAGGAAAGCTAAATGTTTGGTTCCAAATTCCCAAGGCTAACAGAAAAATCCCCAAAAAATAAGCAAAGAAAAGGTTATGTCCAAGCTCTAGTTGACATTCATAGCGGACGATCGACAAGAAGCACTGTGTAAATACGGGATGGCTGAAGGAACACTATATGTTATCATTCTAAAATGGTAGAAAATAATGGACCCCTCAAAGGGGGGTGGGGGAGGGGGCGTCTCCGAAGGGATTCCATCAAATTTTGGATGTAGACGTTTCTGACATCGAGAATATTATTGCGAAATCGCGTGTTCGAAATTTTTATAATATTGACCAAAAGTATGAGTATTCCTCGACTATTTATCCTTAGAATTACCCTCAAAAATAATAAAAATGAAACTCTTTTTAGTGCGATGTTGAAACGCTAAATGTTTTGTCGACATTTCAAACTTTTTGTTGCTCTCAAAAGCAAAATTTTTTCTATAAAATTCTGGCATTTCAGTTTTTATATCACATCCATTCTACATAAATTTCCTACCAGTAGGTCTGTGATGAAGGCTTGTGGACTGTTTGAATTTGTAGGTAGCCACAAAGATTCGTAATAATTCTGTTCTATTCAGAAATTGATGTGCGTAAAATATAGCCGACGACGCGTAAGAATTTGACGGAAGGGTCGGCTAATCTTTACGCAATTAAATTTGATTATATAATTAGTAAGCAGTTTCGATTTCATCACCTATTGTTGTCTGCTAATTAAGTATTGGCTATGAGTTCACCTGGTATATTCAGGTCATCAAATTACTTTGTTATTGTCCGTAAATTTCAAAGTTTATAAAAAATGCGTAAAATTTGCCCTCCATGACTATACATTTCTAACATCTTCATTAGACAAAGGGACAGAATAGAAATTATATGTACATAAGAAATTATTTTTGCCCATGAAGACTTTCCAACTGAAGATAACATAGTCAGATTTCATGAACAAATTTTGATGATTAAAAGAAAAGGTTAAAATCCAGAAAAAACTAAGGCTATACAAATGTGCAAAGCGAAACAAATCAGCCAACAAATGGAAATCTCTAGAAGCTAACAAATGGAGATTGTTGAGTAAGATGCCATGGAAAGACAAGAGTAGGGAGTAGAAAGAATTGCAATCATCCTTAAATCAAGAACAAAAGACACACTCCAGAAAGAACAAGAATGACCTTTGAAAACCAGCATAGGGAAAAAATGGTATAGTTTTATAGTACTGCTTACTTCTGTTAAGACAAATAAAAACATCAATATTATGAATTCCAAAGGAGGTAGAAGAAAAGTAGAAGTTAGTAACAAGTTTCCTGATGATCATGTTGAGCATGAAACTTGTTGTAGCAGCTTTCCTGTTCTACACACCAAAACACTAAAACACACAAACACTCTCCAAAGCTCTGCTGTCTATTGGGAACTGAGCACCTAACTATAGTGAGAAAGATAATGTAAATTGATAAATGTAGAATTACCAAGTTCATTCTCCTTTCCACTTGCTCTTCTGGTTTTTAGGCCAAGACTTTCTTTACTAGCATCGGTATTTTCAGGGGGTTGTGATGCACTAAGGCCCTGTGTATATTGTTTTATTGGTGAATTCCTGATATTCCCTATAACAACTCCATCATCGTCTTCGTCACTTTCGTTGTCGAGGTCATCTTCTTCATGCTCTTCATTATCAACAGAAATGGACGGACTCCATTTTGAATTATCTAAATGTGTTGTGCGTTTATTGTTTACGGTACTGGTGCCAAGAGACATTGTTCTAGAGACCTCTCCATCAAAAGGTGATTCCTCGATTTGATTGTGTTTTCTGTATGGTGATTGTCTATTTCCTAAATATTTCGACATTCTAATGTCAAGTTCTTTCGAGTGTCTTTGAGTGTTAGCCTCTCCATCTGCAAACCCTGTCTCCTTCTTCTGCCTGCGTTTTACTGCATCAAGTAGCTCAAGCTGAAACGGATCCCGGGTTTGTTGTTGAAGGTATTCTATGTTATCTAGTTCTTCTGTGGTGTCAAAGTGACTCATAACAATAAAATATATATTTTGCTTTGAAGTTAGTGCAATGTAATTTTAGGCCATTTCTTTGTTGACAATTCAACGGATTTAAAGTAGATAATATCTTGACAGTAATACAGAGGAATCCTGGTGCTAAGAATAACACATGTGGATTTCAGTCAAAAACAAAGGCCAGTCTCATCTCTCCTGAATTTTTAATGTTCTCATTACGACCACTGTGCTGGTTTGTTTTCCCGCTTGTTCAAAACTGTTGTCTGTTGCCAACGTTCTCTGGTTGAAAAAGAGATCAAGCCAGAGACGCCTCCGCAGAATACGAACATTTCTGTACTCACAGTGAGCACAATTTTTCGAAAATTTTCGCACCCTCTTGAGCTTATTTCAATAGTCAGGGCTGTTAGTCAAATAACTGTGCAAATTGTGATACCAGAATGAAATTTCATAAAAGGGGCAATTCGATACCCTAAAAAGATAGGATATGGACCCCAACCGAAAAATGCCCGCTTTGCCCCAAGCCCCTAACGGCGTTATTACAATATATCTTCTGTAAGTCGGTACAATAGCACGAAACTTTGCAGCAGGGGGCAGTTTGATACGGTACAAAAGATGGGATTTAGAGCTTAGCTGAAATTGCCCTCCTTTTCTATTTTTAGACTGGGTACTTTGTTCCAGACCTGTTTAGACGTTATCATCGTATCTCAGTCGTATTTTGGTACAACAGTATGAAACTTTGTAACAAAGGGCAGTTTGATGCGCTCGAGAGGATAGGATATGAATCTCAACTTGAAATTGCCCCCTTCGGCTTCGGCAATTTTATACTGGGTTTCTTTGCCCAAAGACTCCTGAAGCGACGTTGTTTCGATATCTCTGTTGCTAGTAAATACAATACCAGGAAACTTTGCAGTTGGATACGCTAAAAAATATAGGATAAAGACCTTAACTTTAGAAAGGCCCCTTGTTCTATTCTTAGACTGGGATACTTTGGGACCTTAATATACAGTAATATCGTATTTCAGTCGTACTTTGGTACAACAGTGTGAAACTTAGAGGCAAGAGACAGTTTTGTATGGAATCCAGCTAAAAGCTATCTGGTTGCACAATATTTAGAGACAAATTTTATAAAGCTACAAAGTAAACAGAATGAATGTTTTTTGGTAATAACACACATATATCACCATACCAAAACTAGACATCAAAACACTGGCATGAGCATTGGCAAATTTCAGTACACTGCAGAATAAACTGCTTGCATTTGAACCTTCTCTTGTGATTGTTCCTACAGTTGCGATTAACTAACTTCCGAAAAGCTTTCAGTGGTTCAGACAAGGTTATCCACGATGGCTACACAGCTCTGTTATCTTGAACCCGTTCGAGTTCATTTATACCGAGTATATTCTGCCATGCTACTAGCATCTGTCCCCGTCTCATTTTACAGAGCAGAGCGTAAAAATTCAACAGATCACAAAGAAAACTAACCTTACCCTATAAGATGCAAGCTGGAAGGCATGTCCTGTCGTTTGACTGTGACGTTGACATTAGCAGGCCGCTTTGACGCATTCCCATGAACAGGAATCCACCGTTAATTGTTTCTTGCTCCAAGCTCTATCAACAACTTTTGAACACTTAACCTTTGAAATAAAGATACAGCAAGAGCTACCATATGGGCATCTACAGTTCGAATCGTGATGTCCTGCACCTGTTGCATTGTTACGTGAAGAAACATGTCATTTCTGTATCTGCTTCTTCATGCTTCTTCATTCTCTTCATCGGCTAAACAACTAGCTGCGACTGCTTCCCCCGTAGTGGCAAATAAAGATTTTCCTGTCATATAATGCGCAAAAAGTCTTTTGGCAAGAAGTAGAAACAGCTCGATTTATTTTCGCTTGCTTGTAGGATCGGTCAAAGGCTTTTGTTGAAGAAAGAAGGGTTGTAACAAGGGTTTTCAAAATCCAAAAGAAGGTAAATAAACTGTTTTAGGCTCTAGAAAAAAACAGTTTTATAGGATATCTTTTGTCGTGAAAAGCCTTTTTGGCAACCAGAGAGAGGTCTGGGTTAGGTCTTCCAGTCTTAAAATATAATAAGGGCGCATTTTCCATTTTGGGTCAATGTGCTATCTTCTTCAGCGCATAAAACTGCCCTTGATTGGAAAGTTTCATGCAGTTGTACCAAAATACGACTGAGATACGATAATACCGTCCATAAAGGTTTGGCGAAAGTACCTCAGTCTAAAAATAGAACAAGGAGGGAATTTTCAGATGGGGTCTATATCCTATCGTTTTCCGCGTATCAGATTGCCACTTAGCCATTGTGCCTACTTTCAGCAGAGATATCGAAATAACGTCATTAGCGTAGTCACGTGGTTAAGTACCCTGGTCTAAAAAGAGCCCAATGGGGCAATTTTCAGTTGGGATCTATATCCTATCATTTTTAGCGGATCAAATTGCCCCTTGCTGCAATGTTTCATGTTACTGTACTTACTTACAGCAGAGATATTGTAATATCGCCGCTAGAGTCTTGTGGCAAAGTACCCCAGTCTAAAAATAGCCGAAGGGGGCAATTTACTTTAGAGAGAAGCACCAGAAGACTAAGTTCGGTATGAAGCTCGTCTGTTCAATATCTTCTGTCTATTTATATGCTCCCTAGAAAAATTCCCTCGTTTAATTTTGCAATTGATAGAAAGTTGAAAGATGTGAAAACATACACAAGCAGTTGCGGTATTACATTCGTAAAATTAATTGTTAGATATGGGCCATCAAAAATAGTCTATAAAACCTTTTTCATTTTGTCAAAATATACCATCCACAACCCTTTTATCTTTGTCTTTCCAATTGACAAAAAAGACAGCCAAGAACCTCTGACCACAATTGTGGTTGTCCGGCACACGACCTCTTGCATTTTTCTGTTTAATTTTCAATATTTGATTAAAAACATAGATAAAAGACAAGCACAATTTGTCAAAAAACTAAGAAAATGTGCCAACCTCAGCCTAAGATCATTGGGTGTTGTCGCACAATATTTTACCATTGGGAGACCTGTGACCAAGTTTCGTGTATGAGTTGTGTACACATTGGAAAGGGGCGGGTACCAATATAGGTATACTAATGTTTCATATCCATGCATGCATTTATACATATATCTATGCTGTGTTTGGAATTGAAGTCATTGCTAGCTCAACAACCAAAACTTTGCATCTCAGGGTCCGTAATCAGTAGGCTCTTCTACTCTGTATTTATCTTTAAAAAGTAATTGCTAAAAGCTAAATGACAAATCGTTATTGGCTATTCACAGTGCTCTTTCATGAATGTTTATTATTACTGCAATGAATCTACATGAAGAGATAGTAATTTGGAAAAATGGCATAGCAAAATTATTCATGAACAGTGTCCGTTTATCTGCATTAAAATAAGGTGCTTTTAAAGCTTAAGCAATATATTAACTTGCTAAATCTCTTTACCTACCATTTGCATATATCTAATGTTGTCGTCAAATTTTAATTTGTTGTCTATTGTTACTTACTACAATTTCACTTTTCTTCTTCTTTTATTATCTGTTTGTTTACAATCACACAAAAAATTTCAGCAATGTTTGGACTTGCTTCTATCACCGTTAGGTTGCATTTGCCTACACTGAAGTTGTCTTGAAACCACTGATATTTTTTACATTTATTTCCTGTTAAAGTTTAGCGGCCATGTTTTCCTTATCATGGCCTTCTATCAAATTGTATTAGTATCGTTACACGGCATCGTAACACAGTTGAATTTGATCAATGTTAACGATTTCATTTATGAAAATGTTTTATAAGGGGACTGACAGTTTCGTTTACCTCGTTAAAATTTACTTGCACATTTAAGTATCAGTCGATATCTTATTATATAGTTTCAACTAAGTTTCTTTCTTTTTACATGCAAAACAAAAACAATCATATTCTTATCAAGGCTGAGATAAACTGATCCTACGTATGCATTGCTACTTGCCATATTGTATGTCAGCAATAATGTGTAAAGTAGGTTCAACTCTTTACAAAATCGAGCGCAACTAATTTTCATTGAATACTAATAAACTGTATTCTATGATTGTATTTACAGAGCAGGTAACAATGGAACAACTGTGCTTAATTGTACACTGTCACTCAAGCTTATTGCCAGCCAAAGCGTGAACTACAGGATTGTCTTGCTGTTCGTCAACACGTTTCATCGCCAGTGTTGATTCATCATTATCAATCATCTCATTCTAGAAAACAGGTAACATCGAAAGACAAATCAAAGTGCGATAATCAGAAAGAGGCTAGAAAAGAATTTTTTCAACGCAGCCAAATTCTAAAATCAAATTTCCTACGAATCAAGAAAAAATGTCCGCCAGTGAAACAAAAGATGCTCTATTTCTTAGAAAAAATCTAAATGAAAGAAACTGCTAATCTGGAAATGTTGTCAGCAACAAAATTATAATATGGTCGGTAATAAATCACAAACCTCTCGAATAATGTCATGGGCAGTTGATAAAAATTCTTCCGATGTCATAAGATATACTGTTCTTTCGATAGCTGAACCTACTTTGCTGGCCCTACAAAAAATTCATTGAGAGCAAGCATAGTGAACAGTATTCATTACACAGATTCATTTACAGAATGTTAGGTAATCTTGCTTATCTTTGCTTTTGCCTTTCTTCTGTGTAAAAACTTTACAATAAACATCATATAACGTAGTAACTGTTGGAGCCAACCTTCTTAGCCAGCATTTGTCTGCGTTCCATACTTTCGAAAAGATTATTACTGAACAGGGCCGCCGGAGCCAGGGGGGGGGGCGCGGGGGCACAGGCCCCCCTGTTTGCAAAAAGTATAAATAAGTGCCCCTTTTTGAAATATATTGCGTGTATTTTTTCAATGCCAGATATTCTGCCTTTATAAACTAAGTAAAATAACATAACTCTGGACGTTATTGGAGGACCATTCATTGAAAATTCCTTAATTTTTTACTTGGTCTTGATGCAAAAAGCGCAAGCTCCTGTGATGAACAATATCAACTGCGAAGGAGACTACCAGATTCGCGAGAAAATTTCGTTAGTATGTCTTCAGCAACAAACGCATTAGTGAAAGGTCCGGTCAAGTCCCCGGCGGGCACAGTCAGTTGGTCCAATGTATATCGTGTGTGTTCTTGAAAGTAGAAACTGGAGCCCTATCTCTGATTCTGGGATGCGTAAAATGTACCCTATTCAGTGACTTTGCCAAAATTGTGTAACTCTTTTCACTGATAATATTCAAGCTTGAGCAGGAATTTCTGATACCAATTCATGCTAGAACCATTATTTTTCTTAAACTTATGAATAGGCAACTTAAAAAGCAGAGTTCACTAAATTTGATTTCAACAATAATCCCTTGTGGTTCTTGACATATATATTAACAAAATCAGAACTATAACTGCAACATATTCCTTTCTTTACAACATTGTGTTCAATGTTTTTTATGAAGAAATGAAAAAGTTGTGTCCTTGCAATGAATACATGCTAACAAAGACTTAAATTTCTTATCTAGGATTAGAACAACATACAAGACTAGACGTATTGCAAAATTTGTTGTACTTCAATATGCCATTGATTTATCTAAAAAGTTATCTGTAACATCATATCTGTAAATCTCTTTTGTGTTTCCTCTGACTGATTAAAAAAGCAACCCTATTTTCAAGATTCTATGTCCCAGAATTCTAGTTTTTTTCGAGTTTCTCGCAACTCACGTGTAATACGTTTTACCAACAGACTGAGTCCCCCCTCCGCCCGGGATCAAGTCTAAGGAGAGTTTAAAACCTGTTTCATTCATAAGACTGACGAGATAAACCTTATCAATGTTGCAAATTAAATTTGCTATGAGAGTGAAGAATGTGCCCGTACCTTCAGCCGATTGTGTGAAGATGACTTAACCATGGAGGCGAACAAATTTGTGTTTAAGTGGGGATGGTGCGAATTCCAAGGTGGACGAAATTGTTTAAATATGAAAGTAAGAAAATTAATATCATTATTATGTCTAACGTGTGTCATAATTTTTATAATTGTCTAAATTACCGTGAAATCTGTACCATTTTTGGCACTTACTAATTTTTCGGAATAAAATATTTGTGCCCTTTTTATTCGTTTTGCCCCCCCCCCCCTGTTCAAACCTGCGTCCGGCGGCCCTGCTGAAGTCGAATGACGCTTATCTCTATTTCCTGTATCCAAGAAATGCAGTTTTTTCGAACTGTCCAGAACGTGACAAATAATATCCACAACATTTGGCTACCTTCCTTTGAAATTGCTTCTTTCAGGATAATTGCCATTCTTTGACTTCACATTGGATGGAGAAGCATCAGCCTAGCGGAAGCAACATAAGTTGATTGTCAAAGAAAAGCAGCAATTTTGAAATATTTAAATTTGTCTACAACAACAGGTTACACGTTGCTAAGACAATCTAACTAACGTTGCTAAGGAGTATTTGATCACATTGATCGACTCTCTGAAAACAAGGGAGCACTTCACAGATAAATGTAGATGTACTTTAGTATTACCTAATTTCAATTTGTTGCACGAGTACATTTATGAATCTACAAATAATTGGGTTTATATAACAAATAAAACCTTTTAGAGAAAAATACACTGAGCTAGTTTTATAAAGTTTCACGAGTTTGTTCATTGATCTACGGTGCAGCCCTCTAGATACACACAGCTATACAAACCTACCACATTACCGTTGTTTCTACTGCACAGCATACCAGTGTTAGAGGAAAAAATGACTGTAGTGAGCAATCTCATTTGGCACCCAAGAAAATAATCTGTAAGTTTGTCAGCAGGTGAGGATCATTCATCAACTATTTTTCAGTCAATCTTAGCATTAAATAATTTCCTAGATCTTTCGCACATCCACTCCTCAAAATATTCGTAAAAGAACTAGGAGAGCTCTAGATTTCAGCAAAAAAATGAACTGATCAGAATAAGTGTCACCTCACGCATCCACGAAGGAAGGGTCCGCTTTTTATTGCTTGCTTCCTGTTCCATATCGTTAGCGATGGATTCCTAAAGGCAAAAAAGCTTCTTCGATAACAACAAAAACGGTATTTGCAAAGGTGAATGATTTAAAGTGCCTATGAAACGAAATTCCACATATAGTTTTTTTGTAAGAAACTGAAACTTCTACATGTCGTTGCAATATAAAACGAAAATTAACTCCAAAATTTGCACGGGAAAATTTGTTTTTGGGGTTTCAAAAACAATTAGTGCGAGTGATAAAGCATAAGAATCAGTGACGTCACAAGGTTTGCAGTTGATTCCGACTTCGCAGTAAACACACCATACCTCTTAGTCAGGGCTGTTAGTCAAACAATTGTGCAAATTGTGATACCAGCATGAAAATTTGCAAAAAGGGGTAGTTTGATACGCTGAAAAAGTTTAGATAAGTAACCCAACTGAAAATTTCCCCCTTTAGCTATTTTTAGACATGGGGCTCTTTGCCCCAAGTCCCTAACGGCATTATGACAACATCTCTCCTGAAAGTAGCTATAGTAGAACGAAATTTTATTACATGGGGCAGTTTAATGCGGTACAAAAGATAGGATATAGAACATAACTGAAAATTGCCCTCTTTCTATTTTTAGACTGGGGTTCTTTGCTCCAGACTTATAAAAACGGTTTGATTGCATCTCGATCGTACTTTAATACTACAGCGCTAGCCTTTGCGAAAGAGGACAGTTTCATACGCTGAAAAAGATAGGATATAGACCCCGACAGAAAATTGCCCCCTTGGGCTATTTTTAGACAGGGGGATTTTTTCGCATGACTCCACAAACGACGTTATTTTGATATCTATGCCGAAAGTAGGTACAATAGCAGGAAACATTGAATAGACGGCAATCTGATACGCAGGAAATGATAGGATAAAGACTCCATCTGAAAACTGCTCCCTTGTTCTATTTTTAGACTGGGGTACACCGCCCAAGATCTTAATAAACGGTATTATCGTATTTCAGTCGTACTTTGGTACAAAAGTATGAAACTTTGCAAAAAAAGACAGTTTGATGCACTAAAAAAGATTGGGTATGTATCCTGACTTAAAATTGGCCACCTACGGCTATTTTTACTGTAGTTCAATTAACGACCTCTGTGTACTAAACGTCAACTGCTTCCGTGTTTGCAAACTTTGTGACGTCACAGATAACGGCGCTTTGTCACAGTCGAAAACCTGAAAATGGGATATTCAACCTAAATTTTTAGACGGTTCCGCAATATAAAAATCACCTCAACATATATCATTGAAATCAGCAAATTTTGCTTATGAAAAGTGTGCTGTTAAGATGTGAAGGAGATAGAACAACGCATGGGTTGAACAGAAACAAAACGATAACTTTATATTAACTTCAAACGGCCTACACACATAACTGTAATACTGTCAACTGTAATCTGAAACTATATAAACATGGGTCACATAAAGTAATGCTCCTGCGCATAGTCAATTAGGTTACTACATCACTCCTCCTTTTAAAGAAGTTTTTTTTTTCGTATACTGTTTACAAAGTGTCCAATGGTATTGGTTCACCATATCGTACTGGTGCATAACGTTTTCTAACTAGTCTTTCAGCAGGTCTAGGAACCTCTTGTTCACAAGCGTATGTGGCTCGATTTGATTGATTGGCATCTTCGGAATCCGACATCTGAGCGCGTAATTTTTAAAAAATGATACGTTGCGAGTTACACGACGATGATTACTGTCTTCTGCAGTTATCTGCGTACCTTTACGGTTTACGACTTTGTATTGCGTTTTGCTGAATCGTGTCGTTAGTTTGTCCCTTTTTTGTTGGCGGACAAGAACAGTATCTCCAACTTGAAGGTTGCTCTTCCTTGCTTTTCTGCGTTTATTTGCATATGTTTCTTGGTATGATCGACTGCGTTCCTCGTTTATTCTAGCTTCTTTGTGTCGATTTATTACGCGATGCTTCTCTAAAGTAGGGAATTTTCCTTGTACTTTCCTGTTGAATAACAACTCTGATGGCGCAATTTTCGTTGTGCTGTGAGGTGTATTACGATACTGGAACAAGAAACGGTTCAGTTCTTGTTGCCATACCTTACCATCTGCCACTGCGCTTTGTACGGCTTTGATGAGAGGCTGATTAAAGCGTTCGACTTCTCCATTTGCCTGCGGCCAGTAAGGTGTGACAGGTTTATGGTTTATACCGAGGATATTTACATATCGTGCAAACTCTTCACTCGAGAATGGTGGACCGTTATCTGTCTTTAATTCACGTGGTATGCCGTGTACCGAAAATATTTTGTCCAGCTTCGGAATGACAGTTGATGCTTTCGTGGATCGCACAATTTCGGTTTCCGGAAATCGCGAATAACGATCAATGACGACTAAAAGATGATCTCCTGAAGGAAGCGGTCCACAGAAATCGATATGAACAGTTTCCCATGGTCCTTTAGGAAAATCAGTTTGTTGCAGAGGTTCTGGTGGCGATGGTTTGCCGACAATTTGACAAGTCAGGCACGAATCTAGGGTATGCTGAACTAGGTTGTCCATACCGGGGAACCATACTTTTTCTCGTAATAGACTTTTTGTTTTGGAAAGACCTTGGTGAGCTTCATGGGCAATATCTATAGCTCGTTGCTGAAGTGACTCTGGTATAACTAAACGTGTTCCTCTCAAAACAATTCCCTTCGCACCAACAGTGAGCTCATCGTTGATTGCACAATAAGGCTTTAAACGATCAGATGCTTGCCATCTATTTGTTCGTATAGCGGCTCGCAATGCTTGCAATGTCTTGTCAGTGTTGGTAGCACTCGCTATTTCGTCTAGCGACATAGCTTTAGGCACAGAGTGACTCGTAATCATGTTTACGTACTCCTCCGCAATTCTTTCTTGTTTTCGCGATTGTTGACTGGAGGGGTGTCTGGATAGATAATCAGCAGAGTTCTCGCTTCCTGCCTTGTACTGCACTTTAAACGAATAAGGTTGTAGTCGCAAAACCCATCGCTCAACCCTCGCGGACGGCTTAGAGGTTGAACTGCCGTAAATGGTTTCCAAAGGTTTGTGATCTGTAATCAAAGTAAATTCGTTGCCATATAGGAACAAATGAAAATGTTCTACGGCCCAAACGATGGCTAGAGCCTCTTTTTCCGTTTGCGAGTATCGTTTCTCAGTATCGGACAGTCCACGACTGGCGTAAGCAACAACCTTGTAATCATCACTGTTCTTGGTTGCTTGACTCAAAATTGCAGATACACCTACGGGACTTGCGTCCACCGTAACGAAAGTTTCTTTATTGGTATCGAAATACGACGTAACGGGAGCTTCAGACAGAGCCAATTTTATGTTTTCAAATGCTTTCTGTTGAACTGCTTGCCATACGAATGGTGTATTCTTTTTTGTCAACTCTCGAAGTGGTGCAGTGAGCGTCGCAAAATCTTGGATGTACTTAGCACTATAGTTTGCCATTCCGAGCAGGCTTCGTACCTCTTTGATGCTGGTAGGTATTGGTGCATTCTGAAGATCCCTTATGCGTGCTGGATCTGGCTGCGTACCATGTTCTGTGAAAATTTGTCCATAAAACTGAATTGATTTCTGTAGAAAGTTACATTTCTTGAGATTTAGCGTAAGGCATTTTGAATGCAGACGTTGCAAACAATTTTGCAAAGCTAAATCGTGTTCCTTGCGAGTTTTGCCAAAAACTACGATGTCATCTGCGATGTTCAGCACTCCATTTATACCTTGTAAAGTTTCTTGTAAAACATGCTGGAAAATTTCCATAGCAGCATTTGTCCCATAATTGAGACAAGTGTATCGATAAAGTCCTACGTGTGTGCTGAAGGTAGTGATAAAACGACTGTCTATGTGTAATGGTAGCTGGTGGTAAGCTTGGTTTAGATCCAATTTACTGAAATATTTGGCACCATTGAGTTGAATGCTGATATCATTCAATGTAGGGATCGGATAACGTACACGTTTTATTGCAGTATTTGGCACACGCATATCTACGCAAAGACGAACAGATCCATCCTTTTTCGGTACTACGACGATTGGAGATACCCACTGCGAAGGCGCGTTTTCTGGCACAGCTTCAATGATCCCCTCTTTTTCCAGCTGGGTGACAGCTTCTTTAACTTTCTTTCTCAAATGAAAAGGAATTCTCCTTTGCGGTTGTGCACGTGGTATTGTCTTTTCGTCGATGTTTAGCTTCACCGAGTACCCCTTCAGTTTACCAGTTCCTTCAAAGACTTTGTTGAAACGTTGAATTATGGCATCAATTTGCGGATCAATATGTTTTGTAGGGGTTGCTGAAACTGAAAGTTTGTTCAATTTCAGCGTTATGACTCCAAGTTCTTGTGCTGTATTGGCTGAAAGTAAACAACCAGCATTACGATCTTTTAGGACATAAAATGTTGCAACTCCATAGCGAGATTTTGTTGTGATCATCGATTCAAATTTTCCTATAAAACAAACTGGTTTCGAAGAGTTGAATGGAAAAGCTTTTATTTTGGTTTGTTGTAACTTGACTCCGTGCATCTTTTCGAAAGTATTTCTATCGATAACGTTGATTGTGGATCCGGTGTCCAATATCATGTTGAACTTGTGACCCTCGACCACAACATTAACCACAGGGCTGCGTTTTGATAATTTGTCGTTGCCATTTGAGACCGTATACAGGTATTCCTCGTCACTAGAATTATCCTCATGCTGCAAAGGTCTCACCGCTGCATGTGATTTGCGAGAATGTGCAGGACGTCTTTGTTTCTGCTTCGATAATTTTGAGCTCCTACAAACTGATTGAAAGTGGTTCGGTTTGTTGCACTTGCGACATGTTTTCCCTTGTGCGGGGCATTGATTTTTGTGCGGCCATTCTCCTCCACAATTGTTGCAAGTCTTGTTATCAGACTTCGATTGCAAGCGGTTCGTTGTTTCTGTGTGTACGTGGGTGGTTTCTATATCTCGGGCTTGATACGAACTGGTTTCATCCCGTCTTCCATCGATTAGCATGTCTTTAAGGGTATACGTAGGGTCACGCAAAGCTCGGCGTCTTATACGGGAAGATCGACCCCCTATAATTATTTGTTCCTCGATTTCAAAGTCTACATCTTCGAATTCGCATGTACTGGATATCTGCCTGAGTCGTGTATGAAAAGTATCGAGCGATTCTTGATCTCCCTGACGAGTTTCACGAAAACGATAAACTTCATACCGTCGATTTTTCTGAGGCTCGAAGTACTCAATGAGCTTGGCTTTTGTTGTCGCAAAGTTGTCTTCATCCCCTTCTCCGTTGACATCACTCAACTGGTTAAAAATTTCTCGAACTTAGGGTCCAGCTTGGTAAAGTAACAAAGCTTTCTGGCGCTTAGCGTCTCGAATTCCGCTAGCCACAAGAAAAGTATCAAAATCACGTAGCCAAAGTTTCCATCTGGCAGCAACACTCGCTCCAAGTTCTGCATTCGGGTCGAACGGTGGTAATGGATTGAGTTGTACAGACATTCTCGTCGCCAATGTTAAGATGTGAAGGAGATAGAACAACGCATGGGTTGAACAGAAACAAAACGATAACTTTATATTAACTTCAAACGGCCTACACACATAACTGTAATACTGTCAACTGTAATCTGAAACTATATAAACATGGGTCACATAAAGTAATGCTCCTGCGCATAGTCAATTAGGTTACTACATGTGCCTTTATCTAAACTTGTCAAATTTCATTTCATAAGCATTTTGAGTAAGTTACCAGCTAAGATAGCAAAAAGGTTTGCATATATGAGGTTATTGCTTTCGTGAGTCATTCTTTAAAAATAGCGATTACCTTCACCTTATCGCCACTTTAAGGCTAGGGATTTCGCGAAAGTTATCATAATTGAATCCTATCGCTGTTACTTTTTTGTCAAAATTCTATTGTTTCAAACTTATTTCAGAAGTTTCAATTTTAGATTTAGGGCCTTGCGACAAAAGGGCAAAACGCTCCCCAAATCATTCCAAAGAATCCCAAAGGTTCTTATGGTGATTCTCTTCGGGCGTCAAATAAGAATATAAGCGGGGATTCAACTCTAAATACCTCTTGTTTAAATCTAAACTTTTGTACATATGTTGAAATATCGAATACATAGTAGCGACAATATTTACTTTAAACAAAGGAATCAAGAACAATAACGTACAGAATACTAAAGCGAATTTTTTCGGTGGATGTTGGTGAGAAATGATGGAGGCAAAGTTTACGTGGGAACAAATAAAGAGAGCAGTTGGACATTTTTAAAACAATATTTGGAAATATTACATAGAATACAAATAGAAAATAGGCAAAGGGCTCTCAAAGACTGTCAAACTATCAACTGAGTATAACAAAGCCAGTGATTTTCATTTTAAGACCATCCAAATTCCTTTTATTGTAAGGAATGTGGGAATTCACAATGCAGCCAATGTTGGCTGACCAACAAAAGAAAATAATAGAGGTAAAAAGCAGTATTGTTACTATATCATTTAACAAAATAATCTAAGATGAGCTCGAAGTCAGGTCAGGCTCCAAGTCTGCTATGAGTAAAATGTAACCTCGTACTACCTGCCTCATAGTCCTACACCCCTGAGAAATCTAGGGTGCAGGCAACTCACCAATCCGCACTGAACCAGCGTGGTGAGTCATGGTTCACACCCACAACATGAATACACGCAACACACAACGGCCCTCAGTCCCCGGCAGCCGAAAGGCAGAGGGTGCTAATAATCCCCGGGTTTCAAGAGTACAATTAAATATTTGCACCTACAACGTGAGAACATTGAAAGATCCAGAGAAAGAGAAGGAGCTAGAGCAAGAGCTGATAGATTTCAAGTTGGACATCATTGGACTGTCAGAAACACGAAAGAAAGGAGAGCAACTGAAACAGTTGAAAGTGGGCATGTGCTGTACACAATAGGAGGGAACGAATCTGTTGGAGGAGGTGGTATTCTGGTCAACAAGAACATCAAGGACCGAGTTATAGAGTACGTAGGAGAGAGCAGCAGAGTGACGTCGCTTACACTGAAAGTGGACAGCAAATACCAACTACAAGTAATACAAGTGTATGCGCCAACATCGAGTCACAATGATGAAGAAGTTGAAGAGCTATATGAGGAGATTGGAAAATCAATGGAGAAGAATAAAAGTCAATACAAGATCGTAATGGGTGACTTTAATGCAAAGGTTGGACAACATCATCAAAGCGACGGAGCAATGGCAAAGAAAGATCTGAATGACCAAGAGAGAAGAGAGTACAACAAATTATGTCAAACCATCAGGAAGAGATTGAGAGAAGATCTAGAGAGCACAACACCATGCAAGTGAAGGAGGCAATTGAGAGTGGGAAAGGATTGAAAAGAGCAAAAGAAAAAGAAGGCTGCAGGGTTCTTATACCAGCATTGAAAGAGCAAGATGGAACCGCCATCACCAACAGAGAGAGAATTCTTGAGAGGTGCGCAGAATTCTATGAAACGCTATACAAAGATGCAGCCCAGAACATCAGAAAAGAAGAAGCAGAGGATGTACCACCAATCCTTGATAGTGAAATCGAGCATGCCATAAAAGGTATGAAGAATAACAAAGCACCTGGAGAAGATCAGATTGTGATTGAAATGCTCAAAGCCGGAGGTGAAGTTGTGAGATCAAAGCTGAGAACACTCTTCAATAGAGTGATGACTGAAGAAAAGATACCCAACGAGTGGAAAAATGCCATTATAACACTCATATTTAAGAAGGGAGACAAGAAAGACCTTGCTAATTATAGACCAATCAGTTTACTCTCCCAAGTCTACAAACTCTTCATGAAGATCCTGAAGAACAGGTTGAATAACAATCTGAGTGACCACTAGCCGCCAGAACAAGCTGCCTACAAAAGAGGTCATTCAACCATCGACCATCTGCAGTCAGTCGTGCAAATACTCGAGAAAACCAATGAGTATAAAATACCCATCCATATGGCGTTTGTTGACTACGAAAAAGCCTTTGATTCTGTACTGCACAAGGCTGTTTTTGAAAGAGACATATGAAAGAGGCAAGTACATCAACATCCTGAAAGAGACATATGATGGAAGCACTGCTCAGGTTCGGAACGAATCACTTAGCCGAAAGATTAAGATCATGAAGGGAGTGCGGCAAGGAGACACCTTGTCACCAGTGATGTTCACAGCAGCGTTGGAAGAAATATTCAGGAGAATGGAAGTTGAAGTGGGAATTAACATCAACGGAGAGAGAATGAACAACCTGAGATTTGCAGATGATATCATCTTATTTGCAGAAAAGGAAGAGGATCTCAGCAAGCTGCTCAACGATCTGAACAAGGAAGGGAGAAAAGATGACATGAAAATGAACAGAAAGAAAACCAAAATCATGTGCAATGAAATAGCAAGGAAAAGGAGAAGGAAAGGAATAATTGTGGATGGAGAACAACTGGAGGAGGTGGATGAGTACAAGTACTTGGGAAGACTGCTAACACCAGGAAATGAGATGGCGAAAGAAATAGACGAGAGAGTAACAGCTGCTTGGAAGAGATTCGGACAGTACAGCACGTTTCTGAGAGATCAAAGAATGCCCATGTGTCTCAAAAAGAAGATCATGAACACTGTCATACTGCCATCAATGACGTATGGAGCTGAGACATGGTCACTCACCAACCGCCAAAGAGAGAAACTGGCAGTCACCCAGAGGAGCATGGAACGATCAATGCTGGGTATTACGAGGAGAGATAAGATCAAGAACGAAGACTTAAGATCAAGAACAGGGGTGAAGGATGTCATCGAGAAAGTGATTGAAGCCAAAGGCAAGTGGGCAGGACATGTATCACGAATGAAGAACCACGAATGGGCTAAGAAAACGACAGAATGGACTCCGTGGGACAGGAAGAGAGGAAAGGGAAGACCAAAGAAAAGATGGAGAGATGAGATCGAGCAGAAGGCAGGCAGCACGTGTACCCAGAGTGCCCAAAACCGTGATGAGTGGAGAAAGATGTGGAGGCCATCCGCCAGCAGTGGTGTGACAGGCTAATGATGATGATGATGAGCTGGAAAATTAAAAATTATTTTGACAAAGAAAGTAGAAGAAAATAATCAACAACCAAAAAAAATATGTGGTAAAGACTGATTTTGATAGTTTCTTCCTTAGAACTTAAAAACATTTTTCCAATATGAAAATTTCTAGATAAGCCTTTGATACTGCAAAATTTTAAAATTGCATTTTAAAATGATACTGCTCCTACTAACTACTTTTCCATTCTTTTTTCCAGGGTCATAAATCTGTCATGTGAATTGGGGGGTCAGCACAGCAAATGAATATAATGTGTGCAGTGGGTCATGGCACCACAAGCAATTTATGGTATGTGTGCATGGAAAGAGTTGAGGGGCATATGACTTAAAAATCAAAAGTCAAAGTTTTTGGATTTCTTAAGACTTTCTGCTCTTTTAAGTAACATTTTAGTTACAATATACTCAAACTAATCAAAATGATAAATAAGTTGCCCATGACACTGGGAGAACCAGAAAGGTTTTCGAGCCCAGTGCCTTGATACTTAGATCAACTTAGGTTTTTGGTGCAGAGTACTTCTTGTGCCATTCAACAGGAATTTTGTTTGCTTTGAGGTGAAATTGATCTATAGATTCGGAAAATATTTAAGCATTTCTTTCCAAATGAGACTTAATATATACTTTAGGGACAATCCAGATGAAAGCCTCATGCGCATGTTAATAAGGAAGTAATTTGAATTTGCAACATCTACAGAACCAAACAGAATGGCAACAGCAAGCATAAATTTGTAAAATTGAAAAGTAAAGAACAGAGAAAGAAGAAAATAAAAAGGAACAATAGGGTCATATATATAGATTGTAAATTTTATTATCAGTTTTAGTGCTAGAATTTTATTGATTATATATTAAGTAATAGCCAATTTTTGAAATGTTTCCAAAACAGGATTTTGTTGGGTAGTTCTTTTATGTGAATCGGTATATCGGTATATTTTTAGGGATCAAATGATGTATTGCTTTCAGGTGATGGGTAGATTTTGAAAGCTGGACTAAAGCACAAAGCCCATTTTTCAGTTAGCGAGACACTATCTTCCAATATTTTACAAAGAAAACAACTTCTGCAGCCAAGGAGAAATAGAATAGCTTGTCACAGGACGCTTCGAAAGTATTGTCCTCTATCATATCTAGAGTAGTTTTTATTATTAAAAGATAGTTGTTGGTCCAAAAAAAACAGGACTATTGTTCAAGCTAGACAACACAGGGAATATGCATATATTATGCAATCAAAATGTATGCAAATTTTCAAAGATCCCCTTCCTGCTAAATTATCATTTAACAAATTTTTACAATTGGCCATAATGACAGTAAACATTTGTATAAATCCCCCTCCCCCATCTTTGTTTACGTAATATGTGCATGTTTGCATACCCAATAGCCACATATCGATAATTTTATCCAGTTACAAACAGTCTGACTCAAAAGAGTACAGGGTAGTGCTCAGTATAACTTTTCAAAAGTGCAAGCCCTCTCAGTTATTGGATATCAGGCACTAGAAATATTTTGCATTAGTGGTAAGTCAAAAAACAAACATGGTTTGTCATAAATCTTGGGTTTTACACAAGATTATTAGTCATTAATCAGTTGGCAAAACAGTCTACTTGTTAGCTAGTAAAGACCCCTATTACACCCTCAACAGATATGGAATTAATTAAAGTATTGCACACTTGCTTGAATAATATAGGTTTGTAGCGGAAGTAGGCCTTCTGGCTGCTACATAGTTACTGCTGTCAATATAACATTCTGCATAGAAAAAAATAAAAAGCTTTTAGTAAGTTGTAAAATGTTTGCCTTTTCAATGCCATTTTAAAACAAATATGTTCTTTTCAAGTTTTTAAATTTCAAGAATTTTCTGATCAAACTTTAGTCTTCAATGAATTTTAGAAATTGGAAAACTTTGCAAATAATTTTAATATTGCTCAACTTGAAGGTGAAGCTAAACTTTTTTATGCAAACATATTTTTGATAAAATGTAAGTTTTAGTTGAGTGCCAAGATTATCTGTCTTTCTAAAGTTTTCAAGTTTTTTGAAAAAAAACTTGAGGCAAAGGGCGCACTGGGAAATTTCCCCAGTGTCTCGGTGGGCCAGTCTGCTTCTGAGTACCAGTGAACTGGCATAGCAATTGCAGTGTTTTGAGAAATCATACCAAATACCGCAATCACTTTCAATTTTCAAATTTTCATTTTCCTATTTCGAAGTTTCAATATAAAGGACTTCAAAAGCCTGCAATATTATCAACAAATGCATACTAGTATAGCAAATGATTAAAACTTACAAATTATGAACTGAAATTGTACCTTACTGTTTTACTTTTAGCCATCAAGTTTTTGGGGTGCCAAAGATTTTAACTGGGAGGTGCATCAAGTCATTTCTTTAAAAACGTTTATTCACGTGGATCAATTTACGCCAGGCAAACTATATTTTTCATACAGGTATTTCTATATATGGGGGAAAAGGCTAACATTTTTTGTATGCCATCAGTGCCGAATTCCTGATTAGCAGCATAAATTGATTTCAACAAGGACTTACCCTCGTTCTGTAGTCCAGAGCTACATTGCCCAAGGCTTTTTGGACTTATGCATTAGCTGGAAATATCTTTAACAGATAATTCATTCCTCCCTTCTCGATGCATTAAAAGTTTTATGGTATACCAGGTAACGTGAAACTAAGAGCAAAATATGGCGCCAATTATTTGTTTGCCTTGGTGAATGCAAAAGGAGGCTGTCGCCTCGCTCTGGCTTGAATCCATGGAACTCAATGATATAGAAGCGCCGAAGGCGCTAGATTTCTAACTCGGGTCATGCTGCGTACTGCCGAGTGAGGCAAATTTGTTTACTTCCGCCATTTCAAATAGTGGCAAAAAGCGAGCTGCAATAGGGCTCATTATGGTTAATTGCTTGTTTTAATGTATGATTTTCTCGTGGCCCGCAACTATTTCAGTGCCTTTTCTGATGCAGGTAGATAGAGGAGTTATAAATCAACAACACGTAACAATTTTTTGGGGTTTTTCAACAGAATTTTAAAAAATATGGCTCTTAGTTTAAGCAGTTTCGGGGGGAATATAGCAGTGACCTGTCGTGTTTTATGAGTTGAAAAAGTATGTGCTTGCAATTTTTATCTTCATATAAATTAAAAAGAACTTTTTGAGTCTATTATCTGCATAGAAAATTTTAAATATAAAATTCTTGAATTTCTCTGTCTGTCGTTTAGAACCTAATATGGCATGAGTAGGAAAGGCGAATGTTTTATGTTTAGTTTGTCAAATTGAATTTGTAGAAAAGAAATTTGATATGAATCAAATTTCTTTTTCCTCTTGGTAAGACTAAATTAGTAATCTTTGTCGTGAAAATGTACCCCGGAGGTATTTTATGCGGGGAGGGACGCATTGTGCTGAAGAATAATTACAAGCAACGAGCGTGGTTTTGAAATAGTCTAAAAATATCAATGATTATATAAAATCAAAAATTGGTTACTATATTTATATTCTGTTATTATTATTTTTCTAGAGTTAGGCCTAGATAAAGAAAAAGTAACTAAATCACATCTTTGTACAAATGTGTTGAGAAGATTATGCATTGAGTGGCTGAACAAAGTCACTGGATCCGTTTTAAAACAGATCACTCATTATTTTCTGAAATTTCGACGAGACCTAAAACACCGCAGTAAGTACCGCTACTGTAAATGCTTGGAATTTGCGAATGACGGCTTATTTTTCCAATATTAACATTAATTCATAAATTTAAGTGCAATATAAGGCCACCCACCAAATTTCACATCGATATTCGAAAGAGAAGTGAACGAAATCAAACCTTACTTTTACCAAATTTATAAGGGCTCAGTATGGAGCAAGTTCCTTTTTGCCACTATTAAAAATGGCGAAGTAAACAAATTTGCCTCACAGCGTACAAATTGAGTTCGACATCTAGCGCCTTCGGCGCTTCTATATATCATTGATGGAACGTTTTTTGCTGAGATACAGTTAAAACCCGCGTATAAGAACCTGGATTTTGAGAGCCTGTTAGGCTAAAATTTCAAATTTAGGCCTCCTCCACATTAGAACCTTTTAAGGCTAAAATTTCGAATTAGGTTCTTACCAGTGGAGCTGCTGTAAAGGTTTCTAGATGGAGACTGTTGAATGAAGTATGATTATCTGCTTATATCTATACCAATTAACTTGGCAAACCATTTTTCTTTGAAGCCAAAGTAAAATACTGTGTCTAATGTTTCCATATTTTCAATAAATTCTCTTAATATTCAGCATTTGCAAAGTACAAAATTTCAATTTTCATTCATTCCAAGATTTCTACATATAAACTTTGTCTTTTAATTGACATTTCGGAGGTATAGTAATTGATCCTCTGTTCCTTGTCCTGCACTTGTTTCTTTCCTGGATTTATACCCGCTGATATCGTTGCCTGACATCTAATGTGAGACAAAAAGTTGGCAATTTGGCATTCCTTTGTAGTTTCATTTTATTCAATATATCGTCAAATTCTGAATTGTAAGTGCCTTTCATGGTGGGAACTTCGATGACCTAGGCCCCATTCACACGGGAACGCTATCGTTCCGTTCCATTTTTGTTCCAGTTTCTGGAACGGAAAGGTATACTGTTCACACGGTAACGGAACGATTGCGTATCGATTTTTGTTTATGTTCAGACGGGAACGCAATCGTTCCGTTCTGCAATTTGCGCGCCAAAACAAGCAAATTATTTTTAATGCGCATGTCCATAATGGAGATGGATTTCATCATTTCGATTTATCTCTGAGCTATCTCTGAATTTTTTAAACAATTTGAATAAATGGAGAATACAAAAGCGCCCCAAAATAAGCAAGCTCGTGGGAAAATGGAAGCCAACCCTAAATGTGTTTGATATCCTCCATTTTCTTCGAGTTTATTATTGTCACTTCTTGCTTCCCACAACAACAACACAGACGCATGCGCCAAGGGCAAAACTCTTATCGTTCCATTTTCTGGGCCAGTTCTGCGCGTTCACACGGGAACGGAACGGAACGATTGCGTACCGTTCCACTTTTCGTATCACTTATTTTGTCGTTTCACTTTTTGGAACGGAACGATATCATTTGAGGCGTTCCCGTGTGAACACAACCCCTGAGCGTTACGCTTTTCGGAACGGAGAAGAACGGAACGGAACGATTGCGTTCCCGTGTGAACGGGGCCCTAGAGTCGAAGATTTTGCCATGAGTTTGTTTGAGTATATATTTGGACAGGAACGTTCCTGGGTTTGCCTTCGATATATTTGCAGAAAAAAATCGTCAAATGTTACTCAAATGTCAGAAAAAAATCGTCTTCCTTTTTCATTGAGAGCTTTTCTTCGATCTCGTCAGCTTTTCAACTGAAGAACATCTGTCAGGCATGAGCATACTTACGTAGGTCCGAACTCCTAGATGGAATTTCCTTAAGTATGACTGGAATCTTGTTTATGTGGAGGTAGAATAATGCATGTCCCAGAAATGATTCCTGTGATACAAACTATATGGACCAACCTAAGGGTGGCTCTAGACAGTGGACCAACCTAAGGACAAGAACGTACCGTAAGGGGAATCAGCAAACTTTCCAAATAGCCCATCAGGGACGGTGCTAAGGAGAGACAGGGTATGGGGTTATAGGGTGAGATACCCCCCAAGAGTTATGAATCGGTTCTTTACTCGTCAGATTCGGCATTTTTGGTGCTTACTAGGCAAACTTGGTGGTGACATCAATTAAGAAATCAATGATAGTGGATAGTGTATTTGATTGTTTTCATTTTCAATTTGGTTTGAGCCACTTCGCTCGTCGGCACGTTAACATTTCAACTGTTAAATGACAAACTGAAATAAGCGATAACCATAACTCCATAAAACAATGTTTCAGGGTTGGGTTAGCGAATGACGATAATGATTACCAGAAAATCGATTAAAAAGTGGATACTAATTCTAACAGTAAGTTCGTATTGTAAGGAAGTAAAAAAAGCTTCCATGGGTGCATTTTCCAGTGAACTGGAAGCATCAGAAATTTCTTCCACCTTCTGTGACAACAATGGTGGCGTCTCAGGTAGTAACTATTAAAATGGCTTTGAAAATGCAAACATTTGAGCAAACTAATACTTTTCGTCTGACACTCTTCAAAGTTTAAAATGTCAGAACATAGCTGACGTTTAAACTCTGAAGAGTGTCAGACGAAAAGCATTAGTTTACTCAAATGTTTGCATTTTCAAATTCATGTTCAAGTACCACCAAAAATGGGAGTAACTATTACATTTAGTGATTGTGTGTTTTTTTATAATTATTGACTGAAGAAAGGTTCGTGATATCAAGTATTTTAAAGCCTATCCAAATACCCGTTTAACGACTGGTCCTGCACGCTTTTGTCTATTTACTATCTAATCGCTGAGATCATTATGTTGTCAAACGAAAGTATATAAGCCAATGCTTAATTTTTTTTATTTTAGGTTGCTTTAGACTGCTATTTTTAAGACAGTATTCAGAAGGGAACTTTGAGGTTGGGGTTTACAGAGGGTTTTGAAAAAATAATTCTTCCATTTCGCTTGTGTCGTGTTCTATACGAGGCTGTTCCGATTGGGCATGTGTTTGTTCTCGTTGTGATTCTCTCAAATACCAAACCACAAAATAGGAATTAGGCAGAAGGGTAACTACTGCCTATCAGGTGAAGCCTGAAAAAACTAGCGCATGCGTTAAATTATACGAGGCTTAGCAAGTATCTGTCGGGGAACGTTAAAAAAAGAATGAAAGTAGACAACTTTATTTGAGATGAAATGCCCCATGATAGTGAATAAATTCAATTATGTATCATAATTCGTTTATATCTGATTAATGAATGATAATTTGTCATGACTAAGTTCGTCTAAAGAAATTGAGGTTAAAGGGGAATTAAGGAATTCTATTGTTGACTCAGGTTTCAAAAACAACCAAGTAACCGACGAGAGTTACCCTTCTGCCTATTTTCTATTCTGTGACCAAACCAATACTTCAGATTTAACGAATGCATATTCATGTCACCTATTTTTATGTTTCCAGCATATAATCTAAATGTAGTTTGAAGAAGTTTAACTTTTTTTGCTAAAGTCCCATCTCCCCTGGAGTGTGCTTGTCATTTTCAGGTAATCTGTTTGGCCTGTTGATTATCGTCAGCGTATTCATGTTCAGTATTGTTATACAATGCGGGCAGTTTCAAAAAATGTTAGTTGTGTGTATTCTCATTGCCTTCTTGGACAGGACCTAGGAATCTTCGATTTATATTCGTGCCGGCGGTTTGGGGATGCTGTTCAATATGACAAATAACTGCTGTCACCGGCACCAGCACAGTCTGTGTCCCTTTCGGTTTGCTTACCAGTAATAACTATAACAAAGCGAGGAATTCCAAACAAGTCAGGTAAATTGATTCATCCATGCCCCTGCAAGATTATGTTCCTGGAGTTCGACTCAAAAATGTACAGAACAACAAAAGACCTTCGAATGAGAAAATCAACGGATGAATCCCTCAAGACCATTCTAGCTTCATACTGATCCGAACCTAGGAAAGGCAACTTTTTACTAAGCACTAGCAGTGTGGTTTCGCCAACCATTATCATGAATTTCTAGGATTATATTAAAAAACTTTGTAATGGAAACATTTCGGAAATATTTTCAAGAATTTTAGACAAATTTATTTCAGACAATAACATTGTAAAGAGACCGACGTGTAGCATATTCAGCATTCATACGTCGTAGCATATTCAGCATTCATGGTCCATGCACCGTGTGGAAATAAGAAGTACACCTTAGGAGGAAATCGTAGTGGCTACAAAACCTTTCATAACTTAGTCTTGGAAAGACGGCCACCAGGGTTGGGGGAAAAATGTCATGAAAAACTTTAAAAACTTTTAAGAAACTTTAAGTGCCAGAGACATATGCACTTCAAAGAAAATTCATACATTGGTTCGAATCTTCATTTCTGTCAAAAGATTAGACCTTCGAAACAACTTTCGGATAAAACCAGATGTCGGACGATTAATGCATCGGACAAACTTTATTTCAATTCATTTAAATTTGCACGAGCTTTCTAGAATCAAGGTATTAAATTGTTCATGTTTATGAACTACTACAAAATCTTCAATTTGAAGCATCATGTTTGAAAAAAGAAGACAAGATTGCTAGGGCGGAATGAGAATACACCGATATCATAGCAGATATCATGGCAGAAAACATATCATAGCAGAAATGAAGATTTTATTTGCCATTTTCAATCTATTTTTAAAGAAAGATTCAGCAATATTCACAGACATAGAAATTCTTCAAGAATCATAAGGATTGACAAGGAATCGATAATAAACGAATTGATTATACGAATCGGTGATATCATTTCAACATCTTTTTTGGCCAGACTAGCGTTGGTTTTGCGATACAAATAGAAATATTTTCATTTGCTAGGATATAACTTATCAAAATCACTGAATTTGACGATCCATATTTGGCATAAGTTTGGATGCAAATCACTGGCAAATACAGCAATTGAAAAATTGCATTAATTGTACAATCTATTTAAACAATGTTCCGTGCTCTAAAACAAAGTTTATTAACATTAGTTAACTTACAATCAAATGTATTACCGACGAAAAATTTAAGAAGTCACTGTAACCTTATTTCTTCTTATTTCTTGCAGTTACCGGCCACTTACCTTGTTCCCGAATGGCAAAGAAGATTTTTCCCCCGCATTGGACTTCTTTATATCTCTGTGGATTCGGATCTAGAGAGCCCTCCAGGAGTGAGCCTTATAGCCTTGTATTCCTTGGGATCGAAAGGCGCATACCGCGGTTCAAAAGCGGTACTTTCACAGTCGATGGAATTTTTCAACGGCATATCAACAGCGCAACAACCATTCCCTTGCTCATCTTGGTACCGATCTCGCTCCAGAAACGACATGTGTATTGTGGAACAGCGATCTGCTGTGCTTCGAGTACAGTGGCTAATAGGTCTACTTTGCGTCCTCACTCTTCCCACAATTGTTCGGTGCTTTCTAAAGAATATCTTCTTTAGCACCATCTTAAATGCGTCTTTGTAATAAGCATTGAAAATGCAGTACAGGAACGGGTTGCAACACGAGTTGAGATAATGAAGCCATATTACAAAAGAGCGTATCCATTGCCTTTTCAACACGTAGACATTGCACGATTTGCAATGTATGGAAGTTATGGAAACGATAAAAAATGGCAACCAGCAAATAACGAAGGCAGTAACCAGAATACAAAGAGTTCGCGTCACCGTGTGGTTCTCTTGTCTTGATATAACGTTGGTGGGAATTTTGCGCAATATTAGGATCACGTTTAAGTAAGAAAAAAGGATCAACGACAAAGGCAAAAGAAAGCCAATGATTGTTACGAGGAGAACCTTCCACTTCAACTGCCAAAGACCGATATACAAAGAAGCAACAGAGAAAGAGAACGTCCAAACAGCAAACACATTGACAACAATGTATGTATTTGTCATGCAGATTCGATGAGAGAGCGGTGACTTGATCGACCAGTACCTCTCAAAACTGATTGCAACGAGATTTGAAATAGACCCAACACCGCTCAGAATGTCGATAAAAGTCCAGCCTTTGATCAGCGATTCAGGTGCAATGCTGAGAGGAAGGTCTTCGAACTTTGTAAGTTCAAATGTCATCCAAATAGGCATTGATATAAGGCCAACAAGCATGTCAGATATCGCTAAAGACACAACGAAATAATTGACATTTGATTGAAGATTTTTGATTTGGTACACAGCTAGACAGACCAAGCCATTCCCCAATAAGGAAACGAGAATTAGGAACGTAATGCCAAACGATGAAATGATCCGATGCTCAGAGCTGTGTGCCTGATAATCAATTTTATCCAATTCTGTGTCGTCTGTATAAAAGTGTTTTGGAACTGAAACATTTTCCATATACGAAAGGTTCCAGAACGAATCCATCCCTGCTTGAAAATGTTGCTAAAATGTTCTTTACCTGTTATGAAGAGAAAAGAGAAATTAGTATATTGAGAGTACAAAGCTGCTTACTATAAACTTTAGACGGTACTCCGCTTGAACAGGGATACCGGCTTCATGACAAGGGCCTTTTGAAAAATGACTCGAAACTTCTAATAATTCTTTCATAATTAATAGACATATTTCGAATTGATGTGGCCATCTCGAGAACGGGTTGTAAGATGCACTATTGAACAATTAGTCGATAAAATAAACAGCATGTCCCTGCGAGCATCGAGAGAATGCTCAAATAAAATGTAATCCAGGGCACGATTAATCGGGCAAGCAAGGTCGCCTTTTCGAAAAGGTGTTTTAGAATCTGCCTACGTCAAAACAAAGCAGTTCGACTTGAGTAGACAAAGAGGGTCCGTTTTCTCTCTTAGACTCTTCAAATTGGTTAAAGCTAAGGTTCGCTGATTGGTCAAAAACAAGTCACCAATCAAATTTTTCATTTTTCCACTCACGCTACTGCTTTTCTCACGCTATTCACGTCATTATTGGATAGTTTGATACCAAAAGAAATTAAGTATGTTACATTTCCACTTTTCCGTGCTTATTGGAAAATTGTTATGCACTACAGTCAGAAAGTGGCAAAAATATCTTGGTAAGTATGAATGCCGATATTTAGGGTACATTCATGAACCGGGTATTTAGTTTTATCCAAGAGCTTCTCTTGGAGAGCAAGAGGGGCAGCATGCATCCCATACCCCTATCACTGGCATCATCATGCTCAACAGCCACAGATCTAAAGAAAAAGCGGTAAAAGGTAGTAAAAGTATAAAATTCCCTTTGCAGAGTTTTTTTTAATCGTGTTGTTCTAAGAACACGAAAAAACAATTTTTAGAATGCACTGATTTAAAGAAAAAACCTTAAGATTACCTTTAACTACACTTTATTTCTATTCTGAGAATTAAGGGCCTAGGTCTTTTAACTGGAAAGAAGGAAGAAGATCGAAAATATTTAAGTATCAGTTATCCATTAACGTACATTCTGCAAATGTACACTTTACTACAAGTATCATGGGCTCCGACAAAGGTTGAAAAGTGGGAGGGGCCAAGGGAAAATTTAACACCCGTAACAAAAGATTTTGAAAAAAAACTCTATTGTTTTTTTTCCGGCCCCCCCCCCTTCTTCGGAGGTCCTGAGTATGAAGATGATGGCCAAACTGGAAGCATAATTTTTCATTTTGTGCCTGGCATATTTTGTGCCATTTTATTGTATTTCTACCAATTTAAGGTAAAAATATGCTAGTTAGTTAATTTTAAGTAAGCTAATAACGATCATTAAGAGAAAGTGCTGTATTATAACTAGTGTGAGGTGGCTTCATTCCACTTGATATAAATTAAGGTGTATTAAAAGAAGTAGCACGTTAAACGTTGTTATATAAAGACAAGTAAAAAAGTTTTTGACTGATTTCTATTATCTGATCTGGGTTTTCTACGTTACAAAGAATACCACCAGTTGGTAATAAAGCCAAGTTATTTTCTCGAGTGGTTTCCAACAGCAGCGAAAAAACTAACTTCAACCCACTTTTTTAAACATGAAAAAGTGTGCTACGAAAGTCGAGAAATGTTAGAATTTCTTGCAATATCTGTTTGTTAAAAGCTGGTTTGTCTAATTGCTTTAATCGTCGTGTTATCAAACCTTGTTATTAATCAGTGCTCGTGTTCGACTTTGTTCCTATCAACGCAAAAATACGTGAGTGGCACTCGCAGGCATACCCTACAATCGGATAGAATTAACAGAAACCTTCAAAAATAACGCTTTCGAAGCTATTCACAACATAGCAATTCCCAAAACTTGGCCTATATTGTTTTATAACGTGTTTCGAGGGTACCGAAATGGATGTAAAAATGAGATGACAGTAATCCTTATGCAATATCAAATTTTGTTCTATTCTACATCTCTAAGCGATGGGAGTGATACAAAAAAATGAACCCAAACCCATTGCCATATAACTACTGTTATTTGGAAGGAAACAAACTATATACAACTTTGGTTAACCGTTGTTAAATAGACTTAATCCAAAAGTATTATAACCAAGGTATTACAGCTCAGGCATAAGATGTATTTTTTTAAAGGCATATTGCATAAGTCCTTTTGAACCATGTTTTTATGTTCTTCATATCCCTCGCCTTTTTAAGAAATGTCTCGTTTCATACAGGAACAGTTTTAGAGTCTAAAGAAAACACAACATTGCAATTCTGCAGGCAAATTCTGCGAATAACTTGTGCTTACAGGCACAAATAAATTTTAGTAAGGGCTTTACAAGAATTCTGGAAAAAATTAATATATTTCACATTATATTATCGATATGACAAAACTAACAAGAAACGTTCGACAGCAAAATCGTAACTAAACATAAGATAACATCCACATCAAAGTTTCTTGAAAGATTGATTCGATTTGGGCATAATGCCAAAGAACATATATTTCTCTTAAAATCTAAAGTTGTAAGCTGAGACAAGCAATATAGGCAAACCTGTAAACGGAAATTAAGCAAACTTAACAACTCAGGCAAAAAGATAAAAATATGAATTCTATTTGAACTAAAAACTAAATTATGTTTTACCTTCTGGAAATCGAAACAACCAAATAAATGAGGGATGCATCTAGGAAAATTTCTTGTTTGTTGTTTAACTTCGAGAAAACATGAAGCAAACAAACATTAAATGCACAAAGCGAGGTGTGCAAATATCTATTCAAAGAGTCCCGAAAAATTTTTTACTTTAAAAGCAAATATTTGTTCAAAGTTAACTTCACCCCACAGCACGATATTACGTACGAAACGATTGTGTATGGCAATCAAATCATCAGTATGGGGGTAAAGTCGAATGGATGGGACTGTAGTTTTTTACGTCCTTACAATGGGAACTGCCCTATGCAGCTTGCGCAGTGGTGTAGAGTAAGGGGGCGACCGCCCCCCCAACCAAGCTTCAAAACGTTGCTGTCGGAAATTTCATGAAGTCCAACAACTCCTTGTCGGAATCTTCTGTGAAAAAATAGAGGGTCGTGTCATGATATGTTGTCAAAGGTCACGGTCAAATTACGCCAGGAAACAAAGTTCAAGTTGTACAACTTGCATAGATGTAAGGTTATACTGAAATACCCAATAACCTGGGTACAAGTACCAAAGTCCTAAAATTGCCTTTAGTGATATTTTAAAGTTGGAGTTGCATCTAATTCAATTCAACATGTCAAATTACGCCAGGAAACAAAGTTTAAGTTGTATAACTTGCATAGTTGTAAGGTTATACTGAAATACCCAACAGTAACCTGGGTACAAGTACCAAAGTCCTAAAATTGCCTTTAGTGATATTTTAAAGTTGGAGTTGCATCTTATTCAATTCAACACGTCAAATCACGCCAGGAAACAATGATGTTTTAGTATTTTTTTATTCAGTTAGCAAGCTATTTCTGATAAAATCATCAAAGTCAAAGGTAAGAAGTTTGCTGACCGTGCATTTTTCACACTTTCTGAAATATTTATTCCGGTCATTTTCCGGATTGTAACCAAGACTTAAAATGATCAGTGGCCTCTATTTTCATGATTTAAAAATTTTGGTTAGGCAGTTTGCTAGATGGCTATGCAAAATTCCCTGTCTATTATGTAGGGTTATCAACAAAATTATGCTCTTGGATTGGCAGCGTAGCCATGCTCGTCCATAAAACCCTTAAATTAAACCCTGGTTTACCTTAAATTAAATTAAACCTTAAATTCAACCTTAAATTAAACCCATGTGATCATGAAGATCTACTTTCAACAGATTCATTAAAGCATAGTTTAACAGATTCATTTGAGAGCATTGTCACGCTGCTGCAGATATCTTCAACACTGCCTGTTTCTTCTGTTAAAGACGAGAGAGCCTTCAGCTGCTTAAAACATATCTAGACATATCTGTGAAGCACAATGGCAACAGTCACAATAAATAGAGAGGTTGTAGTTGATCTCACCGTAAGAGAGCTTCAAAAGCCGTTCTTGGATACGAAAACTAGGAAATTATTTTGATACTGAGCCAAGTACAGTGTTGTTTGCTTTATGCCTTTTTATTATTTAAATTGAAAGAGATATGTCTTTACATATTTTGTTGGTGAGGGCCTTGTATTATTTGCAGTGTTGTAATGATATATAAGTAGCTTATATATTTCCATTGGTATTTGACTTTGATGTTTCTCATGCTCTAGATGTAAACGGTTGCAAAGTATCAGTCAAAAAGCAATGACATTTTCTTAATGAAGAAATTTGTCGGGATTCAGCAGATATTCGCCCCGCCACGAGAAATCCCTAGCTATGCCACTGAGCTTGCGGCCTGTAAAAACTATAAAGGCACCCTAGAAACCCCGTTTCTCCAATTTACCACCAAATCAAAGGTGTTTAGGGCGGTGATAAGCACCGCGGAGCGTTGGTAAAAGTGGGGGGGGGGGCTAAAACCGTATAAAAAGAGGCTTTACTGTTAGTTTATTACTTAGTATTTGTCATTTTTTTTGCAAAAAGTGGGGAGGGGGGGGGGGCTTTCTGTGATAAGTATTATGACAAAACTTTTGACGACCGAGAGGCGGCATTTTTGTGACAAAGTGACTTACAGCTCAAGCTATATCTGATACATAAGTTTTCTTCGAGGAAAAGTTTCCTCTTGCAAATGGCGCACGAGATTCCCAAGAAAACAACAGGATTTCCAGAGATTTTCAGATAAAACGATAGGATTTCCAACAAGGTGTATGAGATTTTTATTGAGTTATCTGCCATTCCCTTTTCCCCTAGCATCAAAACTATTCTTCTTACGATACTGTTAACGATTCCAAAACGCATTTAAATCTACACAAGCTTCAACTACACAAAATGTCTTCTGCTTACAATATTACCTTGCTCTGTATGTTCATGTCCGTTATTACACTGGGTACCAGCAATGGCGGATCCAGCCAAAATCTGACTACCGCCGAAATGAGATAGAGGGTCGACCACACCCTTTAGACCACACC